ATTTCGGTCGATTCCGTCTGCCATGTTGGCTTGAATATGGTGGGATTTATGTGGTGGGGTTGAAGTTATTGGAGACTTTTGTTCGCAATCGCAACAAAGTTTGGGAGCAGCTACGTCTAGGCGTTGCGGAGGCCCGGAGCCTCGGCGATCCCATTCCGGGTACTAGCGCGTTTTTCACTTTATGTAGCCGCGACAGGCTCCACTCTGTAGCTTGACAACATTCACGCCCGCAAAGGTGTGCACATACACTGCCGAATCGCTGCTATATCCCGAGACTCATAGTTAATCTAGGCGACCGTGACCATGCTTTTGGAAGAACAGCGCCAGCTTCACGAGGACCTGGAGCGCCTCGAGGATGCCACCGCAGAGCGCCTTCTAGAAGACCCTCCACATGTACGTCTTCCAATGCGTCTATCGTGAACCACATGCTAACGTCTAACCAGATTCGCGACCGTCTCGCACGTGACCACGACATTGCGCGATTCCTCGAGCAGATTGAAAGCCAGTCGAGTCGCCTCCTCAAGATCTACGAAGATGTGGACGGAAAGAAGGAGGACGAAGTGCGCAGCCTTACCCACGGCGACCCGATGGAATCCTTCTTGAAAGAAGTGGAATCCATCAAAGACTTTCACAGACGCTACCCGAACGAGCCCGTCGAGAACCTCGAGAAGGCCTACAAGAAGCGGTCGCCCGAAGACCACGCGCAGTCCATTGGAGCCATCGACTCCATGTTCACTGGCGAGGAGGGTTTCGGTCGCTTCTTTGACCTGACCACGCTGCATGAGCAGTACTTGAACCTTCCTGTTCATCAGCACGCGCGCCGCCTGACGTATCTGCAGTACCTCGATCTGTTCGATGTCTTCACGCCTCCGCAATGCAACATTCGCCGCGATCAGAAGAAGTCCGAGTCTTACTTTCATTACTTGAAGGCACTGCAGGACTATCTCGAGAGCTTCATGAGACGGACAAAGCCTCTAGAGAACCTGGATCGGCTATTCGCTAACTTTGACAAGGAGTTTGAGGAGTTGTGGGAGAATGACCAAGTCCCAGGCTGGGAAAAAGGCACTCCTGCGGCATCGGCTGACAGTGAAGCCAAGGGCGAGGGAATCTGGTGTTCCGCATGCAAGAAGGGATTTTCAAAAGAGACAGTCTACGAAGCACATTTGACTGGAAAGAAGCACAAGAAGGCCTTACAAGAGAGCCAAAACGGCGCACAAGATAGTGGAAAGCCCACAAATGGTGCTTCGACAGATATGCAACGCTTCAAGGAACGCGCCATCGCCGAGCGAGAGTTCAGGATACGAAAGCTCGCCGCGGCTATGCAGACGGAGCGCGGTGACACCAAGATGAACGTGGAGCGAAAGCAAGGTATGACGGAACGCGAGCGACAACAAGAGCTTGAGCAACTGTACTCTGAGACACCCGAAAACGGCGCAAACGAGGAAGCCAACGACTCAGACGGCGAAGACAAAATTTACAACCCGCTCAAACTACCCCTCGCCTGGGACGGCAAGCCCATTCCCTTTTGGCTCTACAAGCTGCACGGCCTGGGCGTCGAGTTTCCCTGCGAAATCTGCGGAAACTTCGTCTACATGGGCCGCCGCGCCTTTGACAAGCACTTCAACGAGCCCCGCCATATCCATGGCCTCAAGTGTCTCGGCATCACCAACACGACCCTCTTCCGCGAAATTACGAGTATCAAGGAAGCTGAGGACCTGTGGAAGAAGATCCAGAAAGACAAGAAGAAGGAGAAGATGATGGCGGATAATGTGGTGGAGATGGAGGATTCGGAGGGTAACGTTATGCCCGAGAAGGTGTATCGCGATCTCGCTGCTGCGGGCATGCTTTGAGTGCAGTTTGGAGATGTTCCACGATCCAATCTTACTCTTGCGCGACGAAACTCGACGCCTCTCAAGGATTCTTTTCTAGGTAAGGCTTTCAAGCGTTTCTTGCGCGTTCCAAACGGTGTCCCCACTACACCGCCACATTTCTGTTTTCTTGTCCTCACTCTTCACCCTCTTTTCCCTCAATCTCTCTCCACCACAGAGATTCAGACCTAGGTCGATGGGGTTACAGAAAAAGGGGGGAAACTTGTAGCATGGTTGGCGTTTTAGGAGTTTCTATCGTAAGAAGAAAGTCAAGATGAAAAAGAGTTCATCTTGACATAACTCTCATGTACGTGAGGCATGTAAAAGATTAAAGATATCCCTGAGCAGCAGAAGAAGACGATGAAAGAAAAAATATATCAGCTTGACTAGTTGAGCTTCATAGCAGAAAAAAAACACAGGAGTCCATACGAGACAACTTGATACTTGTTGATTTCCCCTTTGCCCCCTCATCTCTTTGACATCATTCATAAACATACTCAGTAACAACAGCAACTTGACATTTACTCCAGCAAAAACTCCCAAAGCCCGTCGCCATTAACAAAATCACCCCAAATAACATTGACAAGCCAGTAGTCGTGTCTCAACTCACCCAGCAGCGTACTCGACGCACTTCTTGGGGGATAAATCCTCTGCCACTCCCGCCAGATACTAAACGCCTCATCGAGCCAGCTCCTAAAACTCACAGCCTCGATGATTGTCGGGGTAACGATTTCCTTGCCCGCAAACGTGCCCCAGGTGACGGGGTTTACGCCGTCTTCCTGGCTGGCCTCAAAGTCGCCCGCGGCGTTGCCGGCGAAATACGTAATCTGGTCGTGGGCGTCGAGTTTGGGTTGCAAGGCGGCAAATTCCGAGGCAGGGATGAAGAACTCGACAAAGGGTTTTTGGAATACGTAGCCGTTCTTGGGGCCCCAGCCGAAGACGGGATCGGTAGATTTGATGCCGTTAACAGCGGGTTGCGAGGCAACGGTCCACCAGCCCTTGGCGTTCAGAGCGAGCAGTTGCTTGCTGATGGTCAGGGTTTCTGGTGATAGACCCTGTTCGCTCCATGGTATAGCCTCGAGGTCTCCTTCAATGTGGCGGCGGAACAGTGTCGAGATATCGTTCTTCTCAACGGGGTGTCCCCAGAGCTTAAGCGCTTGCGGAGTAGAGACATGCAGTGTTGGGCCGTAACCATCAATCTCACCAAATGCAGGCGAGCGTGCGTCACCCCATCGACCGTTGGGGAAATCGTCCCATGTTGCTTCGCGACCCAGAGAACCCTCTCCTTCCGAAATCGCTAGGGTATTCGCGCGAGTGTTGATTGGCCCTCGCGGGATTCCAGCCTCCTCTTCAGTTGCTTCATACGAAGGATTACTCGAACGAGCAGCTGAAACATGGGATACTATCACTCTGTTACGGGGACCGGAGTTGACAGCTGATGATCGACGTCGGTGGGGCATGATGCCGTTAGGTGGCGGCTCCAAGTTGATGGCGGGCGTTGTCTCGACAATAACCTCATCGTCGTCAGTCAATGTGCTGGGAATGAGTTTTGTATCTTCCAGTATATGCGACACAGCCTTCTCCAGATTGAGCGTGTAGAAATGGAAACCCCTCCTGCATGTGTCCGGCCGCGCCTTGATATGCTCTACTATCTCGTCCATGATCTGGACGCCGACTTGCTTGACCAGCTCATCATCGCTCTTCACCGCGTCCAACCGTGCAAGTATGTCTGTGGGTAGCTTCGCATGCGAAAGTTTGGTTGTTCGAAGCAAGATTTTATACGATTGGATTGGCATCAATCCTGGAATTATGGGTATCGTCTTAAACACTCCACTCTCGTGCTCCCTTAGCATCTTCTCATACTTGTCGTAGGCTTCAACATCATAGAACAGCTGGGTCATGATGAAGTCGGCGCCTGCCTTGGTCTTCTCAACGAGGTACGGTAGATCCGCCACTGGATCTTGGTGCTCAGGGTGGCTCTGGTCTGAATGGCCTTCGGGATACGCGGCAACTCCAATGCAAAAGTAGTCGCCATATTGCTTCCGAATGTACGTGACAAGATCGACGGCCCACGTGAAGTCCTTGTTCGAGTCCTGCTCAGGTGGTGTATCTTCATCTCTGTACTCTTCACTACGCGGTGCGTCACCCCTCAGTGCCAGGATATTCCTTATACCTAACACCTGTGCCTGTTCCAGTGCCTGATCGATAAGTTGACGGTTCATGTTTGTGCACGTCAAATGGAGACATGTTGTGAGACCCAATTGGCGCTGGCAGATCTCGGCCAGTTCGAGCGACTTCGTGGCTGTGGACCCGCCAGCGCCCCAAGTGACAGTAACGAAGAGAGGACGAAGGGCCTGTGACATGCGCTCTAGACGAGTCTGAAGGTTGGCAAAACCCTATATGGCACCATTAGTGCCTGTTTTTGCTATTCCGGTATCCGTCTGTTGGCCGTGATCGCGTGCGGCGGGGTCGACTCACCATTGCCGTCTTCGGCGGGAAGAATTCGAGGGAGAAGTAGTTGGCGCCATCAGGCAGCGCGTTGATCTTATCCGTAATCTTCTCCATGGCGAAGAGGGATCCAAGGGTGGGATCCAAAGTGGCGTGGCGGAAGATGGGGTGTCATGGCTGCAAGTGAGGAAAAGAACAAAAAGTGATGGAAAGCGCATCTGGAAGCCGCAGGTGGGGCATCGGATCGACGGCCAGGATCCTTGGTCGCCATCGGCATATTCATGCCCTCTTGAGTCGCGTTGCCCTGCGCGGTGGATTGTCCGCAGATTCGCATAGCATAGCCTAGTCCGGAGCCATTGCAGTATCACTTGTAGTCTGCAGTTGACGAGCCGAGTACGAGCCGTTTCCGTAAGGAGCAGTGCATGTACGCCCTGCACGACAACCGGAGCGGGGTCCCGAATCCCAGGAAGCATGCCACTTGACGGTGAGGTGTCCAAGTAATGAATGTTGCATATTGCTTATGGCATTATTGGCAAGCGTAGGTGATCATGGCTCGAGTCATACATAATGATCCATACAAGACCGCGGTGTTGAAGCATCAGCACCATGTTCTCCAAACGCCTTGTCCAAACATTCTTGATTGCCTGTACCGTCACGACTGCAGCCCCGCAACATACCACCAACATGTCCCACCCACTCCCCAGACGCATCGATGTACACTCTCATTTTCTCCCGCCATTCTATCGCACTGCACTAGCTGATAATGGGCACTCGAAGCCCGATGGCATGCCCGCCATCCCAGAATGGTCTCTTGAACGCCATCTTGAGATGATGGCCACGGCCAACGTATCGAAGTCCATCCTTTCCGTATCCTCGCCTGGGACGCACATTGTACCGGGCAAAGATGAATTGGGTCGGGATCTAACGCGCCAATGTAACCACTATGCTGCGCAGCTTAAGAAGCAGCATCCCGAAAAATTTGGCGTGTGGGCTGCGCTACCATTACCAGACGTCGAAGCTGCGTTGGTAGAGATTGAAACGTGCATTGGTGAAGGGGCGGAGGGTTTTGGGCTAATGACCAACTACCATGGGAATTATGTCGGTGAAAAGGCACTGGATCGCGTCTTCGACAAACTCAACCAAATCGGCGCAACCGTTTTTATTCACCCTACAAAACCATGCATAAAGCATGGCAACACAACATCGACTGCGCAAACCACTGATGCGCTGCCCTTTGGCGACCAATACCCTGTCCCCATTTTTGAATTCTTCTTCGATACCGCGCGCGCTGTCATCAACCTCTTCAACACAGGGACCGTGGATCGCTGCCCAAATATCAAGTTTGTCATTCCACATTCTGGAGGTGCCCTGCCACCGCTGATGACACGCTTCATTCAGTTTTCCAGTGTGGTGCCCGGTGGGAGGGTGTTGAATGCTTCAACAGTACGACGACAACTAGAAACCCAGTTTTATTTTGATCTAGCTGGCTTCGCCTTTGACGGAGAAAGTGGCGGGAACGGACAGCTGAAAGCGTTTGTTGAGGGATTCAACATTTCGCATGAGCAATTGCTGTACGGGAGCGACTTTCCCTTTACGCAAACGCAGTTCGTCAAGTCATTTGCAGATCGGATGAAGGATGGTCTGGAGAATCTCTTCAATGAAGAACAAAGAAATGCGATATATGAGGGCAACGCGGTGAAGCTACTAGAAGAGGGTAACCATGCAAGAATGAGGTTTGAGCGACTCTGAGAGCCGAAGACCATAAATTGTTTTCGTGGCGATTCTTATATATACTTGTACGGGTTCATGATGCCGTTCTAATTAAATGTTAGTGTGGAATCCAAAGAGATACATATGGGCACCACTTACAGGATCATAGAGATCTTTGATCTGCTTCATCAACTTGATCATGGTCTCACTCTTACTGTAGCCAATGTACGGCTTCTTCGTCACACCCAAACCATGCTCGGCACTAATACTGCCATTTCGCTTTTGTACCCACTCGTATACAAAAGGCTCAAGCTTCTTCTCCACAGTCTTGTCAAATTTCCTTACTGGGATGTTCAGATGCAGGTTGGCATCGCCCATGTGACCGTATCCTACAACATCAACAACTGGGTGCGTAGGGTCACTGCCCAGGAGGCCAGCCTCGGTCAAACGGTCGCGCGTCTCATTGACCAGGTCGTAGAGCTCTGCAATTGGTATCGACAAGTCGTACTTGTAGACACCACCGTCATGGCCAAGACACTCGGTAATGCCTTCGCGCCATGACCATAGTTCCTGAATTTGAGTTTGATCTTGAGCGAGAACACCATCCGAGACAACCTCAGTCTCCATGACGTGCTCTAGGAAGGATTGCAGTTTCTTTAAGGGGTTAGCGGCGACTGCATATTTGAAGGAAAGTAGAATGCCTCACCTCACTGTCGTGGTCTGGATTGGAACCGCTGGTTTCAATCAGGCAGTAGAAAGGATGTTCGCCTTCGAGTGGCATCTTCTTACCAGTTACCCTGTTGACCAACTTTTGTGTCCGTCCGTCCATAAGTTCGAATGCTGACAAAATCTCAGAAAGGTAACCTTTGGCCTCAATATATGCCTTCTGGACCTTCTCGTAGCTTTCGAGGCCAAAATATGCGACGTTGACCGCAGGCGACCTTCGAGGGCAGATGATTGAAACCTTTGTGATGATGCCAATTGTACCCTCTCCGCCAATGAAAAGCTGCTTCAGATCATATCCGGTATTGTTCTTACGAAGGGTGGAAAGGTCGTCGACGATAGTGCCGTCTGGAAGTACCGCCTCAAGACCTAGTACGTTTCCGTGGAAGCTGCCGTAGCGCAACAAACGGAGACCACCAGCATTGGTTGCGACATTACCACCGATGTAGCATGATCCTTTGGCACCGAGGTCTAGTGGAAAGATGTGGTTCTTCTCGGCAAGAAAGTTGTCGGCATTCTCCAAAATGACACCAGCATCAGCGACTAGGATACCGGACACTTCATCGAAGGACCTAATTTGGTTCATCTTTTGCATGTTGATAACAATCTCATCGAAAACCGGCACGGATCCGCCGACAAGGCCAGTGTTACCACCCTGTGGAACTACGGCCAGCATATTGTCATTGCAGTATTTAAGAATCTTGCTAACTTCTTCAGTGGAGCTGGGCTTTAGAACTAGTTTGGTGTGGCCGCGGAACTTGCGCATCCAGTCACTGTTGAAGGGCTCGATATCCTGCGATGCATCTTTTGAAACACCATCGATGACAGCCGACTCTGAGCCCAGTAGAGTTTTGAAATAGTTTACATGCTCTTCGTTCAACTTGGTGAATTTGGAGTCACGTTGGAGATGGGGGTACCTGACCGGCTTAGCGAAGTTTGAAACCTTGCGCAAAGGTGAAAGCTTACGATTCCGAGGTGTATTTGATTGCTTTTGAGGGCGCGGTTGGGCCCTTGACGCCACCGTGCTCGTCAGGTTGGTGAGGCTCCGAAGTCGCTGACGAGGTACCGGTCCAACGAATTTGACTTGACGATCGCAAACATTGGTAGCGCGAGGATGCACGCGAAGAGAGTGCAGTTCGTCGCAGCGCCGACGATACCAAGCGCGCCGAAGAAGCCATGGCAATCAGTGATGAAGAAAAAGCGAATTATTCCTATGTCGCCTTTGGTGACGGCAAACAAGGATGACATAAGAGAGAACTGAGCGCACGTGCCATAATTCTTGGCGTCGTTTAGGCGGGAGCATCGACGCGGCCAGCTCTGGAGCTCCCGCGAGCAGCTTGTCGCCTGTAACAACTTCCTGCCCCGCCTTCCCGCTGCTGAGTCTCACCTTCAAACTCCAGAGATAGAGAAAGAAGCCAAAACCATAGCACACAAATTATCCCACAATGGCGTCCGGTTACGATCGAGCTCTCTCTGGTACGAGCATATGCCGCTTGGAGTTTGATGGTTTAGCTAACGATGTCAGTCTTCAGTCCTGACGGTCACGTCTTCCAGGTCGAATATGCGTTGGAGGCTGTCAAGCGAGGTGAGCACTGGCGGCAAGAGGAGTTGCAAAGGCAAAGACTGATTTGCCCCAGGAACATGCGCTGTTGGTGTCAAAGGCTCGGACATAGTGGTACTTGGATGTGAGAAGCGATCAGCAATGAAGCTGCAAGATACCCGGATTACTCCCTCGAAGATCTGCCTCGTCGATACCCACGTCGCTCTCGCCTTCGCTGGACTCAACGCCGATGCCCGCATCTTGGTCGACAAGGCCCGCCTGGAAGCACAATCACATCGTCTCACCGTCGAAGACCCTGTATCAATAGAGTATATTACGAAATACGTTGCCGGTGTGCAGCAGAGGTACACACAGAGTGGTGGTGTCCGTCCGTTCGGCATCAGCACGCTCATAGTCGGCTTCGACCCCAACGACAAGACCCCGCGCCTGTACCAGACGGAGCCCTCTGGCATCTACTCAGCATGGTACGTCCATTGAGCTGGCCCAGATATTTGATTGCGCTAATGCAGAGACAGGAAAGCGAATGCGATTGGCCGATCAAGTAAGACCGTCCGCGAGTTTCTCGAACGCAACCACAAGGAAGGCATGGACAGGGAGGAGACAATCAAGCTCACAGTCAAGTCACTGTTGGAAGTGGTGCAGACGGGCGCAAAGAACATTGAGATTGCCATTATGGCACCGGGCAAGCCGATCGAGATGTTGCCAGTCGAGGACATTGAGAAGTACGTTGACAACATCAACACGGAGAAGCAAGAGGAGGCGGCAAACAGGAGGCCCGGAAGGCAACCCGGTACAGGACAGGCAGCCATTCTTACCCGCCAGACTCCCGGCGAAGGCTCTGGAGCTGGCGGAGCGTAGAGATACACGGATAATGAGTGATGGCGAAAAGGACACGAATGACATTGATGTGGTAGAAGGTTAGACTTGATGAACCTGTCTCATACAGATGATGACGAGCTATTGCCCATGAAGAGCATGTATATAGCATGTGACGATGCACTTCTGTTTGCCCAGTCCCCCGCTCGGTGCGTGATGGTGTTTTGTGGCGTAATGATTGTGGCGCTGATTGCAGCTTGTGTTTGCTGTGGTGGTGATTGGGGTGGAGAGGGTAATGCTCAGCCCAATTTGTAGGAAGCTTCTTTGACGTCAAAGATGCTTGGGAGCTGCTCGCTGCGGACACGGTCGTCCTTCAACATCCTGGACAGCGGGTTAGATAAAGGGGCCATGGGTCAGCGGGAGGGGTGGGGACATGCCTCGAGTCCTTGCGCACGTCTTCGCCCTCTACCTGCAGTGAGGCCTTGGGGGTCTTGGCCTCGAGGACGAAGTGGTTGTCGCAGTGCGGGCAGTATTCGTCGCTATGCCTCGTCAGCCCATGTGCCCAGACAGAAGCATGCTCTGGTACACTTACGCATCCTCGAACTCGCGCGCATCCTTGCGAAAGGCCTTTTTGCACTTTTTGCAGATGAATGTCATGTCAAAGGTCTGCATGAGCGGGTGGTTGGACTGCTCCTCATGGCACTGTGCACAGTCGAACCATTTTTTGCCTGGTCACTCCTGGTCAGCAAAGACACGTTGTCGTCGTCGTCGTCGTCGCTGATCGTGGTGGTGGCGTATTTAACATACAGCAGGGGGAGCGGATAGAGACCTGGGCGTTGAGGATGTGCTTGCTACATGGGCCATGGGCGTCAGCGGGCTGGCGGCGGAGAGGGCGGCGGAGGAGAGAGGGGCTCGTTACCACATGGCGGGCGAGGGCGAGGGCCAGCAAATGTCAATGTACCGTAGTAGTGAAGTATGGACGTGTGTAGAGGTTGGATGCAGGCTGTGCTAGTCTGGCGTGTGCGAGGGTCGCCGGCCATTCGCCCGGTGCCTGATGATCGCCTGGCCGGGGCGGTGGTGTGCATGTGCGGTGCAGGGTTCCGGGGCAGGGCGCTGGCGGTTCCTGGGTAGTGCCATTGCCATGGTGGAGCATGGCCGCCCACGCCATGACGAGGTCACAGACACAGACACAGACACGCACACGCACGACGACATCCACACCGACACCGCCCTGAGTCGACAGCCCTGCCCTACCCTGCCCCCAACAACATGGCCAGCGCCCGCCAGCTCGCCAGATGACTGCGCCGTTTGTTGCTGAAACAATCTCACACCCCCCGGCCGGCGCCCGTGTTGTTCCTTGTCGCCGAAGGACAGTGTACGCGTCTCCGCTAGGGAGCCCTACGGACAGCCTGCCTGGTCTTTGGGCCTCGACATAAACACGCCAGACAACTAACTTCCTGTCGCTGCATGCTGCCCGCCACCGCCAAATGGGAAGCCGTTCTCGGTCGTCAATGAACATCTATAGGATTCCCTCTGGTGCCGGCTGACGACAAAGTCTCTCTCCCCCCCACCACCACCACCAACACGCCCAACAAAGCACACGCCATCCCGCCATGGACAACCCACCAGAAGAGAATATGGATGGCTCGTCCATTGTAAGCCTGCTCGCACATATACACGGCATTTTACACAAGAAAGAACCCATCCACTGACCCCGACTACAGAAGCCTGTTTCCTCTTTGCGCGCCCAATTCGAGAACCTACTCAGTAGTAATAAGTCGACGTCTTCGCTGCCCGCCGCCCGTCAGCGCTCTCCCGGTGCTACTGATCGCCTTCCTGCGCCCGACGACAACCGAAGGTCAGATGGGCGCATTTCCCTCGACATACCCAGGGAGCATGTTTCCCACAGCTCCCTCAGCGTGGTCGACTACAGCGGCTCCGGCTCCGTGACGCCGCGGTCCAGCACACTTGGGCGCATGCCCTGGAACAGCAGTGGGAAGCCACGACCTACGTCTATGATGGCCTTCTCACCCTCACCCCCCAGATCACCCACCAATTCGCCGCCCAAAGTCCTGGTCCAGTCTCCAAAACCTTCACCCAAACTCGGACCAGGATCGCACATTTATGCGCCGCAGCCCTCGCGACCGACCTCTCATACCGCTCTGGACTCCTCCAACGGCTCAAGCCGCACCAACGATCTGCAAAAGAGCGACCGCCCGACAGCGTCTGCGCCCCCAGTGCCTCCGCCTGTAAATCGGGCTGGGAAACCCAAGATAGCCCCAAAGTCGCATTCGGTGGACACGACGGCGCGCGCGAATCTAGCGCCAGAAGCCACGTCAGATGCCGTTGACTTGTCTCCCTTCAGCACACCACCCAGTAGCAGCGGGGAGAGCGCCAAGGGCGAGTCACCGTATGTCAACTCGGGCTTCCCCAAGCCCAAGATGAATTCGACAAACAACGGATACTTTCCACCCCCTCCGGTACATCCTGCTGTGGCCGAAAAGCTATCTTCCCTCGAGTCTCGCCAAACAGGAAAGCAACCCATGAAGAAGGCTGCACCACCACCATTGCCAAGCGAAGTGCCAGATGACCGCCCTACACTACCCGTACGGAGAGAAAAGGACAACTTTGATTTGCGCAAGAGTGTGCAAATTCAAAGAGCGGTCCCGCCAGAGTTGCCTGTCCGCCGCTCTCTTGATCAATCCCGTCCTACTCAGATAGGACAGGAGACGGATAGCAAATTCAGATTGCCTCCGAGGCGAACAAACACAACCGGTCACCTATCCAGGAACCCTGCAAAACCTTTAGAGCCCCCGAGACCGCCGCCCCCACGAAATTCTGTGGAAATGAGACGACCTTCTCAAGCAGCGCCTATGCCAGCGTCGCAGCTATCGCAGCCGCGCTACTACGACTCTGACGAGGAGGACATGGACGGAGACAAACAGCCAACTACTGCTCTAACAGAATACCCAGACTCTTCTCAAGCAAATCGTAGACCACCAGTATTTCCTGACGGCACAACCGGCATCCCCACCGGCTACGAAACCAAACTCTTTGCTATCTGTGGCGATTACATCTGCACCACGGGATACGTGACAAATGTGTGGAATATTCTGACCGGACGGTTGCTCATGAGCTTGTCGCATGGCGATACAGTCAAAGCTACAGCAGTCGCATTCAGACCAGCAAAAGATGTCGAGGATGAGGGAAAGAGACTATGGCTGGGAACAAATACTGGCGAGATGCTTGAGATTGATATCCCCACACAAAGTGCCGTATATACGAAGGCCAATGCGCATGCGAGGAGCGTCATTGTAAAAATCTTCCGATATGCCTCAGAGATGTGGTCCATGGATGAAGATGGTGCAATCCATATTTGGCCGGCTGACGAACTCGGGTGCCCGTCTTTGCAACAAACTCCACATACATTCCGCATTCCTCGAGGCAACACCTTCTCAATCGTATCTGGATCGGAGCTTTGGGTAGCCTCGGCCAAAGACATCCGGGTCTACTCACGCACCATGGACAGTAACCATTTTGTTCAACTGACAGAAGGACCACTCTCGCAACTCAATGTCGGTGATGTGACTTCTGGTGCCATCATCAGCAGTCAGCCCGATCGCATCTACTTTGGCCATGCTGATGGCAAGGTCACAATATATGCTAAGAAGACTCTCGAATGCCTGGGAATTGTCAATGTCAGCGTGTACAAGATTAGTTCATTAGTTGGCGTCGGCGATTTCCTCTGGGCGGGCTACAGTACGGGCATGATCTACGTGTATGACACGAAATCTAATCCCTGGAAGGTCTTGAAGGACTGGAAGGCCCACGAAAAACCAATAGCCGGAATATTGGCAGACCGTACCAGCATCTGGAAGCTTGATAGATTCCAAGTAGCATCGCTAGGGACCGATTCCATGTTGCGCGTTTGGGATGGCATGATGAAAGAAGACTGGCTTGGTAAGCTTACACATCGCCGATTGATCATTGTGCAAAATACTAACACACATAGAAACTCTAATGCAACAGCGTGATTCCGAGTATTGCGAATTCCGAGAACTCTCGGCGCGAGTCATGACCTGGAATGCTGGTGCAACCAAGCCCACCACGATCCGTGGCACAGAAGAAGATCGAAACTTCTTCCGGGAATTACTCGAGCCTGCGAACCCGCCGGACATTCTTGTGTTTGGTTTCCAAGAGCTAGTGGACCTGGAAGACAAAAAGATAACCGCTAAGAGCATTTTCAAGAGAAAGAAACACAAGGAGACGTCTGAACATGAGCACATGTCTCACCAGTACCGGGCATGGCGAGATCACCTTGTGCGTGTCTTGGATGAGCAAGTCCCTCAGCAAAACTATGTGTTGTTGCATACTGCGAATCTTGTCGGCCTTTTCACTTGCGTCTTTATCAAGGAGTCGGAGCGGGCCAACATTCGCGACGTGTGTGCCGCAGAGATCAAACTTGGATTCAGCGGCCGCGTGGGAAACAAAGGCGCTCTTGTTGTGCGCTTCTTTATTGACGATTCTTCATTGTGTTTTATCAACTGCCATCTAGCAGCTGGCCAGACACAGACAGTACATCGCAACAACGACGCGGCTGCCATCATGGAGAGTGCTCCTCTGCCAAAAAATCGCTCGCCGACCTCCTGTGCAAACTTCTTCGTCGGAGGAGGTGACGGTTCCATGATCTTAGATCATGAGATTTGTATCCTCAATGGTGATCTCAACTACCGCATTGATGCCATGCCTCGTAGCTCGGTTGTTACCGCAGTCCAGCAGGGAAATCTGGCCAAGCTTCTCGAACGCGATCAGTTGCTTCTGTCACGGAAACGCAACCCTGGTTTCCGTCTCCGTGCGTTCACCGAGTCGCCTATCAACTTTGCTCCAACGTACAAGTATGATCCAGGCACAGACAACTACGACACTTCTGAGAAGCAGCGGTCGCCAGCATGGTGTGACCGTCTCCTGTATCGCGGTCTTGGTAGAATCAAACAGTTGGAATACCGGCGGCACGACACCATCAAAGTCTCAGATCACCGGCCTGTCAGTGGAAAATTCAAACTCCGCGTGAAAACGATCAATTCAAAGAAACAAGACGCTACAAGAGACAAAGCCGAGGTGGAGTTCGAAGCGGTGCGACGGCGGATAGCAGGAGATATCAAGTAAGTGGTAGAAATCCTGATTGGTTTCGAAGGAATGCTAACATAACTCCAGGCTGGACTATCTGATCAATGTTTTCGGCTTGTCCAGTAGAGAAGCACAAAAGCTACTTAAGGGAACATGAGTGCACGCGACATATGATGAACAATCGCGGTGTAAGCTTTGAGCTACCCGTTCCCGTGCACCCGGACCGTAGCGTGGCTTTCAACCAGCCTCGCGGAACAGTGACTTGTGCACCTATAAACAGGTGATGCAGTCATGACTTAGCAGGCATATGGTTACCCGAGACGCCAGGGAGCGAGCTACAGCTCACAACAGACAAGGATGCAAGATCGATCGTGATGAGATGGGGGGTAGCGGGACACTAATGACATTTTAACGAATGGGGCAGCGTAAAAAGCATTGCATTGAGAGGCGAAATCTGGGCTTCGCATCTGAGCGACAAAAAGGCGCTTTCTTTTGGACGATCGGTACCCGCAATGATACACAAAGCGAATCTAGAGCGCGTGTTGTCGTGTAGTAGTAGTTCACGGTGGGCGGTCATGGTGACGTCAGATGCGCGTATTGCAACAAATAAAGCATCAATAATGACGGTGAACAGCTATCAAAAGCACACACAAACTCTCCTCACTTCACCACACTTCACTTATGTCCGCAGTCTCAATTGCATTTCGCCGGTCACCACTGCTCACGACCTCAAGCGCTCTACCTCGTGCACGTCAACTAGTCTCGCACCTCACACGACAGCAACCCTCATTCTCTCAGACTTCTTTCAGAATGGTCCATGATCAGAGCCGTGGTGAGGAGACGACGGGATTGTCAGAGTGGAAGCAACGTCCCCCGTACCGCATCCACGAGAAGAATGAGGATTTTGATGTCAAGTACGAAGCCAACTGCCACTGCGGAAAGGTCAAGTACCAGCTCAACCGGAGAGAGCCTCTAGACAGCAAGCTATGTCATTGCACGACATGCCAGACCCAACACGGTAAGCATTGGTATATGGATCTGCCGCCAACACAAGTACTTACACCTCATAGCTGCACCTTTCCAGTGGGCCGCCATTTTCCACAAGACAGACATCAACTTCACCCACGGCCACCATAACCTCGAATGGTACGACCCCACCGAGAAGTCCGTCGACCACAAACTCCCATGTAAAGTCCGCTGCTCCTACTGCCACTCCCCCATCATGGACGAGGGTCGCAACATGATCCTGCTGTTCCCCTCGCTGGTGCACCTCAAGACAGACGAAGACAAGGCCTACTTCAAGCCCCGCTGCCACATGTTCTACGGCCAGCGCGTCATGGATATCCCCGATGGTCTACCCAAGTGGAGTGGGCTGAGCGGCGAATCGGATCTGATTGAGGATAGTCCACCTGATCTAGTCAGGGAGACTGAGCGTAAGCGGGAGGAGGAGAGGAATAAGAAGATGTCCGAGGGAAAGCCGGATGAGGTTACCAAGGAAGGGACTCAGGGAAGGAAGGAGGGTGCTGGTTCCAACACTGCTTAAAAGATCGGAGCACGGGCTCGGATGGTGCGATGCCCATTTGCAGTTTCAGCGGCTACTGCTCATCGTGTCTCCGATGGAAGCGAGGAAGCGAAAGCATAGACGGAATGCAGTGTATGAATAGATACCCGAATGGTAACAGCAGCGAGTAACTTATTCTGTATGTTTTCTTGCCCCGACTCCTCCCTTGTACTTTGTCGGTACTTTGGAAAGCATCTTCCCTCGAGACAAGTCGTCACTGACTGGTGTTTACTCCATTCAAATCGGAATGCTTGGTGGCATGCATGAATTCTCTCGGTAAACTTTTCCTACATCTACCTATATATCCACACATTTCTTCCCACTACAACCAACTTACTTACTCTTACCCGTTGGAATCTGGAACGCCACAACCGCCTCTCCATGCTTAAACGCGCGATCAATCCTAAAGAAGCCCTTGCGATCAAACTGCACAATATCATCCACCTTGAGCTCCGCAACATTACAATCCGCCAGCGCCTTTGTGCGTGTCTCGGTGCTCGGGTTGAGGAAGTCCCCAAGCGTGTCTTCGGGCTCGAGTTTGTCCTTGGTAATGAGGTAGTCGAAGTCTACGAGTTCAATGGGGACGAGGTCCTGGTCTTTGCTCAGCCAGGTTACTTTCTTGGATGTCTTCTTCACGTCGCCTTGGAGGTGAAGTTCGAGTTCGAGGCCGGTGACGGTACGGGCTTCGCTTGTGAGGCCTGCTTTGGCAATGTCGACGGGGTTGAGGGAGTGGGTGATTTTGCGGACGATGGCGTTGCCCCAGTTCATGAGGGTGATTTCCTCGTCTTGGGCAAAGGATTGCGCATCGGCTTGCTCGAGGAGGACCGATGAGCTGAAGACGATCTTCTTGGTACCCAGGTCGTACTTTGCGTGTTTTGGTTTGTCCTCTGATGTGATGCCCTCGCGTGCACCGATAATGGTTACAGGGACACGGCCCTCGTCGTCAATCGCTGTGTAACGGGCCGCAGTGGGCTCAATGTGCTTCTTGTTAGTGGCCCAGAAGGCAAACCAATCCTGATTGACAATGTTCTTGGATGGTCCTTGCTTGAGGATAAACTCGCGGAGAGCGGGGATGACGGCGCCGCGGCGACGGACTCCACGGACAGTGGGCATGCGCGGGTCGTCCCAGCCCCCAACAATGCCGGCGTCGACGATCTTGGTAAGCTTGCGCTTAGACAGCACAGTCTTGACAAAGTTGAGACGGGCAAAGCCCCAGTTGTGCACCTTTCGGAGCTTGAGGTTCTTGATGAACCACTGATATTGCGCGTCACGATCGTTGTACTCGGTGGTGCGCAGAGCGTGGGTAACGCCTTCGAGCGCATCAACAATGGGGCAGCAAAAGTCGTAGGTAGGGTAGATCTTCCACTTCTCTCCGGTGCGGTGATGAGCCTGAGGGTTGCAGCGGTAGATGACAGGGTCACGCATGGCCTTGTTGGGATCGTCGACAGACATCTTTGCGCGAATGCACCATTTCAGGCCTTCTTCGTTGCCTTTCTTCATCTCCTCAAAGCGCGCCAGGTTGTCCTCAACGCTCGAGTCGCGACGTGCACTGGCAATGCCATTCATACGCTCATCACGCATCTTCTCCTGGATGGTGTCGTCTGCGTATGCCAGTCCGTCCTTGATTGCTTGCACGCACATCTCGTACAGCTGGTCGAACCAATCGCTTGTGTATGAGACAGAGTCTGGCTTGATGCCAAGAAGCGCACAATCCTCAACAATGGCATCCTGGAACTCTTGCTTTTCCTTAGTAGGGTTGGTGTCGTCGAATCGTAACAGGAGCTTGCCCTTGTACTTCTCGTGCGCAAAGTAGTCGTTCAGCAACGCAGCCTTTGCGTGGCCGATGTGGAGATAACCTCTGCAACATAATAATTAGCTCCAAATGCTTCAGCTCCGACAACGCAGGGAAACTCACGAAGGCTCAGGGGGGAATCTCGTGACAATACCGGTACCATCTCCAACATCTTGAAGTCCAATGTCGTAGTTGGCGTCGTCGTTCTTGCCACCCTCTTTCTTTCCCTTTGCTCCCTCCTTGCCCTGTCCTCCACTAACAACAACCACGCTCTGGGGGTACGCCTCTTCAATGTAGCGAAACCATCGGCACAGGCTCTTCATCAAGTCTTGCTTGACAAAGGCATGGGCCACACGGTTCTCGCGGATCGTCTTCCATACTGTGGTGTCCGCATCGCTGAGCGTGTAACCGACAATGTGGGAGCGCAGAGTGAGGTGCGCATCCAGCTCAAGCAGGTGGGGCTCGATTTGCTTGAGGTTCAATGGCTTGAGCGCCTCGGCGCGGGTTTGCCATTCAGCAATAGCAGCGTCCATGATGACCCGTTGTGAAGCTTTTCAGTGTTAATCGGGCCTGGAAAAAGTTGTGGCGGGGATCAAACAGAGTGAGGGGCAGATGCTTATCTTATCCGTGACTTGAGTCACTATGTACCAATAGGACCACTGCTCAACGCATGTACGTCACTTGCATCACTCAAAGTCAGATAATCACAATAATTCAAAGTTGCGCAAAAAGTACCAGATACTCCATAATCATATTGTCACACCCTCCCATATCCTACAAAACGCCATAATCATGCGAAACTTCTATCGCAGCCGTCGCTAGTATGCTAAACACCAAACGCTACATCATTACAAGTCATCAAGTAGTAGTCTCAAAAAAGGCAAGAAGAAGAGGAAGAAGCAACTAAACCGCGAGCTTTTTGTGCGCCAAAAGAGAAATTGCTTTAGGCGCACTCCCATTGAGCAAATACACACCACCTCGCACTACGATCTGCAAGAACCAACCCTCGCCATGTTCCCTTTTCACCAATCTTGATAACCGTCTCCCATGCCGTGCCATCAGCCTCACTCATGGCGCTCATATGTTCAATTTTTCTTGTCAGACGGATGATCTTTCCAGAGGGTGTCTGTATCGCTAACTTGGCCGGCTTATTACTGTTGCTACTTGCTGAGCCTGAAGAAGCCTGAGACGGATTGGTATAATTGGAGCCCGTCGCAGATATGCTCTGCATGCTCATAGCGGATGTGGGGCGAGCAAAAGGGTTAGGCGAAGATCGACCGTGCATTGCGGGGCTAGGCTCGGGTGACTTTGTAAGTGATGATGGGTGTTGGCGGACGCAAAAGACAAAGGTGTTGTTCAGAGCTAGACTGGCGCATTGTGGCTGAGCGACATAAAGATCGTGTCTCTGGGCGTGCGGCGTCGGATGGAGAGTTAGGAACGAGTAGGGAGGATTCATGCCAGAATGCGTTATAGGCAGGCCAATGGCCAGGTTGTGAGGATTGAGCTTGTTCGAATGCTGAAGAAAGTTAGTTAACTGATTTCACTGTTGAGTTGGAAGAGTTCTTACCATCAGTCCCCGAGGTCCAGCATAGATCTTCAGCACACCTTGGCCCCCATCGGTTGGGAGGAGTGCCTTGACTGTATATCGCTTCTGTCCCCCATACCATTCAGCTTGTGCTAGGGCCGGCTTCTTGACTACGTCTCCACTCTCAAATAAGTCACCATCCATATCCTGGGAGTAGCATCTTGCTTCCACCTCAGCCACGCATTCTACATCTTCGGGTACGTCGATATAAATATGCGTCATTTCAAGGTTGTCCAGATTTAGCACGCTGGTGTCGAAATTGACCACGTTGAGGCCGTGTCGGAAGTATGTAGGTGTTGCGCAGGGTAAGGCCATGAGCACCTCGTGAGGCTGGGATGGACAGATATGTTGCTGCTCCGGTAGAAGTGGCACATGCGAGTAGCAAATTTCCATTGGACGGGCCAGGAAGTACCACGTCTCGGCGACGGACGACCCAGCCGTAGAATAATGCACGCGTTTTGGATGAGTAGGCCCGGCAAGTGCGCAGTCCATTACGCGCCATTCACCTTCCACGATCACAGCATTCCAGAAATGGTTCGGTCGGGCGACAGACTCGAGATCCAGAGGCTCGCCAGGCGTCTTCAGATAGCCACGTATTACCTCTGCGTGCATACCGACGGAAGCGCACATCTCAGCAACTACCATAGCAATCTCTTCAGAGCAACCACGCTTACTTTGCAGCACATGGCGCGGGTCCATCTCGCCCTCAAAATCTTCTTCCCACGAGATGCGTTCGCTGACCCAAGTGAAGATGGCGCGGAGCCGCTGAATGTCACTTCTATACGGGCGACAGATGTAGCCTTGTGCCAATGTGGCAGGATTCGTTCCTAGAGGAATGCTGTTGATGAAGCGTGCGCTTTTGTCTACATGAGAGAGACTGCAAGCTGAGAAATCTGTTGGCTCTGTAATGGGGAGTCCATCGAGGCCTTCGTCGCCTTGGACAGACTCATTCAGGATATCAATCGGGTTCAAGACGGGATAATCCATCATCTGACACCTCTCAGCACGTTCTGCGCGTTCATTTTTGCTCAGTGAGTTAGATCGGTTGATGTCCCTGCGCACCTGCACCCAATCCACCGTTCCAAGACCCATATCCCTTGATGTGTTTGCTGAGTGAGTGGCCGGGCCGCTTTCAATACCCGTCTGCTCCGGACCGTCCATGCGACTTGCAGCGCGGCTGGTAGAACGGCCTGCAGCGCGACTAGCTGCTCGGGACGCAGGCCGACTGATTGTATCGATAGTGCTGCGAGCGTTGGCTGCTTGCGTCTTCGCAGTATCGATCATCTTTCTAAAGAATCCGCTACGCTTCGCTTTTGGTTGCCTCAAACCGCCAAGTGGATGAGGATCGTCGCTTGCTTGCATGCTGACAACGGCTTGCTGTTGATCGCTCGAACTGGGTCGCGATTGGGAGGCGTGGCTTGAGTGATACGTGACACCAGTAAAAGGTGTTTCGGGTCGGCCGTCATCGAATCCATAACCCTTCCCTGCCGTATCTTTTATGCTCATAAGGCTCTTCGGGCGATCCTTGCCAAACTTCTTGCGATAATAGCTGCCAGCACTTGTAGCACTCATGTTTGTAGCAGAGTGTCCAGACATCAAGCTGCGGTTAGTACTGTTACTAGTGAGAGTTGTTGCCGTTGTTGTCGTCGAATTCGTTTTGCTCGTAAAGGTACGGCCTAGTGCGTTACGGCCAATGTCATAAGCGGACTTGCGATTCCGGAGCAGCCTGGATCCCTTCCGCTCCACCTCTTGCTCAATGCCACCCATGGACGATCCTGGTCTCTGACTTGCCGTCTTCAACGGTACCGTAGGTCCTTGATCATCATCCATAAGCATGTCATTGCCACTGTTCTTCTCCTGTTGCTGCATTCTGCGTAAACGACTCTCCATGCGCTGCATGTAATTGTTGACATCTGGCGGGGCTTCATCATCATCATCGTCGTCCGGATCCATTGCTGACTGTGCTCTAACTTTCTGCGCAGATGCCTGGTATACTTGGTCAAAGGCTTCTGGGGACCATGGGTTTGACGGTGATGGGGCTTGCTCAGGCGATTCATTACTTTGTGTCGTGGTCATATCTTGCAAAGAGGACATAACATCGTTCATTGCTGTCGTAAGTGGCGAAGGCGTGAAGTGACCGCCACGTGACCTCGGGTCAGGCGAAGGCGGTTCGGGTGTGTGATAACCAAGATGCGATGGAGGAGCCGGAGAGGGCGATCGGCTAGGGTTGTATGTAACGCGGTGCGGTGGAGGGGGCGGCGGTGGAGAGTCAATGGGCTCCTCGAGGTCATCTTGGTACGGCGCAGGTGAGGGACCACGGCTGTGGTCGAGTTGGTGTTGATACGGCGACGGTGAAGGACCTCGGTCGTATGCGCGGTACTGAAAAGATGGGGCTGGCGATGGTGTATGCGAAGGTCGTCGAAATGAGGGAGCCGGAGATGGACCTCTGTCATAAGCTCGGTATTGGTATGATGGTGCTGGGGACACGGCCCGAGAATGCTGTTGGTACTGCGCTGGCGGGACAGGTGACACTGCTCGCTGATGTTGATACTGCGTAGGTGGTATGGGCGATGCTCCTCGCGGATGTTGTTGATACTGGGCCGGTGGAACGGGTGACACTCCTCGTGGATGTTGCTGATACTGGGCCGGTGGAATGGGTGACACTCCTCGCGGATGCTGTTGATACTGAGTTGGCGGAATGGGCGATGCGGCACGGTATGGGTCATAGGCTGGTTGTGGCGGCGGTGCAGGAGACACTGCTCTGCTGTAGCGCTGGTGTTGAACGGGAGGCGCGGGCGAGACGCCACGAGGCTGTTGATATTGGTACGGTGATGGCGGAGCGGGAGAATGGGCGCGTATGCGTGAGCCGTGGCGCGAGGGTGGAGCTGGAGAGACTGCTCGGGCTATGGGTGTTCTCTTGGAAGGTGGTCGTGGGGATACGGCGCGCAGATTCGAGGGCCCTCTTGTTGGGGGGGCGGATGGCGACGGGCTTTCGCTACTCTCTTGGGACAGGCGCTTCATGGATGAATATGGCGACTTTGTCTTGACAGTGCCGTTTGCGGAGTTTATGCCACCCGCACGGAGCCTTTCGCGGGCGGCAGCGGCAGGGTTCGGGGCGCCTGCAGCAGCATAGGCAGTAAAGGGTTTCCTGAACATGCTCTTTTGCTTCTGTGGCACAGGCTTGGGCTGTTCCTGCACACTGCTTTGCCTCGAGAAGCTCCCACCACTGCCATTGCGCGCCCATGGCTGGTAGTCTTCACTGAGCAGCTCGACAAAGTTGGATGGGAACAAGCCGACCATGCGCCTGTCGCGCTTGAGGCGGCCCATCCACCAAGAGCCATCGCCTGCATTGAGGACCTCGATCAGGTCTCCTTCTATGAATCCCAGATCTCGCTTGGTCTAGAGACAACAGTCAGGTCAGGTGCTGCAGCATGAGACAGCTTTGGAAGTAGACTTACCTCTCCGCCCCAGGAGTAGACTGCCTTGCACCAACAGGGAAAGCGCGTGGGCAGCGCCTGACCGACGGCCATGGTGAGGATTAGGTTTGTTGTTGTGGTTGTATGTGGTTGTATGTGGTTGACCTGCAACGGCTGGGGTGTGTAACAAGGTGGATTACATGCGTCGCTGGTTGTGAGCGAGAGGATGCGTCGGCCAGGCAAAGGGCGCAACAAACAACAATGGGCGGTAGCAATAACAGAGGATGGAGAGCAGTACGGAGAAGGTCGCCAGACCCCGAATGATAGCGGGCAGCGGTATAGCAGAACAGAGCAGAGCAGAGCTAAACTAAGCAGGGCCCATGCGACTGACGTCTCGCCTTGGCTTGGTGTTTACCGACTCCAGTCGCCGCTTCCCCAGCAACAGCATCGCCTGCCCACTAGCGCGATTGCCACAAGCGCCCCGCCCCACCCACCGCCAACACGTCAGCCAGCCCTCACCTCTATCCCCCTAGCCAGCTGCACCTCCAACCAGTTATGTATATTTCCAAGTACATACCGCGCCATGCATGGAGCAATGCAGGGCAGCATTGCAGCACACTGGGATCCGCCCTTTCCCGTCCTCGTTTCCACGCTGCGCTGCGCACACGCCGTGTTGTGGAAAAAAAAACACACAACGGGAACCAGATCATCTTCTGGGACCTCTTGGGGCGGATTGTCGATGCGGCTGAGCGTCGATGCGCTAACCAAGCCGCTCCGCTATCAACCCATGACGCTTAGCCGTGATTGTGCAAGATTTGCTGTCATGCGCTCTTTTTGGTCGCTACCACGCTGTTCAAGGCGGTACGCAGCAAAATCCCTTTGGGGCACCTGGGGCCACCTCTGTCATCGGGCATGATGGGCCCCGCGGGAAGATCATAAGCAAGATTGCAGTGCCCGCATTATCGGGAGAGCAGCAGTAGGTAGAGGAGCTCGGCGTTGCGATTCGAGAAACTTGGCTTGGATCACAAATACAGGAACAAAGTGCATCTCTCTCTGTGCAGTAACCTAGTCAGGCGTGGCTGGTGGCTTGCATTCGATAGGGCTGTGATGAGCTACCTACTAGAACCGAACCCGTCCGTGAACCCCTAGTGGCTTGACTGTGGCTATATCCATACATGCATGCATGCTTTTTCTCAACCATCAGAATCTTAATCGTGGTTCTGTTGGGTGGAGGGGAACCGATCACGTGATAAACGATGGGAGTATCGGTATATCCGGCCCCGCTAGTACGGAAATGGACCTAAGAAGCATCACAGTGGTCAAAAACAGTGTGAGATGGGAAAATAAAGCATAATCACATTCATCATATCTATCGAATGCGAACTAAGAGAGAAGTGAAGCGCCGCTGGGGCGGATATGAACAAAAACACCCTTTCCTCCTCGACTGGGTGCTGACTGTGCAGCTGGCATGAATGCTTGCTTGCTTGACGGCTGGCTGGCAATGCGAATCGCTTACTGGCCGGCGTAGAGCTTGGGGCCGGGCATGGTGTAAGACTTGGGGTTGTTCCACTTGTTGAACTTGATACCGGCATCGTTGGCGCTGTAGAGACCGGGAATCTTGACAGTGGGGCCGAGGGTTCCAGTGCCAGAGGACTGGATGTTCAGCTGGAAGCACTCCATGTAGAATTGGGCCTTGCCACTAGAGAAGGGTTAGTTGATGTCTAGAATACCGTTGGAGTTATTACTTACACGTGACCCTCGTGGAGACCAATGTGCTCGACACGGACAAGGTATTCACCAGCAGGAATGCTCTTCTGGATGGTCCACTCGAGCCTATCCTTGTCCCAGTTGTCCCAGCTCTTGTCAACACCAGGGGCGCTGGGGTTGACGAGACCGCTCTCCATGACCTTGGTCCAGGCACCGCTGCCATCGTAGTCCTTGACCTTTCCGGGAGCCTTGGAGATGTAGACAAATCCAGGACCGGGGTGCTCGACCCTCTCGTTGTTGAAGATCTTGAAGCCGATCTTGTCACCGGCCTTGACGGTGTAGGTACCGGTGTTGCCAGCGACGGCGCCCCTGTTACAGCGGAGGTCGTTGGAGTTGACAATGTCGTTGGTGATGACGGGGTTGTAAGCGTTGCTGTTCTTACGAGCATAGGCATACTCGCCACCGATGGTCTGGCCATTGACGACGAGAATGTTGAAGATGTAGTGGGCATTGGCCGCCATGGGCGCCGCAAGCAGAGCGAGGAGAGCACCAGCCTTCATGTTGGAGGAGTAAAGAGTAAGTTGAATATATGTTCAAAAGAAGAGAAGATTGCAAGAAGCGAATGAATGAGTGGGAATCGAAAGTCGTGGACTGCGATGATTTCTACAGCAAGGCGAACTGGGCCATACTTATACTCGGTGCCTTGTCCATGACGACGCTGAGAGTGGTGACCCAAGACATGGACTTCATCTATTCCCATCACGTCCCCCCCACAGGGCGCTGTCATGGGATCCACTCGGGAAGAATGTTTGCAACGTTCTAGTCTCTATGTTTAATGAAGGCAGGAACGCCAACCATTGCCCAGGCTGTTTTAAGCGATGGCCAAGCCTCGCAAAAACAAAACAAGACCTAAGGCCGCCAAAGCACCGCTCTGCATCATGTTTCACCGTCCGACTCTCAGTCGCCTTGGCACTTTGCCTCAATCTATAATCGCCCATCCTCCACTCTGCCTTTGGCGCCTTGCTAAGCCCGCCCCCTCGTCCATCCCAGCGGGCACAAGTTCTTCGACCCCGTTTATTTGCGGTATATAACCCCACGGTTTCGCAACTGCCTCTAGCGCCCTCGCTAATGTGGTAATCTACCTTTGGCGCTGTTTTATATCTCTCTTTCACGTTAGTGCCATCCTTTTTACTCCAAGGTACAAAGGTATAGAGGAACTTTACATTCCACTCATAAATGACGATATAACTGTTTGAAATCTATCCTATTTACCAAAGCCATGGGGTCAAATGGCACTTGCCATCCCGGCGCGAGCAGGAACACTGCTTAGCCAGTCCGCATGCCTGCGAGTACCTCCTCCAGCGCCTTCTGGTACTGGATGAAGGTCAGCCGCCGCGTCTCCAGCCTTGCCAGCATGTCCCCCAACTCAACTCCATAACACCCGTATATTTCCTCCTCCCGTGCCTCCAGCAGGAAGGTATCCACTTCCCTGTCCAGCGCCTCGTCGCTGCGTGCATACGCCACCCACTCCCGGGCGATTTGCTGCACTTCCCTTGGCAGCAATTCCAATTGCTTAATCAAGGGCAGCGAGCCAAGCAACGGCAACTGCGCTCGACACATAGGGCATGTCGGATTGCCCGGTTTCTCATCGCCGTCCCATGGCTTCACCCAAGCTTGCAGACAGTCCTTACCTACGACATGGCCACAGGGTGTCTTAATTGGGACCTCCCCATCTTCCGCTGCTGCCTTGGCCAGTCCCTCCTGGCAGACGGGACAGTCTTTGCAATTTGGGCCTATCATTTCGTAGGCTATTGATGTCTGGGAGAGCTCCACCCTATCGTCTGTGTCAATCACGCTGGCTTCAACACAGCTTCCGCGGATCGTTCGTGCAAGGTTGCGCTCCTGTTGTGTGAGCCAGCCTACCAGCCCCACAGCTGCCTGCCATTCTTGTGACAGGGGTTCCATCCTATGATCCCAGCGAAGAAATCGGTACTGTTCCGGCAACAAGACCTCATCGCCGCCCGTTAGGTTGGCCCAGAAGTCACGACCTCCGTACCGTAGGCCGCCATCGCTCGGAAACGTGCTTCGTCCTTCACTGCTCTCCTTTAACAAGTATAGAACTCGCGCTGCTACCATGTCATGGTTTACCCCGACAAGCACCGCTTCCAGCAGCTCCCTGGACTCGGTTGCACAAACATCTTCGCGGGGAAGGGGGAAGATCTCCTTGTCGTGAGCCAAGTATCGAAGCTCTCGCTCACAATTCCTTACCCGGTGGATTGTCTTTAGATGGCGCTGCACTAGCTCGTCAGTCCACCATGCCGGCTTGCTGCTTTGCATTTCGGCTCCGAGAAACCTGTCCGTTAGAGACCTGGACAGCATCAATGCAGATTGCCAGAAACGGGGCATGAGACCGGGCCCCATGTTTTCAGTCTTACAGAATTTTATGAAAAATTCGCATTCTTTGCGAGTCTCTTCACAGTTGAGAAAAGTTTCCTCTTGTGAAACGTCCATTGTGGTTACTGTAAGTTGTCTTTTAGTCCGTAATTGTTGTCGTTTAGGTTGTATTATCTGTCTGTGTAATCCGGAACCCCTTGGAACAAAACTGAATTTGAATAGGTGATCTTTTTATGATTGTGTCTATACAATACACGGTCAAGTCGACGGTCTTTCGCGATGAGCGTAGATGCTCACCTTACATCGTAACATGCACTGTGTCACTGACTTGTTCCGGGTGGTCATTTCAACCGATCATCTCACCATTGTGATCTCAACACTACACTGACTGAATACACAGAGTCTTTGTGTCTCAGAATATTAAACTCTGACCTTTCTGATCTCCTCATCACCATTCTCTCAAGCATTAACAACCACAACTCACAAACAATATCACACTCACGCAACAAGAACTCACTTACAGTACAAGTCAAGTAATACTAGACCGCCAACATGGACCACGCTAAGTCAGCTCTCAGCCAGCCTCCTCACAGCAACGTCCCTTGCTCGGATCAATGCCAATTTCCAACGGTGGACAAGCCGCTCACCAACGAGTCAGGCAACGCAGACTCTAAACAGCCCTCCCAAGGCAAACCGGGCCTCACTCCCTCCGGCTCCAACCCTCGCTCTTCTGCTGGGCACTCCACAGCTACATCCAAGAATCAACGCCGCGCATTACGCTGCTGTCTCTGCCTGCAAGAGCTAATTATCACCTTCCTCACCGAGCACACCCAGCCCTCTCTCATCACCCTCCAGCCAACCAACCACCACAGCATCATGCAGCAGGCCGGCTCCCTGCTCGTATCCATGGAACATGCGTTGCGCGACCTGCAGCTCACCATCCCAGCCAAGTACCATACCTTGTGGCTTAAGCATCAGATGGATGGGTACACCAAGACTCTGGAGGCCCTGCGCGAATTCATGCGTGGAGGCTGAATTGGTCAGGCCGTGTCTTTGACATCGGTAAGTAAGTAGGTGGGCTCCCGCTTTCTTCGAGCACTGCCGGGTGGTGAATAGGGGGGAGGGGGATTGGAGAGCTGAGAGTTTTGTTGAGGCGATGTCACGGTACGATGACGATGGAGGAAATATGGGTACGACGTTTCACGCGCGGGTAAACAATCTATATCATAGAGATAGAAATCTCAAATTCACGTTTGTACAACGTTTCGCTTTCGCGCCGTTTTTTTTTCGTTGCGACCAGGATGTTTTCGTGTGTTTCTTTTTTTTCTATGCGCCCTTCTTTTTTTTGCTTTACTGCCTTGTGTCGTTTCTTCTTCTTTTTGGCCGCCACCGCCGCCCTTTCCAACATAGCTAGGGGAGGGGAAAGGGGGGGCGGGTTCTCCAAGTCTACCGGGGTATCGTGTTTCAGATGTCTTGTAGTTACACATAGAATAGAAAAGCCGGGGATGTAGGGGCCGACGCGGAAGCTTGCGAATATGCAAGAGAAAGGGGGGGTTGGGCGGATTGCACACGGTAAACAAACGGATCGACGTTGCGAGATGCTAGTCGTGTGGTGTTTTGGAGGGAGTGATGTCGTGGTTTTTAGGTTGAGCAAGTTGTTATGGTTATCGAAAGTTTATTGGCAGAGCTGCAGGGGTGGGGGGCGTGGGAGGCTGGCCCCCGCTTGGTAGACCTACAGGGTCTTGGACGTGCGCGGCCTAACTTGGTTTAGCTGCCGCGCCGCACCAAAGTCAGCGGATGCGCTGTTATGAGAACGACTTTTTGTGTTGATTCAACACTTCAGTGTGTTCCTTAGTAGTGCAGGTATATGGCCCTAGTTTTTGTTATGTAGGAGTTGTGTTTATTGATTTTGCATAATGTGACGAAACCACTAGTGAAATAATATCTGAACTTGCAACCAAGATTAAACTCTACGAATGAATGTTGATACACTGACTGATAGAACAATGTGTGAATCAGACATGATGAGGGATCTGTATGGGAAGTTTGACAAGATCAGTAGTCGATTAAGAGAAAAAGCCCCGTTTTTTTTGCATTTTGAGATATACTCTTATAATGCGATCTGTCGGGACTATCACTTAGTAAGGATAATAATCAATTGTTAGTTGTATTGTAACAAGATTTGCTTTCTTCTAGACATTCTGAGTGTAAAAATATATGTAAAAAGTTCTCACACTGAGATTCCTATCGCCTGGCATGAGCATATTTGTGTACGATGCAAACTAGACTCAAATTGTCTATCATGATTTGCAAAAATCGTCGGTCAGTAAGGAGATAGTCAGACAGACGATGCACAAATTTTTAGGCGTGCTACTTTCAACCTGAAAATAATAGGATATGGTATATTTCCAATCATCTTTGATAGTTCATCATAAAACATTAAATGTGGCTTGCTGATTTCCATCTGAGTAAAGAACACATCCCGACTTTGTTGCATTCGATGTAGCATCTTCCACATGTTCACCCTCTCTGCTTTCCATCTTGTTTCCAAGCAGTCACTCAGTGTATATTGTTTTTTTCCATGCGAAGAAAATACTTTCCAATACCTTATACAGAACCTGTATTGAAAACTATTCTGAAAAGGCACCAAGGGTAAGTTCGGGATTTGGGATAGTTCCAAGAACAACCGAACAAATGGAATCACAATCTGAATCCATGATCATATGCAAGCACCAACTAATGCAGTCATCAAGAGAAGCGCTGTGACGTAAGAAATCTAGTCATGTAAGCATTGCAATAGAACTGATGCGCACAACCTGAGATATGCCAGAAGTATCCGTGCTCCCTCATGTGTCGGTCCCATTTTCGCGTCAAGGCATGGCAATGCTCGTATCTCAGGAAGCCTAGAGCAAGCTGACACAACTAGTCGGTGCGTTTCATCTATCTCAACATCTTGGCAGCGCATCGCACATCACCCACCTCCTCGAAGCCAAGCATTCGCCAATCTGCGCTAAATCCGCCAAGCAAGTCGGAAATTGATGACAAGAGCGGGGGAAAACAAGGCTCTATGGCGTGATTAGGCGGTGATTGATGCGAAATAAATGGTCCTTCTATACCACCGTCATATCGTCGATAGAAGATGAAGCGCCTTCTATCCTGATCGATGATCAAAGTCGATCAGCAGACGATTGCAATATCTTACTACCCCATGAGTTGCGCCAAGTCCCATAGCTGTGCGATATCTCTATATTTGGTGTTACTTCAAATATGCAATTTCCAGCACAATACACCTGCCTCCTGCGGGAACACGATGCACGCGTGCTCGTTTGATTCTCACAAACATGGATGCATTTGCCTGCACATAGCTCGAGGTGAAGGGTGCATCGCGCTGCTTCTCCGCTTTCCGCTCGGAAACCCAATATGAAGAGCCAATAGCATTGCTACTATTACGCACATAGTGGCACAATTGCCGACATGAACAATACCGACAAACGCCCTTGCGTACCCAGCCACGTAGGTATATGCGCAGCCTTCGAACATCGTCACATTAGGCCTACAGTAACAATGAATGACTACTCTACGCCAAACGGCGTCAATCACGGCCGCCAAGAATTAGGAATCCAGCCTCGGCTGTACTCTATCAACAACCCGCCGTCATTGGAAGGCTTCAAGAAGCTAACAACAGAGTCTTCATCAATTGACTATCCGCTTGCAAGCACTATCAAGTCGCACGTGCCGATATATCATCTCCCCGATTATTCATCGTCGAGTCCAGAACAACTTGCTGCTCTACAGGACGAATGGTACCACATCCTGCTTTCAGGTCCCGGTGTCTTCGTCACCAAGAACCTCTACAAAGACACATCTCTGATCAATGACGTCAACAAAGTCTACTCGTCAATAATTGAAGAAGAGAAGCAAGCGTCCAGCCGACGCGGTGACCACTTTGCAGGCGCCGGCGCCAACGACCGCATCTGGAATTCACTATCCAAACACCGCCTCTTGGATGCAGCCTCATTTGTAAGATACTACTCCAATCCTTGGCTTCCATTGATATCCGAGGCATGGCTCGGTCCGTATCACCGCTTGACCGCACAAGTCAACATCGTGAAGCCCGGCGCCAAAGCTCAGATTTCGCACCGAGACTACCACATTGGATTCCAAGATAGCGAGTCATGCGCGAGATTTCCAAGAGTAGTGCAGGTTACGTCACAGTTTCTCACGCTGCAAGGTGCAGTTGCGCACTCGGATATGCCGGTTGAGAGCGGTCCGACGCGATTGTTGCCATTCAGTCAGAAGTTTGAGCAAGGGTATATGGCATATCGAATACCCGAGTTCCAGGACTTCTTTCTGGAGAACCATGTTTCGTTGCCATTGGAAAAAGGTGATGGGTTGTTCTTCAATCCTGCGCTGTTCCATGCTGCAGGTCAGAATGACTCTGCGGATATCATGCGCTCGGCGAACCTGCTGCAGATTTCATCGGCGTTTGGTAAGCCCATGGAATCGATTGACACATATCCTCTTGTTGAGAGTACTTGGGATGCGTTGTCAGAGATGTATGTGAAGAATGGGCTCAGTGACGAGGTTAAGGCGTTTGTTAGCGTTGTTGCAGAGGGGTATCCGTTTCCTACGAATCTTGATAAGAGAGTGCCACAGGCTGCGGGCATGGCTCCGACGAGCGAACAAGACTTAATCTTGAAGTGTCTGAAAGATCATGTTCCAAAGGAAGATGTGTTGTCACAGCTACAGAAGATGAAGGAAGATTCGAGGGCGTGAATTGTTTTGTAACCGCGTGTCGAGTCAAAATTGGATTCCATCTGCATTCATCACGGTATGACTGTATACTTAATCATAAACGGTAGAATACCAGAGTGCTCATATTTCAATATGTCATTCAATGTTGTAGTCGCAGAGGTATTCACTAAAATACCAAGTATACAACACATCCTACAATACAATCATACCCAACCAAAAGACATCCATGAGTATCATCAAACACAACACCCAACCCTCACTGTTCGCTGTACGTTTGGCATATCAAACATATCCAACTCCACCGTAAACATCATCTATTCATACCTACTCTATCTCCACCAACATTCAAAACATCTATTCCTCAAACTTCGAGCTTCAGACTCACCACATCCCTTGTCCCAAAGCCACCACAACATCAACCACACCAAGTCCAAAAGAAGCAAGAAGAAACAGCAATGTCCAACACAACCCCAGACACTCTCCTCAAACTCGCCTCTGAACTCTCTACACTCGGCACCACTCTCTCAGCCGCAGGCACCAAACTCGCCGCCGCAGCTGCGTGTCTAGAGCAAGAAGCAGCAAACATTGCTCTAGCCAATGCACAGAAATGGGGGGTAGATGTCCAGGTTCGTTACTAACTTCTTGCTTCACTCATTGCATAGCCTAGCACTCTAGGGTCTCTCTGGACTAGGGCTTGTCGGAGAGAAAGCGAGAGAAGAGCTGACAATTGGGGAATTCTAGGTTGCGGTTAGAGCGGGACCAGGAGTGTATCATGCGCAGGGAAAAGGGCAGGGACATGAGGTTGTTGTTAATGGGGTTAAGAAGTGAATTGCTATCTTGAGGAGGATGTAAAAGAAAGAAAGAAAAAACAGTAGTTTTGGACAAGGGGGAGCACAACGGGCAGAGGTGCGACTTGGGTGGGTGGGTGAGTGGGAAATATTCAATAGTACTCGATCATGCACTCGGTCTTCTTCAAACGAAAAAGGCAGTGTTGGGATACTTTGTTGGTATTTACATCTACTCATGTCGTCTGCATCACATGATCGCCCCTCTTGCCTCTTACCGCAATGTTCTAACCGTGTAAACGTTGATCCGCGTTTTGGCATCGGAAACCTCTTTGAGTCTAGTGGGAAAGTTTTATCTGATCATCTGATAAGATCCGACGTCGGACAAGCTCTCGGCCAATCATACTGCGTTTCTTTCCCGAACAATCTCCGCTGATCGTTCTAGCCATGTAATTTCACGTAATCGTGTAGTACAAACGCCTGATGTCAATGCCACAAAGAGCAATTATGGCGTGACTGCAACTCACAACCGGCGTCTCTTCGGTCCGTTCGATCAGCAATTCAGTAGGGAAAATGTCTCGGGGTACGATTTTTCTTATGCACGAATCACTCAAGAGCACGTGAAAGCAGCTGGAAGTCAAAAGTAAAGGTTACACGTAATACGTGAAGAGATGTATTCTCCTATTAGTCTATCATGTGATCATTGTAGTCTGATCAGTGTCGTGGTAAAATCCAGTAATGGAAAAGAAAATCAGTAAAAAGACCGCCCTGCCGTGATTCGTAATCTTTTTTTGCGACTGCTAATTCCATCACATGGGATGTACAGTCAATCATGATGATGACTCTGCAACGACCGATTCCGATAAAAGATGGCAGAATGATGGTCGTTGGAATCAAAAATGGAAGAAATTTAAGACTAGTTCTTCTCACAATCCAACATGGGATGGTCATCGGACTTTTTCATAGGAGTGGAAGACTTTCGGCGCCTCTCTTCTGCTTCCTGGACCAAGCGTGCATATGTACCATCGGATGGACGAGGCTTGATGGGACCCGGAGCATGCTGCAGAGTAGTGAGGATGCTGCTAGCATCTAGCTCCATAGCACTGTACATGCCGGGCTCCATAGTGAATGTGTTCTTTCGAGCATCTTCCTGCGCAAAGGTTGGAGGAACAGGCTTCAGTTGACGCCAATCCATTTGCGTGTCGACTCGCCCAACCAGCAGCTTGAAGGCATCACTGCAGCCAACAGTGTCTCCGCGACTCACGGGGCTGCTCATATCGATACTGGTAGAGGCCTTGGGCTCCATGGTTCCTAGCACAACACTCTTTGTTGAGTTGCGTCGAGAGTTGGGCGGTGTCGCTTCGCTGCGAAGCTGTGCAACTCTTTGGCACCAGGCGCGCTGCTCGGGGTTCGCCTGACAATCAGCACAGGAACCGGGACCGGTCACAGCCACATTTGACTTGACAGGTTCAGCAGAAGGGGCATTTGGAATGGGCGCCAGTGATGAGGTTGTATCGGCAGCTTCGGAACGCAAGCTTCTGCAGATGCAAGACTCTGGCTGGTCTGCGCAAAAACCACAATCGGGAAACTTTGCGTCTTCGGCTGAAGCGAGGAGTGCAGCCGGGTTGGCATCATGAGGCTTTTGTTTACTGAATGCAGCTGTAAAGTCTGTTTCGAATTCGCTGTGGTCGCGTGGCTTGCCGTCATCGGGCTCTCCATGGTCGGCGCGAAGAACACCTGTCATGGGGTCGACAGGACCTTGGAAAGCGGCGTCATTGGTCATCTCAGCTAGACAGGCGCAATGGTCCTTTGTGCACCGGTCGCATCCCAAGTCTGTTGGTTGAGGGCTAGGAACGAGAGCCTGGGCATTGAAGTCGGTATCGAAGGCCCTGCGGAGAGGAGTGTCATGGCGGGAGTAGGAGAAAGACATAGAAGGGGGTTGGCCAGCGACAGCTGACAGTCTGTCCTGCATATATTTGCAGGCTGCTCTCAACTCCTCAACTTCGTTGACTAGTCTTTGATTGTGATTTTTGAGGCTCTCGATTTCACCTTTGAATTGAACTCTCTCTCTCGCGTGGTCAGCATTAGCTTCCAAAAGTTGCCTAGAGACCTGATTCAACGACTCCTGCAGATCCAGGACGGTCCTCTGCTTGCGCTGGCGAAAGTTACGCTGCGACTGTCGGTTTTGGGCCTTGCGCTTCGACTCTGGCTCCTCGGTGGCAGGCTTGCGGCCGGGCTTGGGGCGTGGTGGGACGACATGGGTCTTGCTGAGCGGGCCCCCGCCAGTCTGGGGAGGGCCAACGGTGGTGTCGGATTCAGGAGACAACGTGGCGACGGAGTCGTGCACAGGGCCTGCGGGGCAGGGGACGAGGGCTGCCAGTCTGTCAGTACCAGTACATACCGTTAACTGTGGTGTTGTGCAGCCGACAGCCGCGGCAAACCGCGGGTGGGACAAGGGAAAAGCAATGGACGGGTGTACACTCACTTCGACTGGGTCGGCGGGAATCAGTATTTTCTACGAGCGCGGTGGGCGACTGAGGCGATACACCGGGTGAGTGGAAGGCGGTGGGCGAGGCAGTACGGCCAGCGGGTGTATTCAAGAAGTTGACGAGCATCTCTGTCTGGATAACAGCCACCTCTTGTTGGGCATAGGTCAGGTGCGGATTGACAGGTGCGCTGTTATCAGATGGATATCCTAGTTTATCAGATCGAGCCACCAAACCCCGAGTCCCGCCGAGCTCGGAGCGGAGCGGGAAAACTTACCGGCTGTCTGAGGCAGTGAGCCGAGCTGCACTGCACCACCAACACCATGTGCTAGATGAGTGCCGCTGCTGTCAACACCCTCGTCAAATCTCAGTCTGCCGAACACCATCTGCTGCTTAAGCAGCTCTGCATCCAACTCCCACTCGAAGTCCATGGCGATGCTGATGATTGCGAGTTGCGTCGCTGGATAGCAATGTACTGCCTGAGAGAAGACAGGCATTTGTCAGATACTGTTCACTTATATACTTCTGTATCCGCTCCCTTTCCCGGCACCTTCATACTAAGCAGTGACGGATCAAACTCCTGTGGTTCGGCAACGACCATGGATCCCACAGCTTGCCCATTGTTTTGTGCAGCCCTCGGCCTCAACACGCTGACATTCTCTTCAAACCCGATTTGTTATGTTCCATGGAAAAATTGAAGAAAAAACGTATCCGTTCCTCATCTAAAGGATGGAGCCCGCCTATATCAGGACCAACTTCCCTCATTATAGTCACGAGAGTCCCTTCCAATAATGGTCTCCCACTACAAGGTGCTCATTCTACTTGCGCAAGTCTCCATACTTTTTGGACATATTAACCTCCACCAATCGAATCAGCCACGGAGAGTATCCCACAGTCCTCCACCCCATAAGGAGCCAACAACTCTCTCTCATACTGCATGCGCAATTTGCAAGATTTTTGGTGTGGAAGCGAGGCGCTCTAGTTTATTCTACTAGCTCCAGTTGAGCGTACCTTGGCAAAGCAGTCTTATGAAACAGAGGCCCACCAAAAACCATAATCATTACCCAAAGCCAATATCGTGGCCCCTCGGCCTTCAAGATACACATCCTCGCTTGGCATCCTCAGTCTCAGAATCGCAAATTCCCCATGGTCCCTGCCCCCCGGACTCTTTACAACACCTGCAGGGCCCACCTTACAGCGCTCCTATCCATCCCGTGAGCCCCTACAGTGACTTCCTTGATCAGGCCGTGGAAATGCTATAGTGCATTTCATGATATCATGTTGATGATGCTCAAAGGCATTCTGCAACTTGATGCGTCGTGTAACCTTTGGTAGCTCGAATGAACAGAGCGAGAAAGCAGGGCGTTAGAGCCTGGCCGCGGAGCCCAAGGTTGGAAGAGGCCAATACGGCATATACCTGCTATTTTTTCGCCAGGGAAGTCGCATCTAATGCCGTGATGCCATCTTCTCCATTACAATCAAGGTTGACACCTTGTACACTTCGGGACGCTGAACATATGGCTCCACATCGACATAGTTTAGGATAGCAGTCAACCTTTTCGCATGTCTAGTAGCGTTTTGCCTGCGATGTGGGTGATGTATGTGTCCCTTCGCACTCGGTAGGATGAAGCTGCATGGTCCCATTCCGGGCTGGTCATTAAGGCCTTTGGATCCAACACATTGTTTGTAGTATACTCGATAGTCGGGAGGCTTCATTTGCAATCACATTACCGCGGAGCATGCCTATCCGATACCTGTGTAACCTTGTGAGCAGCTCCCATTTGGTCCAACATGACGATGTGGTTTCATTGCCTGGGGTCCTCCGCGTCCATACTCTAGCCTTGCGGACCACTAATCCGTGGCTTCATCAGAGAGATTAACAGCTAGCACCTCGGATGAATCCAGTCTTTGACCCCTTTGAAACATAGGCTGGAAGCTCCTCTATCTCACCAACAAGTCACTAAAGCCAAAGTGTCTCATTACGCAGCACCAACTTTGACGAGCGATATCCCGTATCTGGCTGTCGGCTGCGTGCTAAGCTGGGACCTTATGGGCCACTATAGTGGCATACTTGTCGTCACTCCAACCTTGCATCCCCAGATTTGACATCGATTCACGGCTAGAACTATCAAATAGAGAAATTGAACCATCACTTCTATCTCAATGCCCCCAAAAGGACCAATTATATCATCTCAAGTGTCCAACTTGCTATAGCCACCATGAACACAGTGTCTCCAACAACACCATAATCTATCAAATCTTTACCCTATCCCCAGACACCCTACTTACCCCTCTCCTACCATCCAATTCTACGCGAGCAGTCCATCCCCAGGTTCGAACACGGCGGAAAGTGGAGCCGATCAAAAACATGACTTCTCATCCGCCTTATCTCCATCAGTGCGTCACAAACTGGGAGAGAAGCGGTCCACAGTTCCAATGATTGGGTAACGAGTCAAGTCTGGGTTGGGGAAGCGAAGCCAAGGACTTCACCTTTGGACATATGATCTGCACTCATTCAAAATGCGCTAACCAGTTTCGAATAGGGCAGCCTTGTTTCCTTACGATGATTTTGCGGCGCTGGCGATGATGTCACGGTAGTGTTGAGCAATGAGAAAATTGGTTTGCACGACTCAGAGTCTGCGCCTGAATTTTTGCGCCGCACCAAATTAACATGGCAATAAATGCGTCTATCCAATCACACACCGAGCCCTCCTTCACCTCCTACCCTCCACCCAGAGCCTCGACCAAGGCGAGTACGCCTCACTACCAGACAAACAACTCAAAAAATGGTCCCAAATCTTAGGCACTGGCGCGGAAGACAACGCTGTTTCCGTGTCTCCACCTTATCGTCTCTCGCGCGTTCATGACGTGCAGCGCCCGCGCAAGAGCCTGTTCAGAGTATCCCTTGCCATCGACCATTTCGCGCTTGAGAGTCGACAGGTTGACTTGCCACCCGATCGGCATACGGCGCCGAAGTTCCTCTTCCACCTTGTTGACCTCATCCATGAGTTCCTTTGAACTCTGTCCTTCGCCCTGATTCACTGCATCCATGGTAGACGCAAGGAACAGGCGGATTGCTTCATCGACGTGAGACTCATCTGCTATGGGCGAGAGCGATAGCTTGGCTAGCGACTCCGTGATACGGATAATGGCTTCCAGTTGGCGCACCGTAATTGGGATGCTAGACCGTTGGTTGGCATTCACTTCGGAAGCGTGCACTTGTCGCCTGATGCTAACGAAGTGGCTCGAGAGTTTCTCCGCCGCTTCAGGCGAAAGACGAGGTGCGCACCGTTGCCGGCAGTAGGTGATGTAGCGCTTCATCTTTTCAATCGGTATCTCAGCTTGTACATTTTCTTCCACACCACGCCCGCCCATGGCGATGCCCATGACGTGCTTTGCTATCCGCTCGTCACGTCCACGGTCATGCTCGTCGCGCACAATGAAAATCATATCGAAACGCGACAGGATGGTGGTTTGGAAATCGATATTCTCACCAGGTGTCTTCATGTCGTCGTAACGTCCGAAAATCGGGTTGGCAGCCGCCAAAACTGATGTTCGCGAGTTGAGAATAGTTGTAATACCTGCTTTAGCAATGGAAATGGTTTGCTGCTCCATGGCTTCGTGGATAGCTACTCGGTCTTCGTCGCGCATCTTGTCGAACTCGTCGATACACACTACACCACCGTCTGCGAGAACCATAGCACCTCCTTCGAGGTAAAACTCGCGTGTGTTGTGATCGCGTTGCACTGAAGCAGTCAAACCAGCGGCTGAGGATCCTTTTCCGGATGTGTAAATAGCAATTGGCGACACTTTCTCGACAAACTTGAGCAACTGCGATTTGGCAGTACCTGGGTCACCAAGAAGAAGTACGTTGATGTCGCCACGAAGCTTCATTCCATCTGGTAGAATCTTCTTTGAACCACCCATTAGCAAGCAACAAATGGCCTTTTTGATATCCTGGTTTCCGTAGATGGAGGGCGCAATGCATCGTGAAAAGACCTCGTAGATGTCTGGTCTGCGGCTCATCTCCAGGAATTCTTGCTCTTCCTCCTCAGTAAAAACCGCGTTTCCCTTGGTTCCGTGATCGACTTCTGCGTGGATGCCGACAGCGCGTATGTAGGGATTGCGAATGGCTACCGCAGCGTTTCCTGCACGCTTGGAACCCTTTTGCTGGTAAATAGAAAAAATGCCCATGACGGAGCACCGTGTACCAGGAACAACGCGGTTGGCAAGATATCTGTCGGCAGAAATCATAATGTGGCGCGGAAGTTCGCCAACTGGGACCATATCAGGCGCTTCTTGCAGCTTGAGCACCTGCTGGTCGATGAACTGGCAGCGCTCGTGCATGACATAGTATGGGTCCAGCGGACACTGATCGCCGACCTCGCCTTCTCCCTTTTTCCTACTGCATGTTCTTGGAAGAGAGACCCCTGAGAAGCCGCCCGCTATAGGTAAGATCTCTTCATGCTGGCAATTGCGGCATCGAATAGCGAGGGCTGTGGCCTTGGAGGAAAGCGTGGATGCACCAATGATGATACCGGGTATGCGTACGAGCTGTGAGACGTTTGTAGCGGTGAGATCGCGGATAGAAAGCTCTGAAGCGTTGGAGTGAAGGAGCAATTGGTGCTGAGGGAGGGATATGTTCTTCTGTGAGGGGTAGACGATACGCTGTGTACATGTCTTGAGGGCGGCTTCAAACTGGCTAATGTCAATGCTTATATGAAGTAACAGAGAATACAACATACAAGAGGTATGATCTCAGCCGGGTTCTGTCTAAGGTCATGGGCCAGCTCGGGGCTGTAGCTGATGAGATGGGCAACGTCAATATCACAATAGTATTGCTTCAAGAGCACGTTCTCGCGTATTTGATCTCTAGAGACCATATCAGTCCCGCACTTGTTAATTCATAGCTGCTTCTTTTGTGTACCTGTAAACGAAGATATTGTCCAGAGTAAACTCCATGATAAAGTCCACCAATGCTCGTTGCACGCGCGAAGGCGCAGTATCGTCCTGAGGGCCATCAGATGCCTGGCTTCCGAAAAGGCTAATAGAAAATGGTGTCTGCCTGTCTGCCATTATCGTCGTGGGTCGTAAGTCGTTATGGTGTTTGTGTGTGAAGGTAGAGAGGGGCAGACAAAGCCGTCGTTAGGGGCGACGCGAATTGTGAAGTCGCGCTCGCGTTCTTGGTCTGAGCGCCCTCCATTTTGCAGCCGTCTTGGGCCTAGCGCTCCCCGCTCCAGCACCTTTTCTATCATAAATATCAGGTCTTGAATTCTAGTAAAACTCTCAATGCTTGCCGTTCTAAGCACAGCTTCCCCAATCGTGGTTTTCTCTTGATCTGGCTTGTCACGGTGAAGATTCGACCCATTTGGAACATCTACTCGGCATGCAAGAAGCACTTCAAGACCTGGCATATCGATATGGGCTATTGAGTAGATGTACTAAAAAACAAGCAATCTCATGTGTGTCGTTACTCATGAGTTTTACAATATATGGATATATACTATGGAGAAGTTGGAGTAATATCAAAAAAGGCAATTCGTAGTATGAAGCTGTGATTCAATAACCAAGCCACCTACGCCTTACGGAAATCAAATTCCCTAACATCCCCGGCCTTCGTCTCCAACCTCATCCGGCCATTAGAAAACCCTTCAGCTTGCCTAGCAGTAATTGTCGAATTGCCACTACCGCCGTACTTGAGCACAACCGGTCCACCAACTCTACTTTCCATCCTCATATGCACAAGCTTTCCATCCGCCCACTCGAGATCAAATACGAACCCCCCTCTCGCCGCAATCCCATTAACAGATCCATCATTCCATTCTTCTGGCAAAACAGGTAGCAGCCATACTTCTCTGACGCCCTTGTCGTCGACAACGTGCGATTGTAACAGGCCTTCTGCAACACCGCTTACGAAACCCAGATTACCATCGATCTGGAAAATGCCCTCATTGACATCCATCAAGTTGTTGAAAACACTCGTGTTGAAGAACTGAAAAGTATTTTCCGCAAGCGCAGTCCTATTCTGTAAACGAGCATACCAATTAATCGTCCACGCACGCGACCACCCCGTTCCCGCTCCGTTGTGAGATAAGCGGTCTTCGAGCGTAGCGGCCGCGGCGTTGAAGAGCTTAGCATCGTAGCCTGGGGCGCCGGGAGGAAGGATTTGGGTTCCTGGGTAGAGAGCGTAGAGATGGGAGACGTGGCGGTGGCCTGGCTCGGCTTGCTCGTAGTCTTGCATCCATTCCTGTAATGTGTCCGGGTAGCGCGTTGAATACCGGTACGGTGGGAGTTTGGATTGGGTGTCGCGGATGCGTGTTAGGAATGCAGAGTCTACGGTTGAGTTGGAGAGGGTGGCGATGGCGTTGAGGTAGTTTGTAAAGAGCTCGTTGAGGATTTCAATATCGCATGTGGGTGCCGTATCGAAGTTGTAAGACTTTCCGTCTGGGCCTACGTATGTGTTTTCTGGGGAAACAGATGGGTTGGTGACAAGATATTCGGTTCCGTTGGTCTTGTAGGGTTGAAGTGTGTCCAGGTAGAATTCAATAGCTTCGGATACAATGTGCAAGTTTGAAGCTAGGAAGCTTTTGTCGCCTGTGTACCAATAATGCTCAAGTATGTGAGTGACGAGCCACCCAGAAGATAGTGTCCAGTACGTAGCGGGTAGATACGTGTCGACAGGTGCCGTGTCCCCCCAAAGATCTGTGTTATGATGGCTCATCCACCCAGATGCATTGTACATCGCTTTAGCTGTGTGCGTGCCATCCTTGCGCATCAGTTCCAGAAGATCAAAGTACGGTTCATGTAGACTAGAGAGACTTGTAACCTCAGCGGGCCAGTAATTCATCTGGAGATTGATGTTAACAGTATATTTGGAGCCCCACAACGGGTCGAATTCTTTGTTCCAAATGCCCTGAAGGTTCGAGGGCAGATTACCAGCTCGAGAAGAAGCGATGAGCAGATAGCGTCCATAATTGTAGGCCAAGGCGACCAATCCAGGGTCATTCGCACCTTTGCGAGTCGCGTTTATTCGTGCATTAGTGGGTAAGCTGCTCGTCTGGAGATCCGGCCCATTCAGATTAAGCACACTGGCGTTGTAAAACGGCGCATAGTCCTCAATGTGGCGACGACGGAGCTCTTCGTAGGTATGTTGCCGAGCCTTTTGTATAGTGCTATCCACAGCAGCTCTAGTATCGTTGTGGCGATACGAAGTTGCAGCTGCAAGGAATGCAGTCGCTTCAGTAGCATTCTCCACGACGATGAATTCGCCGAGCGTCCTCACATGACCGTCCGACTCAACCGCCAGAGCAGTAGTAAACACCACTGGGTCGATACCGCCAGTTCCACCGGTCATGTATGTCCACCCGTTTTCGTTCCAATTCTGATCAGAAGCTTCGTTCAAACCGTCCTTAGGTCGATGTACACGTATCTGGAAAGATAGCTTCTCGTTTCCCGTTGCTTTCAAGCGGTGTACAAAAACATCGTCTGGCACCGACACGAACATCTCCCGCTCGTAGAGAGTATTGTTGACCTTAAACCGCACACCAGACAAAGCTGTGTCCAGGTTCAACCACCGTTCATACGTATTCTTGTCATATTTACTTGTACCATCGAAAGATATCTCCATATCTCCCAAGGTCTGGTAATTCCTGCATGTCTGCGGAGTGCCCATCATCCCTAAATTGGCCAACTTTTGCGCACCGGCAGCATCGCCTCGAGCAAGCAAATCTCGAACTTCTGAAACTGTTTGGGCTCCATTTTGGTTCACCCGATCTCGACGGCCTCCTGACCATATAGTTTCTTCGTTAAGTTGTATGCGTTCTTGTACCGGTATGCCATAAATCATTGCTCCGAGGCGGCCATTGCCAATCGGGAGAGCATCGGTCCAGGTACTCGATGCGACGGGAGACTTGTACCAGAGTCGAGTGCTGTTTTCTGCTGCTGTCAATGGCACGAAGCCAATAGCAGTAGCAAGAATTGCCGTTATCAGCATTGTCAGGGCCGAAATGTTATGGCCAAATACGGTCTGAACGAATGGGTTTTATACTTCATGTGACTCCACTATAGAGTCAAGATATGGTGTGCCAATACCCGACGAGATGGTGATCTGGAACCGTCCCCCACCTCATTGATGGACCGCATTTTGCCCGTGTACGTACGATGTACTGCTGACGAACTATGTAGGTCGTCGTTAGCGCAACGTCCCCCGCATTCCATTTTCAGACCTCCGACGCAGATCGTAGGCATAGTAAAGGTTCTTTTTCGTTGCATCGGGTTACATTCCGGAGTAGTCCCGAGGAACATAGTGTTGTATTTAGCCTCGGGGTAAAATGCTCCATCGTGGTCCGGGATCGATGAACAAGAGTAGACGCAGAGGCAGGGTTTGCACGCAGCCACCATGCTTGACCTCATTTCCTTTTATTCTTGAGGTATGTAGTCATGTAAAATTTTCGCCGTTTGTGATTGCGGTTTCGGTGAGGTTGATTGTGGCTTTCTGGTAGATTAGCTCCCATTAGAACACCCTGTCATGGGATCAAACAACCGTTCGCTATCGTTAGGTGTTGTATATGCTGTTTTCGTTTTCAATAACATGGCGATTTTTCAAGTGGAAGTACCTTGAAATGATAATCTACTTGAAGAGGTTGGGGCAATTGGAGAGATTGACGTCACGAAAACATGTCCCGCCAGCGCTAGTCCTGCACCCCACAAGAGCCGATCTTGTCCCTATTCTCTCAAAATATGGCCTGCAATCTCGAATAGTCAAAACGACTTGCCTTAACTAACCGGACCGCTATAGTGTCGTGTGCATCAACTGTCGTCTTGTATTTTCCCTTGAACTTCCCTAGCTTTTTTCCAGTCCATGAGTCAATAATTGTGTATGCCACATCAGGATCAAGTTCTGGAACCTCTGAAAAGTCGATGATCTTAGTTTGCTTAGTGTTCAACGTGTTCATAACAAACACGTGGACGCCCTTGGATGACAACCCGCTCCAATACTCAGCAGGGTGAGTCCGATTCCACGTAAGGTCTGGGTTCACGCCCCACTTGTATGGCTTAGCGGCGGGACCTACGAGTGGATCCTGGTTGAAATCAATGAGCTCTTTGTTGTTGAGAATCTCTAATATCTCTAGCTTGATGTTGTGAAGTGGTGTTCCAATGATAAGAGGCGACTTCAGGGCAGCCCACATTGCGAAGTGCGTACGGCTCTCCTGGTAGGTCAGCTCACCATTGCCCACTTGCAACATGTCCCAGTCACCGTGGCCCCAAAAGTCGGTACTGTTGATAAAGAATGATGCGTGGTTGAGAATAGGCATTATACCCCAGTCTCCATTCTGGAACTCTTCCCATCTAGGCCCAATGTCCCACCACATTCGCCAACTGTGGCCAGTCTCGTTGCCCCATTGATCAATATGGGCATTTCCCCATACGCACTGAGAGAACTGTATGGGGCGATTGGCAGCGAGTAATGCGTCTCCCATCCTTTTGTAACGAGTAAAGGTTTTGGAGGACCTCCAATCGTACCCATCTGGTACTGTAATTACTTCAGTTTCGGCATCACCAGTCCTTTGATCGCCAGCAGGAGGATCGGCCACCCAGTCATCTGGACTCCATCGGTATTTGTCCTGCCATTTTCGAGGGACAAAACAGTTGTCGTACTTCAGGTCTGCTTGTGGTTAGATATTTTTCTGACTGTCCGTGTCGCACCTACAATCAACGCCCCATTCTGCGAACGTCTCTGCATCTAATCTCTCGTTTCCCAAAGAGCCGGCGTATCCGGCACATGTTAATGTTCCCGAGTCACTGTAAATTCCGAATTTAAGTCCAAGCTTGTGGATCTCCTCCGCGGTGTGTTTGATGCCCTTGGGAAATTTGTTGTAGTCTGGTCTAATTCTCCCGGTAATATCATCGCGTTGATAATCTTTATCACTCCAACAGTCATCGATGTTCACATAGCTGTACCCGACATCCTTCAGACCAAGGGAGACCATAAGATTCCCTACTTCCACAAAGAGTGTCTCGTTGATGTCGCATCTATACACATTCCAGGAGCTCCATCCCATGGCAGGAAGACGCCCAATTTGTTCGCCTGGGGAAGATAGGGAGCGCGTGCCAAACAACGCGAGGTTGATGCGCAGTAACTTCGACGCCGCATCAAACATTTGGAAAAGCTGTCAAAATCTCTTGTTCCTAGAAAAGGTTTATAGAATTGAGGTTTTGAACTCGTATTTCGGACGATCTCCAGAGATCACAGTACCCCGCTGAGTAAGACGCGTAACCTTTTCAGCACGGGACACCGACCCCATGTTGCCTGAGAAATGGTGCTGCGGGCACTTCGTGTCAGCTGCACAATCACCACATGAATACGAGGGACGGCATACCTTAACCCTTTTGAAGAAAAGTACTGGTAGTAGAATAGCTTCAACCCCTCTCAAGCAATGACGTTATCTATGCACAGATATCGGCAATTCTATAATCTTTTTTGGTGGAGTTGCAAAAATTGGAATTGAGAAGTTGGTCATAGAGATTTTGAAGAGACTAGTAGGACGAATGAAGGTGTGGTTAGAAACACCGAGCACCGAGACTAACGTGAATTACGTCACAGATGGCATCCCACCACGAACCCCTCTCTGCGTCACAAACTACTATGACTACCTTTACATATCAAAGCATTAAAATTTCAGTGTTTCTGGCCATTTTGATGGCGGCCATGGTCATGGAAATGATCATGGTCATGTTCCTCCTCATCCTGCACCCGCGGCCATTCCGCCCAGTAGCCATCGTCCCACATTTCTTGCAGAGTCTCTTCCTTTTCATCGTCATCTAGCTTCTTGTCAAACATAACCTTTTCCCACTTCTTCATCTCACTGCGACTTAGCAAGCACGAGTCGAGCGCCTTGCTCATACCATCAACATCGAGCTTCTCGCCGATGAAAACCATCTCCTGGCGACGGTCTCCCCATTTGCCTTCAAAGTCGTTCTTGATAGCCTTTAGGGTATCTTCATCAGCACCCCAGTCCTCTTCAGACACACAGCAGAACCAAGGCATCTCAGATCCGAGTGTCAGCATTGCGCCGGCGGTGCTCCATGAACCCATCTGGTTAGGACGAGTTGCGAGCCAGAAGATACCTTTGCTGCGGTGAAGACCGCTGAAGTAAGGGCTGGTTCTTTTGTTTTCCAGAATCTGCTTGTCATCAATCGGAGGAGTATCGTCATCATTGCTTTCCTTGTCGGAATCATCTCCGGAAGTGCTGGCTTTGCCAGAATCAGATGATCCATCATTGCCATCTTCTTCGTCTTCGTCCTCTTCATCATCCACATCTTCTGCTTCGTCCTGTAGAAGAATGAACTTGCCCTCAATCAATCGGTAGAGCTTCAAAGGATCAAATGGCCTACGAGCGTGGTACACGAAAGACCCGATTCCATACCTTTGGAAAGAGGTAAGCAGTAATCACAATTTTCCTGGGGATCAACTCACTCTAGCGTTTCTGGTTTCGGCGCAACACGCTTCTTGCCATGGACATCCATCACAGTCATCTCGTGCAAACTCTTCAACCACCCGGCACTTGCGACTGCCTCACCAAAGTTGAAGACACCAGTGTTCAGCATCTCACGGACATCTACCTTGGAATATCTAGCTTCGATAAGCTTGGCGTTCGGGTTAAGCGACTTGATGTAGGCCTTGACGCGGCCCAGAGTTGCAGTATCGGCTCTATCAATCTTATTGACAATAATGACATTAGCGAACTCAATTTGATCAGCGAAGAGATCAGAGATGGTGCGCTGATCCTCGTCAGGAACCTCCTCTTTTCCGAAGCGATCCTGCAGGAACTCTGCAGTATCGAACTCAGAGAAGAAGCGAAAGGCATCCACGACAGTGACCATAGTATCCACAGTCGCAATTGTCTTCAATCCACCAATCTTTGCACTTCACTTCAAGTCAGCAGATTGAGCCGTGATAGTCACCTCGGCTACTTACACCTTAGCAAACACCTCCTTCTCATCCGGCTCCAACCCCTCCGCATCAAGCATAGCCTCAGTCAACTCAGTAGTAAACGTCTCAGCAACCTGCTGAGGCTCACTGATGCCAGAACTCTCAATCACAACATGGTCGAAACCCTGATCGCTCCATGCGAGACGAGCCAGCTCGACCAGCAGATCACTTCGAAGCGTGCAGCAGATGCAGCCGTTCTCCATCTGTATCATCTTCTCCTTGACGCGTACCTCACCATTGCTGTTTGGCTTATTACTAGATCGGCTTATGATGTTGGCATCGACGTTGACAGAGGCCATATCATTCACAATAACGGCGATGCGCAATCCATGGTCTGGTGACTTGAGGATATGTCGTAGGAGGGTCGTTTTCCCGCTACCCTGACCATTATAAGCATGATTCAAACTCTTCCTGAGGATACTTACTAGGAAACCAGAGAGAATGGTAACTGGGAGTGGCTTTCGCTCACTGGCCTTGTTCTTTGGCTTCATCTCCGCACCACCCGTCTTTCTGCGCTTTGCTGGTGACATTGAGTTTTCCTTTGGATCATGGAAAGTATTTGAAGGTTCTGAGCGTTTGTATTCTCTCTGGATTGATTTTTTTATATCTGCTTCTTCGTCCTTGTGCGTTGGACCAATTGAGCACCTCGATGGTCAGGTCACATCAGCACCAAAGACACGCATCTTATTCGTCGAGAGTTCAGAAACACGTTAAAAGGGTAATCACTATGCTGTTTGGAGTATACCGTGCTCATATTGGGTTTGAGAGCGGACGCAGGACTTCAAGCGAGCGGTGGTCATTGGCTCCGCCTTGGTAGAAAGATGAATTCGGTCCTTATTGGACTTGTCGTCTCTAACTCTGTATACTCCAAAGGCCTAAAAGCACTTACTTGGATGCTCTTTTTCATTACTGCATCAATTTCCCAGATAAGAGTATTTATGTTGCAATGATTAGTATCACTTGCTACTCCAATATAGTCTTTGTTCTCGGAAATACATGTATTCTGAATCCAAGATTTGATTGGAAGCCATCTGCACGCAACTTAATCTAACTTGCATGGCACCAGGAAATAGTAACCAAATTCCCGGGGGGAAGACTGACGAGTCAGGAGTGCAGATCAAATGCGGCGCCATCAGGTCCCCTACCACATTAAAAGCAATTCATCAGTGGACGTAAATTGCAAAGCAAAAAAAACATTATTTTATTTCTTCATTATCTTCATCAAAGTCTCGATGGCTTCGCATAAAGCTACGACAACCTTCTCCGATACTTCGCAGTCCCATTACCACCCCCAACATCCGTATCCAACACCGCAACACTAAGCTCCGGCATAACAAAGCGGAACACGCCATCACCCCCAGCCGTGAGGATAACATTAGTAGTATTAACAATGTTAACCCCGGTAAACGGATCATTGTACATGTACGGATCACCCACGGAGTTAGTAAGAAGCGTAAGATTCGCCTTCGCACCTGCTGCAACACCGTCGAAATGGACGGAAACAGGTACATCAGCGCTGTTGGTAGTGTTGTACACAGCGCCCTTCCAGACGCGAGCGCCGCCACGGTTCTCGTCGATGCCGGCACCCCAGTAGAGCGGGCCGTAGGACGTGTTGGAAGAAGTAGGCAGAGTGTGGGAGATGGGGTGGTGAGCGAACAAGCTCCAGCAGTACCAGGTTACAGCCTTAGTAGTGCGGTTTGGATCGGCGTCGTACTGGAGGAGGGTAATGGGCCACTGGAAGCGGTTGTTGTTCTTCATGACGGGGGCGTAGAAAGTACCCGGGATGCGGTCCGAGTTGCGTTCGTAGCCGATGAGGGAGACGGCTTCGCCGACGGCGCCGATCCACCAGGGGAAGGGGTAGAGTTGGCCTTTCCAACGGATGCCACCGTTGACGTGAGTGGCGGCGACTTCGCCGACGATGTGGCCGGCGTCGTTGTCGAAGCGGTTGAATTCGTAGACGAGCTCGTCGGGCTCGCGGTAGGGGTGGTAGTCGCCGAGAGCGTCGAAGGGGAGGATCTGGCCGTTCTTCTCGTTGGGACCGTAGAGAGGAGGTGTGCCGCCGGGGTCGCTGGAGGCGGCGGAGGAAATGACGGTCATGTGCGGATAGGCCTTGCGGATGGCGTTGTAGAACTTGGGGAAACGGTAGGCGCGGTAGGATTCCCAGCCGCCGGGGAAACCAGCAAGCCAGTCCTCGTTACCGACTTCAACGTAGTTGAGCTCGAAAGGCTCGGGGTGACCGAGCTCGGCGCGGCGGGCACCCCAGGTGGAGTTTGCGGGTCCAGTCACGAATTCAATCTCGTTGAGTGCGTCTTCGATGTAGGCGTCAAGATCTTCCTGGGGAGTAACACCGCCATCAAGAGCAAGACCGGCCCAGACACCCAGAACAATCTGGAGATCCATGTCCTCTGCCCACTCGAGGTACTCCATGAGACCGAGACCGTGGGTTTGCTGGTATCCCCATACACCCTGGAAACCAGGACGGTAGCGGAGAGGACCAAGAGAATCTTTCCAGTCCCACCACGAGTCGTTTCGGAGACCCTCGAGCATGTTGCCACCGGGGAAACGAAGGAAGTGGGGGTTCATGTCGGCAAGAGCCTCCGCAAGATCGATACGAAGACCATTCTTGCGGCCCTTGTAGGTAGGTGGGAAGAGGGAGATGAGGTTGAAGTCAAGTGCGCGTGCTGCGGCACCGTCAAAAGTGATAGCAAGGGTGTTGTTGGAGTTGGGAGCAGCCTTTTCTGGGACAAGCTCAAAAGTGTGCTCGGTCCAGTCATCTGCAACACACTTGGATTCGATTTCGACGGAGCCGAATACTTCGTCTGTGAGATTGGATTGAAGGGACGCGGTGAAGACACCGTCGTATTCTCCCTTGACCCAGAACGATCCAGTGTAGGTCTGTGGACGGACGTCCATACCCCAGTAACCGTCGTTCTTGAAACCAATTACATCAGCGCCGGAAGTACCATTGCCAACTGATACTCGCATCGAGGCTGGAAGCTGCTTGGAAAGTGGCTGGTCCAAGAACTGAATACTGAGGCCAGCATTGTTGATGGGGAAGTAGTGGGCGGTGGATACGCTGTAGTTCTTGCTGAATTGAAATGCACGGTTTTGAATCAATTCAGCGTAGATACCACCATCACCAGAGTTGTTGATGTCCTGGAGTATCAATTAGTCGGAGTTGTGGTGATTGAGATGCAAGCAAAATACCTCATGGAGGAAGCCATATCCATACGGATGTCCATGCTTGCCGGTCTGGTTGCCGCCAGAGGAATGCACGACAATGTCTGCCGCGAGCGCAGTAGTAGCGCAAGCAGCAGCAGCTACGAAGCCCTTGAGAAGCACCATCTTCGCGATCAGAAGACTGGCAGATTGCTGGCCGTGACAGTAGAAAATTTCCACTGCAGCAGCGTCTTCATCTTATAGTCGGTCGCCAAAGATCCGGTAAAGTGACCATTTCCCGGAAGACGGGCGTGGTAAAGGACGCTAGCCCTTGGCAACAGGATGAATATAGGCAGATCTTCATGGCGGCCTTAGTGTACATTCCAGTCGTCATGACATTTTCCGGCTCCATGGCGTATATGCACGAGCGGCTGGAAAATTGGCCGGCGGTTATTGGAGGATCTGCTGGCTCGCGAACGGAAGAAATGGATGAAGTCGAGTACTAGTTCCTGGCGATCCATGTCGGGGGATGCAACGCCCCCTCTTGAGTGACGTGACCCTGCGCCGCCCTTCTTGGCTGGCAGTATACACCGATGTCGTTGAGGACGTGAAATTTGCGCACTACTATATTAACAGGAACAGGCGACTGGGCATGGGTTCGATGTATATAGTACACATGAGGCTGAGTGACAATGATGTGCTGTGTGTATGTAAGTGAGAAGAGCATGGGCAAGGATGTCCCCACACATGCCGAGGCTACGGGCGGAGAGAAACTGGGGAACAAGAGCTGGGGTTTCTCCTCTTCCGCCTCCGCCTCCTCCGCCCTGTTGGCCTGACCGTCGCCGGTTAAAATGCTTCTTTAGTGCTAGCCATAAGACCGTTGCCGAGTGCTCAAGAAAGTTTGGCGCCGAGAAATCACCTCTTGCTTTGAGCTTAGGAAGAACTGCTATACCCAAAAGCTGCGTCTTGTTCGGGGCAACATGGTCCGTGGCCGAAAAAAAGACCTCTCGTACTAAAGTCGTGGTAACGACGGCGTCATGGCGTAAGCATTTGATACCCTTTGTACAGTAAAGAGGCTACAACAGCAATGTCGCGCATGTGAAGAGGACATGAACTCATGAGACGACGCACTGTCAAAGTGCGTGCAATGTTGGATTTACCCCAGGTATCCACTAAAAATCCAAACGCCAATGCGCAACCCCAATATCCGTATTCACAAATAAGTTCTTAAAAACACCATATCCTCCCGGGACTACCATTCTCATCCTTCTATGACATGGGTATATCGTCACCGGAATGGGTTCGCGTCTTGTGCACTGTCTCGCTTTGTCGGACTCTCCTTCTCAACGTACGTTGCTGTACCGCTCGCGCTGACGACGATACATCCAAGTACCTCGCTTTCCCTAACTTCTATTCCAACCACAGCATTGGCGCCCTTGTTTATTGCTTCGCTGACAAGCCTCTCAATTGCCTGGTCGCGGGCCTGGTATATGATGCTCGTTATCGTCTTTGGCTCTCCCCAGCTGCTGCTGAAGTTGGAGGCAATGTTCTTGATGAAAGATTTTGTGTCTTTGCGCGCCACCGACGTGGTGCCGTGTACTGCGCCGACAGTGCTAATGATGCGGTAGCCGGCCAATGTTGGCGACGTCGATGTAAGGAGAGCCTGAGTGCGACTTTGAGGTGCTTCGGCTTCTGATGTGAGAGGTGCTGGAGGCGCGACTTGTGGTGCCGCGACTTTTGAATGAGGGTGCCAGCTTGGTAACCGGTTTGGCGGGACCATCATGGTCGATCGACGGTTTGTCAACATGTTGGTTGGTTGGTTGGTTTGATGTGTGTGTGTGTTGGAGTTGTTTAATTGAAACGAGTGCTAATAGATGATGATAGACGACGATGTAGATGTAGAGTGAATGAATGAACTGGGCTGTGGGCCATGGGACGCGACCATCAACGAATATATCTGCACGCGTCTACCTGTCTACATCACGATACTGGTCGGCTTGCGAAACGTTCTAAACTCGTGCCTTGGCTCGCGGGCTCCTGTGGGCTCGTCTTCCGCACGTCTAAGCCACCATGATAGAAACCAACACGGCCCAGGATGCCTTGCAACAAAAATTTTGCCTAGAGCGGAAATTGGCACCGCCTCTAGCGAGCAGGTTCAGACAGGAAACACGCGGAGTGGTGTTCCGCTCTCTACGTCACATAGTAGTTTTGGTAAGTAGAGTCGAGATGCTGAAACGCGGAGTGTCGCGGCGCTGGGTCTGAGGTTTTGGGGCCATCGCTGATACATGGATGACACTTCTAACACGCCCTGTCATAATCTGCAACTTAACCACACAGCGATAGGGATTCGCTGAGCTACCGCCGACATACCAGCGACGCCCACGTGGAGCGTATCAGAGAGGCTGTAGCAATCGCTGGTGAAAATCCAGTTCACGAAACAGTATCAAGAACTGCATGTCATTTGCATACAACTGCAGTTGGAACAAGAAGGAAGACTGGCCAAGAGAGACAAGGCTCATAGCAAAGCAACTCTTATCATCTTGGGATTTATGCACCCATCATCTCTCAGGAACGACAACGAGCCGCCGGCTGTGGGATTGTGATGATGCATGTTGTACCTTCTCATTTCATTTTTGCTAATCATGCAATTATGCTGCATACACACGCTTTCCTCCAAACCAGGTCTCGGTTACTCTAGCCTTGAGCAGCTCTTCTCCTTTCCATTGCATATCCACCACACACAAATCAGCCATCTTGCCGACCTCTAGGCTGCCCACACGGTCCTCGGAGAAAAACGAGTACGCTGCGCCTTGGGTAGCTGCAGTTACTGCTTGTGCCAACTCGAGCTTGAAGTGCTCATTGACGGGTGCGTCGGCTTCACCTGCTTGGCGAGCCGACTTCCGAGTTGTTGCGATGTATAGGTTGGGTAGTGGCGCATATGGTGCAGTAGGCGTATCAGAGCCTATTGCCAGAGTTGCCCCATGATGCGCAAACTCGGAATACGCGAAAGCCCGCTTCACGCGTTCAGGGCCTAATAGTTTTGGCCAAGCACGGAGGATGGCCGGATCAGAGTGGACAGGTTGGATGCTCGCCGTGATGCCCAGTTCACCAAGCCGCTTCGCATCTTCCGGCGCAGTGAGCTCGAGATGCTCGATGCGATGCCGCTGACCAGGCTTGCCATACTTTCCCAGGACTTCGACAGCATTATGAACAGCTTGATCTCCGATTGCATGTAACGCACACTGCAGTCCGTGTTCTGTGGCTCTCTTGACAACAGGTTCCAACATTTCAGGGGTCCAGATTGGGCCTTCGAAATGTCCATTTGAAGTGTACGGTTCTGATAGCGCAGCAGTACACGCATCAATGACGCCATCGCAGATGATCTTAATGCCAACAACTTTCAGATCCGGGCTGGTTTCACTGTTGTATTCTTGGCTCAGTTTGATAGCACGATCGACTTGTCGTAGTCTATGCTCCTCGCCTTCACCAGGCAGAATGCACCAATGCGCTGCAAATCGAAGCGGCAATCCCTCGGAAGACTTCAATGCGAGAATGGTCTCCCAGGCGGGCTCTTCCATGGCCATGTCGATGCATCCCGTAACTCCAGCTGCATGGTATGCATTGATTGCAGCCCTCAGAGCGTTCATCTTATCGACCAGTGGCGTGGCTTTTGCGAGAAATGGCCACACAATCAATATCACACACGCTTCGCTCAAGAGACCCGACGCATTTCCCTTCTCGTCTCGTTCGATTGTACCACCTGCTGGGTTCTCCATATCCTGAACGCCCATCTCTCTTAATGCTGCACTGTTGCACCAGCACGAATGCAGATCCTTAGCGTCGATATATATCGGTCTCGGGTCTAGATCATCCAACATGCTAGCTTTGGCCAGACTGTCGGTCATTGATTGCATCCATCCTTTGCACAGGATGCGCGGTTTATCCGGGTTGGCTTTTGCCCACTCTGAGATACGCCGCCGAATATCTTCCAGATCTTTGGCATCATCCAAATCAACCTTGTCCAGGGATTGACCCAGCATTAGGAAATGCATATGGGCATCAATGAACCCGGATAGAACATGTTTGCCTCCGAGATCATGAACAGTTGCGCCAGCATCACGGTGTGATTGGACTTCCTTTGCATCTGGGCTACCAATGAAGCTGATTTTATCATCTTGGATGATTATAGTCGAATTGGAGAGAACTTGCTGTTCAGATGCGCCAGCATTAAAGCAGCGTCCATTTGTAAGAATGGTAGTCTTCGAAGAGGTAGCCATGAGTAGATTGTGGGGTGTTGACAAATTTCTCGTTGCACGTGAGAGGAACTAGTATATATGTACTATTGATGTTCACGTGTACGGACGAGTCTTAGATCCGATCAATCGCCGATACCGGTACCCCACATTTGGACTCCAAGTCTGGCTCCCGTTATCAGCTGTATTACTCCACACTGTGATACTGTAAACTTTGGAGACTGTGGCAGTGTACGATCATCAGGGCTTGCCATTGGTCGCTGTGTAATATATAGGTTCACGAATTACCCAAGTGGCTGCATCCTGCCACTTTCTGTGAACAACACAGTATCTATAGCCTGTTTACTTTTACTCTTACACTCCATCTTGAACCTTCCTTTTCGGGCTTACTTAAGAGCACTCTAAACTTGACGCCAAGTCCAACTGTTTCATCTACCACCCATCATGTGCCCAGAACCCTCAGAATCGGACCGAATAACTTACGAAGAGGCACGCAACGGAGCGGCTGCGTATCTGCAATCACGGCTTTCAGCAAAAAACGAAGAAGCAGACAAAGACTTTGAAATACCAGTCATCAATCTCGAACCATCATTCTCCGACTCCCTTTCCGACCGTCAGAAAGTCGCAGACCAAATTCGCAAAGCATGCACAACATCCGGTTTCTTCTACATTACCAACCACCGCATCCCAAAGTCTGCTTGCGACGGCATCTTGCACCAAGCCAAGCGTTTCATGAAAGAACTACCACTTGAAAAGAAAGAAGAATTGCATTTGAAGCACAACAAATTCGGATTAGGCTGGGAACCCAGCGAATACACCTCCATCGCCGGCGACAAGGAAGAAAAGGAAGTCTTCAACTTTGCCTACGAAGCCGACCTCGATCCCACCGGCGGCGACGGCCAGTACAAGAATCTCGATGGATCAACCGGCAACGCGAACATGTGGCCCAAAGAAGAAGATTTACCCGGATTTTACCGTGAAGTAAAAGAATACTACGGAAACGTGCGTTCCCGACTTTCCCCTACCCTTTTACAAATCCCACCCCTTCAAAAAAAAACCCTCCTTATACACTAATATTCATATATATACAGGTCCTAAGCCTAGCCCGCCACCTCTTCCGCCTCTTCGCCCTCTCCCTCTCCCTCCCAGAATCCCACTTCGACCCTCTAACCACGCACCCAGGCGGCATCGCCCGCTTGCTCTACTACCCCCCTCCTTCCTCTCCCCTCCCTTCCTCCTCCTCCTCCTCTCCTTCCTCAGACGAAACCTCCCAAATCGGACTCGGCGCCCACTCCGACTACGAATGCTTCACCCTGCTCCTCCCTTCCTTCGTCCCCGGTCTCGAAATCCTCAAACCCTCCGGTACGTGGTACATTGCGCCCCATTTCCCCAACACCCTCATAGTAAATGTCGCGGATTTCTTGATGAGGTGGACGAATGGGATGTATAAGAGTACGGTGCATCGGGTTGTGAATAGGGGGACTGAGGAGAGGTATAGTGTGCCGTTCTTCTTTTCGGTTAATTATGATGTTGTTGTTGAGACGTTGCCCGGGTGTAAGAAGGAGGGAGAGGGGGAAGGGGAGTGGAAGCCGGTGAGGGCCGGGGAGTATATTTTGGAGCGGTTGAGGAGTACGGTTGGGTATGGGAAGGGGTTCGAGGTTGGAAAGGGAGATTAGAGACGGTTTTCTTTTTTCCTGTTTCTCTCTCTCTCTTTTTTTTAAAACTTGGAATCTTTGGATTTGAAGTCTTTTTTCTTTCTTCTCTGCAAGGCAACCTTTCTTGCTTCTTCTCCTTCTGAGATTGTATGCTCAAGATGATGGGAGATGAAACAGAATCATTATTTAAGCATGAATCTAGCTTCCGGTCTATGACGCCCTATCATTCACACATATAACTCTACACATCGCAATTGCAAAACAAGCCTCAAATCCATCCATCGTGCTTATATCCAGCACTCCACATCCTTCTGCCAGATCTACAAAGATGCAAAAACTTCGGAACGAGGACATGCCAGATGGAATCTCACATCCAAGACGACACATGCCGTATGTCCTCAATAAGGATACGCCGGACTCTGACCACGACCCACATGTTTCGCTCTCCCCGCTCCCCGCCCTTGACCTCCATCCGCCCTACGGTCATCACGATATGTAGAACTCGACGACGCATTACCATGAAACTGGCCTTGGCCCCGACCTCGAGCAGCATTGTTATACGGCGGCGTCCAACCAGGTGGCGGCGGAGGATACTGGCCCCGGCCATGGAAATGAGGAGACGGGAAAGTGGGAGGAAAGTTACCTCTGCCACCAGGCCCGCCCTGCCCACGACCGCGCGAACCGTGAAAAGAGGCCCTACCACGGTCATTGCCGCGCCCACGATGTCCACCAAACGACTGCGGTCGAAATGGCCAGAAGATTTCTCGTGTATCCCTGTCCACAGCGTGACTTCTCTCCTCCATCGTACGCAGTACCAGCGGTCCACTTTTTGCTTCGCGCACGAGAACAACCGCGCGATTGGGTCTGCGTTCGCGTACCAGCACAGCGCGGATGCGAACGAGTAGCGCAACGAGTTTTTGGAGGGCTTCTTGTTGTGCTTCTTCCCATCTCGCTACGCGCTCAGTTGCGTCTTCCTTCTTCACGCGCTGTACACGGCCAGTTTCTTTGTCGTAGGGCGCGGTGAATAAGAGGGATGTGCGGCCGAACCAAAGTTGGTCTTGACATTGGACTAGAGCGCTGCTTTCAGGGTGGTAGGCTTGTGTTTTCAGTTCGACCATTTGCGCGGTGGGGACAATGTGGCCTTTTTGTAGCACACCGACGGGAGCGGAGTAGTTGAAGGTGGGTCTTGTGGTTGGACCTGCGCCGTTGCCGGTTGCGGCTGCAACCTCGGACTCTGTAAGGTTGTCGTTTCCCATGCCATCATCGTAGGCGTCAGCTTCGAAGCGGCAGACGACGTTCAAGGGACCCATGTTGTAGCGGATGGCGCGGTAATGGCTTGTTGCGTCGCGCATGTCGTCTGTTGTCGTTGTAAAGTCTCGCTCGAAGTTGATGCCGTAGCTATGGCCGTCTGAAAGCTTCCACCAGCGTGACTCGCGGCGTACGATAACTAGAGTGTTGAAGACCAGGTATATGTTTAATCGAAATGGCCCGTTGGCTTTGCCTTGGGCAAATTCGAGCAACACACGGAGATTGTTGCGATCGGCCAGAACATCAACGTCGTTGAATGTAAAGCCTGGGTTCATGACACTGAGTGCCTCGAACATGGGAGAATAAGGATTCCTTGGCTTTCGTGCATAGTTGTAATCTTGGTATTGGAAACCGCTATCTCGCTCCAAATGATGGGGTAGAGCTGGCTGCTGCCATTTTGCTGGCTCACCCGGGACTGAGGGGGGAAATGTGAGTACTTCAACGAAAAATGTTGAGTTTTACGTACCGAAGATAGTGTTGGTGCCATCTGTAGACGCTTGCCAGTTATAGCAACAGACAATCTCTGGGTCCTGATCCCATGACACCTTTTGTGAGACGGGTATGAGCGAGTCAACGTCAATTGTCTCGACCACCTCTCCCGCGTCTCTGGCAACGGTCTTTTCAAACCGCTCCAGTCTTTTCTTGCGTTTCTTGAGTAGCTCCTTATCGACTTGCGACTCTCGGGCTGCGACTGTATCGGCAGGCCCGTCTACTATGGAAATTCCGTTTCCGCCATCTCCGTCTTCATCATCATCATCATCATCGTCTTCATATTCTTCATCCGCATTGGTTGCCTGTTCGGCGGCAGGAACGGGATCCGCAGTGCTACTGTTCTGTAGACTCTGCCAACTAGATCCTCCCAATGCCATGGCAATCTTCGCCTCAAAGGACATGTTTGAAGCGTCCATGGCTGGTGATGTTGAATATGGTATATGAACAGGGGGAAGGTTACCTACTCTTGCTTCAAGGATACTACAACGTATCGGCTTTGTGATACGGCTCTCCCACGCCTCCTTTTTTCAGCTATGCCGCCACCTCAATCTGTGCGCAAAGAAATTTTCTTTTAAAAAAAACTGAACAACCGCGTTAGAGTAAGCCTGGCATCTGTTTTGTTGGATAAAAGACCAACGGCGATTGGGACTTACACTTTATGTAGAGCGCTCCCTGCCCTCTACATGCAGACAACTCTCTGCAACCGGACTCAACGTAAGCGAAAGCGAGTGGAGTAGTCCGGGCCAACCAAAGCAATGAATCATGTGATGATGATAAGTTGTGTAGTGTAGTTGATGCAAAACGGGGGTACGTGGTTTACGCTACCGAGCCCCTGTAGCCGCTAGCTCACCTCTCCCGCGTCTAGCCTGACTGCGCCCCTATCACCTACTTTCACGGTGACTTCCATTTACAACTATGCCTGCAGAACACGCTCTATAGGAACCAAGTGATAGCCTTCCCTTTGCAGCTGTTTTCTCCTGAAAACCCATATAACAGTTACAGCACAGCCATAATTAGTTTGCATGTGTCAGAGTCAAAGTAGGAGTACTTCTTCAATGTTACCACGTCTTCATCACAGTTAGCAGTAGTCATTAAAACGACGTGTGCGTGAAGTGAACAAAGTCTGATTCACAGCGGAAAATTGTGTGACAGAAATATGAAACGCATTCTCGCAAAAGGTATGCACTGACATGCGAAGAGACAAGCAAGAATGGACTTGATGCGTATACGATTATTACATAAGAAAAGATGACTGGTCGTAAGGGTCATGGTTCACGGCAAGAACACCTCTCAAAGTCTAATTTTCCAGCAAAGACGTAAACTCGACAACATCCGACACGGCTGGTTGCGGGGTACATGTTGGTCGGGTGATGCTATGAGCGGAGCATAGCGGGGTGCGGGGAAGGTGATCGTCCGCGTAGCATGGGAGTGCTAGGCTTGAGCATGGGACTAGCCGTAGCGCTTAGTGCGTCGAGACTGAGCTTGCTTATGGCGTCGAGATTATCCTGGACGTCCTCTTTGCTGAGGTCGAGCATGAGGCGCAGTTCATTGGCCTTGAGCGACTGGCCTAGACCAACTGCCAACTGCTCCTTGTTAGTAGAGCCTGGGACATCGTAGTAGGACCATCGGTATCCAATATCCTCAAGGCGATGTGGCTCTGCGGGGGTGGTGAGTCTGGCGACAATGCGCCTCACGTCTATGCCGAAGACGCCTGATATCAAGGGCTCGGTGCCAATTGCCCCCAAGCTGGCGCCAGTTCTGCTTCGCAGAGAAGGGGGAACTTTGGCGTCTTTCTCAAGAGGTAGCTCGTTGAGGCGGTTGGAGGCGCCGGCATCACGGAGCTTGGCTCGCTTGAAGCTGGCATTCTTGAGTTCGGTCAGGCCGAGAACGATATACAGTGGCTTTCCTGCTTGAATCTGCTCGGCCATCCAAATGCGGGCATCGACATCGCTGCACACGGCCTCAAAGGCCCTTGTAGGGCTCTGGGTGGTGCATTGGACCATCTGCTCGGCCTTGACCGTGAGCAGGTTGGGCTGTCTGTATATCCGGCCGAGATCGAATTTGGCGCCATAGTTTGTCATAAAACGGCCCTCAGTGTCGACTGAGTAAAGGTCCTTGTAGCGGAGCTGGATGTGGAAGTCGTTGAGGTCATCGACTGCTGAGTGGGCCTTGTCGGGGTAGAAAGAGTCGCGCTCTGGGTGGACGGGGTCCGTGAGCAGCTGGCCGACGGTGACGGCATCGGCGGGGATGGGCTTGGGCAAGAGGGCGTTTTGGACCATTGCTGCGGGGTGCGGGTCTGGTGTGGGTTTATATGCTGCGACGTGTTGGAGGAGAGTCGTGGAACAAGTAGCCTGCGGTCAACTGGGCGGGAGGGGCAGAGAGGCAGGGTGACGCAGGAGAGCAAAAGGATGGCGAGAGCTCTCTCATGGCTGCGAATCAGAGGGGCGCATCAGGCCCTGTGGCAGCTGCTTGGCTAATCGGGTCCGTCTTTGCTGCAGATGGTCGCAACCGGAGTCGCGACAGCAGAATCGAATTGCAACATGACTCGCCGGCCCAGATACACCAGGACGAGCTATCGCGACGATGATGCATGGTCGCGGCTGGCACAAAAGATGTCGTCACGTGCTGTGCCTGAGCGGTGCCGGAGAAACAAGGAGCCGCCGACCTTGTGCGGGCGACGAGGGAGAAGCGCTACTAGTAAGTAGTGGTGGTAGTAACACCATGACTTTTGACCCCGCCGGCCACCATCTAGAAGCATGCTTGGAGAGCATTACATACCGGATCGCTGATGCTCTGCGTCGACACCTGGCCGTTGCACGCATGTCCGGATCCGCATTGTATACCTAGCCTGAAGGCTTTGCACACGCGCAAAGATTTTCGGCCCTCTTCCTTGTTCGTGTGCTGCTACACATGCAGGGTCCAGCAGAGTTCTCCGATGAGCATCGAGCATCGAGCATCGCGCAGGCACACGGGCATGCTCCATTACATACACACATTACCTAGACGAACGGGGAAAGAGCTGAGTAACACTGGCTGCAGACATGCCGTGTACACAAAATACTAGGCACAGCCCGATTTGTCCAATGCTAGTTGGAAACATAACCGTCTTTGTCAACATGGTAATCGCTGACAGTGCATGCCATGCCACTGATAGCGGGGTCCTCGGAGACACATGGCTGGGAGATAGTAGACTACAACGCCTGTATCTTGAGTGGCGCCATGTCGCAGTGACATGCAAACCAAGGTGAACTGCAGCCGTGTCCAATGCAGATGGCCTTGCATGCTCCCTCTGCATCGGCCAAAGACGCCAGATAGGCCCAGGAACACAGGGCGAGCTAGCAGCTAGCAGCGAGCAGACGGCCACGCTAACGTCACGTCTGTCCGAACCAACCCACCACCCCCACCATCACCAGCTAGCATCCCAGCCGAACGCCGTAATCCCAGAACATCCACAATACGGACCCATTGGCGAATCATCCCCGGAAGCATGACGTCGCACCACTATTGACTCGAGCTACACGTCACTCTGGACCCAGCGCCCCTCACTAACCACTAACCCGAGCCTCGCAATCATGTTGTCCAGCCAAACACTACTTGAACCCCTCGGTGCCCCTCAATTGCCCTCTTCATCCTCATACTCTCAGCTTCAATTGCACCTTGCCAACACCTGAGTCTTCCTCCTCTTCATTCAATACCCCACCGTCACAATGATTCCCGTTCCCCAAGCAACCGAGCTCAAGGACCTCTTCAGCCTCAAGGGCAAGGTCGTCGTCGTCACTGGTGCCTCTGGCCCTACCGGTATTGGCACAGAGGCTGCCCGTGGATGCGCCGAGTTTGGCGCTGACCTCGCCATCACCTACAACTCTCGCGCCGAGGGCGCCGAGAAGAATGCAAAGGAGATGAGCGAGAAGTACGGCGTCAAGGTCAAGGCCTACAAGTGCCAGGTCAACGACTACGCCCAGTGCGAGAAGCTCGTTCAGGACGTCATCAAGGACTTTGGCAAGGTCGATGTCTTCATCGCCAACGCCGGCAAGACTGCCGACAACGGTATCCTCGACGCCACTGTTGAGCAGTGGAACGAGGTTGTCGAGACTGACCTGACTGGTACCTTCAACTGCGCCCGTGCCGTTGGTCTGCACTTCCGCGAGCGCAAGACTGGCTCCCTCATCATCACCTCATCCATGTCTGGCCACATTGCCAACTTCCCTCAGGAGCAGACCTCATACAACGTCGCAAAGGCTGGCTGCATACACATGGCCAAGTCGCTTGCCAACGAGTGGAGGGACTTTGCCCGTGTCAACTCCATCTCCCCTGGATACATTGACACTGGTCTGTCCGACTTTGTTCCCCAGGACATTCAGAAGCTGTGGCACTCCATGATCCCCATGGGCCGTGACGCCAAGGCTACTGAGCTCAAGGGCGCCTACGTCTACTTTGCCTCTGATGCTTCATCGTACTGCACTGTAAGTTTTGTTTTATTCCTATTGGTATCCAATGGCTAACAATTATAGGGCTCCGACCTCCTCATTGACGGTGGTTACTGCGTCAGGTAAACGTGTCGCTCCTGGACGAGGATATGAAGAAATGAATACAATAATATACCAGCATATGCCGGAAGCTATGATTTCATGTATCTAATTTGGAAATGTCAATAAGCTTCGCAGGTTCCATGAATCTTGTTCACCTATGTTGCCCGCTGTTGTGTTGTATGTGAGCTAACTCGTGTGGAAAAAAAAGTCATCCAGGTATATATGTTCAAGAGAACATTCAAATGCAGGAACCAGGCAGACAGGTACATGTTCCCCGACTGCCATGTGTCCGTCTATATGTAGGGCTGACGAGGCGGATAAACAGCTTATCAAGTCGGCTACTCGAAAATAGTTCCCCGCAATCCCTAAATTAGCGACTCCGCATCATCAGCCGCGGCAACGGCTCAGCTCTGTCGATCCTTCAACCTCAAATCAGCATCAGCAATATTCTCACCCAACCATGTGATAAACCGCGCGCAACATCTCCTCCCAGATTCTTCCTCCCAAACCTCCCCTTCCATTCTCTTCCATAAACCAAAAACAATGCCATCCTCCAAGCAAGAAACCTACGGCAACCTAGGCCCCTGGGCCGAACCCTCCTGGTACTCCTCCCTCTCCTCGCCCTACTACAATGCCTCCCACAAAAAACTGCGCGACGCCCTCCGTACCTACATCGACGAGCACATAAAACCCTACATGCTCTCCTGGGAAGAAGCCGGCGAAGCTCCCCGCTCCGAACGCCTAAAATGGGCACAGACAGGCTTCGCATTCGCAGACATCCCTGAGCCGTATCGACCAGCCAATGTACCAGGCCCAGCGGGCATACCGGTGAAAGAGCTGGATGCGTTTCATTTGCTGATTATGAATGATGAGGTTAGTCGGGTGGAGGGAGGCGTGGCGACGGCGCTGGCGGGCGCGAGTGTGATTGGGGTGCCGCCTGTTGTACATTTTGGGACCGAGGAGCAGAAGAGGAAGTGGTTACCGGGGTTATTTAGCTGGGAGACGAGTTTTTGTCTTGGGGTTACGGAGCCAGGTGGTGGTGTACGTTTTCCCCATTTCGATTCCTTCCTTTCTTCTCTTTTTGTGGAAGTGATGATGATAATGATGGTATTGACGATAAACGCATAGTCCGACGTCGCCAACCTGCAAACCACAGCCACAAAATCCCCCGACGGCACATCCTACACCATCAACGGCTACAAAAAATGGATCACGGGGTTTCCCTGGGCAACCCACATGACAACCGCCGTCCGCACCGGCGGGCCCGGCGCAGCAGGCCTCTCCCTCATCGTCATCCCCACAAACTCGCCCGGTATCACGCACCGCCGCATCCCCAACAGCGGCCAAAAAGCCGGCGGCGCCTCCTTTGTCGAACTCGACAACGTCGTCGTCCCCTCCTCCCACCTCATCGGCGCAGAAAATGCAGGCTTCCCCATCATCATGCGCAATTTCAACCGCGAACGCTACATCCTCGCCGTATCCTGCAACCGCAAAGCACGCACCTGCCTCTCTGAATCCATGGCGTACGCACGCAAGAGAGAAACGTTCGGAAGACCCCTGATAGACAACCAGATTATACGCAGTAAGTTGGCTACGCTGGCGAGATACGTAGAGTCGCATTGGGCGTGGTTGGAGCAGTTGGCGTTCCATGTGCAGAATGCGAGGGAAGGGTGGATGGATCCGGGGATTGCGGGCCAGATTGCCTTGTGTAAGGTGCATGGCGGGAGGATACTCGAGTTGGCGGCGAGAGAGGCGCAGCAGGTGTTTGGGGGCGCGGGGTATCAGAAGGGAGGGGGTCCCGGAGCAGTGGTGGAGCAGATTAGTCGGGATTTGAGGATGATGGTCGTGGGTGGGGGGAGTGAGGAGATTATTGCGGATTTGGCGGTTAGGCAGGAGGTTGGGCTTGCGAAGGCGAGGGGGTGGAAGTTGTAATGTTGATGATATGGCGTTATGTTTCTTTTAGCAAGTAGAGGTGAATCAAGTAGGGAGTAATAGACCATTCAAGTGAAGAAGATGTTTTGATTATTCAAGGCCAACAGGCAACTAACTAGAAAGGTATCGTTTTTTTAAAACAAAAAGCCAATTGCATCCCATCAGTCGTGTACTCATCATTGCGACGCGTAGACTATAAAGTATATGGCTGCACCAATAAACGCCGAGTGAGGTATCCTAACGCGCTAAGCAAACAACAAGAAAAGAGAAGAGAAACGAAGAAGAAACAACAACGACAACACTCTATGAAGCGGCAACGACGGGCTTTCGTGTTGGTGATGACTCTTCTTCCTCAATATCGGAACACAATGCGACCTCCTTAGACAGACGCGAGGGCTTCTCAATGCCAGCATCCACAGTGACGTAAGAGGTTTGATCACATCCCTCGCCGTAAAAGTTGCTTGGCGCCAAGTCACCCAATGGCTTGCGGTCCTCATCCATCGAGTCCTTGACAAACTTGCGTACAATGCGGCGCTTGATTGGCTCATCACCGAGGATCTCAGTCTCATAGCCATCATCCTCAACCAAAGTGGCGGCCTGAGAGCGGGGCTGTGAGGCACGGAAGTCTGGGGGTGGGATGTTCTCCTTTCCACGGTCCTCGTTGCGTGTCTTGGTCTCGACGTCGTCGTCGGATGAGATGTCGAGGGTAGAGGCAGAGTGTTCCATGAGGTTGGAGGCCTCCTGCTCGGGGGTGTCCTCGTGAATCTCAAAGAACCAGGCCTTGGGCATGGTTTCGTCGAGTGCGCTAGCTTGCTGGGCGGGGGCAGAGACGGGGGTGGCTGTTGCTTTGGAAGCCTTGGGGGTGTAGGTAGAGATGGAACCACTTAGTGCTGCGTCAATGGAGAAGGGAAGTCCTGGGCTGCTCTTGGTAAAGGCTGGGGGGTCGACGCGTCGGAAAGGCGAGGTGGAGGCACGACGCTTGGAAATGGCATGGAGACGCTTGTTCTTTGGTGATCCGCGGCTGTTGGTGATGGGCGTCGACTTGGTGGAGCTGGGCGATGAGCGTGACTTGCGGGAAGATGAGACGGAAGGCGTGGAGGTGAGGCTAGTGCTGGTCTTAACGGGCGAGGTGAAGGCTGGGAAGCTGGCTGGCTTGACGAATCCAGCGTCACTAGTGATGGCGGTGGTGGTTTTGGTCTTCTTAGTCGGGCTGCTAAAGACGAGAGGGTCCACGTTCTCGGAATCGGCATCCTCGAAGATCTCGGGCGCGCGCTGGCGCTTACCCGTTGACGGACCGGGGGTGAGCTTCAAGCTCTGCGAGGGGGAAAACTTGGAGATGGCTATTTGGACGCACGGTTAGTCTATGTTGAGATGCATGTCAGATGAGGCACTTTACAATTCTGGCGGTTCTTTGCACTGTGCAGTCCTTGGAGCCGAGACGAGCCGAGCTCGGCAAAGGGCTGGCGCGTCGAGGTAGCCATGGTACTGAGGGCGAAGAATAGGGCGGTACGGGTTTGCAAGAATCAAAGATGGGGAGCAATGGGCTGGAGCTGCGGTGGTTGCGGTGCTGGAGGTGGTGGGCAGACAGGCGCTGGGGCGTGGTTGTAGATAAGTAGTGGGGGTGTGAGTGTCGACGTGACTCTGGGATTAGCCGGGCACACAACAACAAGCGTAGTGCAAGAAGCAGCGTATGGAATGAGTGGAAGAGACACAACGACTTGGATTCCCACAGCGACTCTCGAGCCCAGCAGAAGAGGATGAGCAGGAGAAGCAGAAGAGAGAATGAAGCAGAAAAGCTCGTGGTGGGCAGGCTCAGCTAATAGACGGAGCACTCAACGCGTCGGTGGCTAGCGTGTCGCTCACGTATTCTAGGGGCGAGCGCGCGCAGAGGGCGTCATCTCCACTCCACCCCAGACACTTGCCGGGATGCCTCTCCGAATCAGACGCTTGGAAACCGGCTTGATCCTAATGAGCGCAATTCATGCAATGCCGTCTACTGGCCATTACCCTCTGGATCCACCCCGCGCTATTTGCAGATATGCCTTATAGCCAGCCTATGCCGCCCCATAGACACGCTCGCGATGCGTCGACTCAGCCTGGAAAAGACGTGAACTGCCCGTTCCCAGAGTGCCCACTTGGCGCGTCTGGGTGTCTCTGCTGGAACGAGTAGTGTGTGTCTTGAGACGGGCACCGGACGACTTTTGCGTAACAGCAATGTCCCTAGAAGGGGGGGGGGGTTGGTGGACCGGAGCTGTGCTGCGCTTTGGCTCCATCCCACTCGCGCCATGTTCCAAGTCCCGGGCGGTGTTTCGACGCGTAGAGCTGGATGCATGTCAGCGACGTGATTCCCGGTAATGCTGTGCGCGACGAGGCGCCCTCTGCACGCGAAGCCTGCTTCGTCACGCTCAATATATCAAAGGCTGGGACACTCGTTGGTTCCCCGTGCTGTATCCATTACACCCTCATTCCCAGCATACAGCCATTGCGCTCCACCATGGCCACTCCATACGAAACATTCGTATTACTGCAATAACCTTGGAGAAAAAAATCCAGCTTCCATCAATTCATCCTAGTCCCGACTAAAAATCCCCAGATCTCGTTTCTTCAACACGGTCCGTCATCAGTCGCGCTTTCGTGGTTCTAGTACCAGTCCAAGCACCCACGCCAATCGCCGAACCCCACATGAAAAAGTCCGATATACTTTTTTTCAGCCTCGGAAGACCGACAAGACTAGTACTTAGTCACGCGTACCGGTGTCCCGCCCCAATTCGCATTTAGATACGTCGCGTTGTCCTCATCGAAGCCATTCGCGTATCTGACAGTGCCTCTTCCGCTACTTCCGTGCGCCTCCCAGCCATGCTGATTTTCAGCGCGTCTTTGCTCGCGAGACGTGCTTCGCCGACCTGTGTCATGATGATTGCTTTGCATGCTCTTATTACTAGCACATCCGTGTGTGCTGCTGGAACCTGCAATGCTGACGTCACTTAGTGTCTTGTCACGCTCGAACCCGTCCCATGTTACTTCGCTCGACAAGCGTGTCGTAGGTGTATTGTTTAAGAAGTTTTGCTGTGAGGAATGAGCTTGGATACTAGCCCATGCAGGATTGTTTATGGCCGTTGATCTGCGACTCCAGTTGCCTGAACTGTTGGATGTACTGGTTGCCCAAGTATATGGGTGAGGCAAGTTCCTGCCATTACCTCCCGACGATGTACTGGATGCGTCTTCTACGGCTGGTGCCTTGTATGTCGAGCAACTCTTGGTCGACTTTTTGCTCTTGCTTGAGGAGGTCGACCCATTACTCTGGTACCAATGATCCGGACCACCCACTTTCCACGCGTCTCCAGCGCGTTTCCTGTCCCGAGATACTGGCTTGACGTGCCTATACCCCTTTTTCACCATCTCGGCTACCGATTTTGAGCTCCTATAGTCCCAGCTCTCGCTTGCTGAGTCAACTGTAGGCACAGCTGAAGGCCGAGTGTGTGATGGCCATGCATTCGCACCGCTCATCATGAAGTCGCTCGGTGACTTGGTGGTCTCGCTTCCAGAAGACAGACATCCACTCTCGCATTCAAGTTCCGGGATAGACGCAAGTACCTTCTTTGGCGAGCCCTGACTGCTATTCCACCCAAATTCCTTATGCCTCCGTCTCGCCGTCCGAGCACTCCCCTCAGACCGGCTTGAACCCATCTGCTGCTCCAGTCTCAGCTGCTCCGCATCCCCTCTCACAGACTCAGCATCAGACGCCTGAACCGTAGACTCAGCTCTAATCCAAGCCCCCCTTGGCTGCTGCTGTTGTGCTCCAGAATCAAACTCCCCCTCTTCATCCACAACCACAACCCGCCCGTCTTTCTCCCTGATGATAAACGTCCCCCACTCCCGCGGCAAAGGCACGGCCACCTTCTCTTTCTTCTTCTCGCTTTCCCCCACGCCACCACCCCCGACCTTCTGAATCTGCACACACCCACGCAGCCCCCGTATCTTGTCTACATGCCGCTGCACATCTCCGCTCACCGCTTTCCGCACATGCTCGTTCCACACTTGCTCTTTGCCATGCTTCTTCTTCTCTTTTCGTCTGTCGCGCGCGTGGCTGGATGGTACACCACTGTCGCGTAACACGCTGTCTGCGTCGTCGTCGATGAAGCTGCCCGTGTACGCCGACGTGTCGGGTCCGTGCTGCGAGAGCCACTGCGCTACCTGGTGTGTGCTGAGGCCTCGGGGTAGGCGGTTGGTTAGCGAGATGGCGTCGTCGATGAAGGAGGGTGGGGTTATGGAGCTCATGGTGTTGGGGTAAGGCGTTTTTGCTTGGTGATAGTGGGAGTGAGAGTGTGAGGTGCTGGGCTCACAAATGTAGGTGTTGTACGCTGGTGGGCAACTATGCTTTGACTTAGGTTTTGAGGTTGGTTTTTTCCGATGGGTAACAAGGTGGATGTAGAAGAGGGGTTTTCGAGGACGCTTCGAGGGCATTGTTTGGGGTGGCGGGGAGCAGTGAAAGAGGTATTTCTGTGCGTTTGCAGAGTGATACGTGAGAGGATGGTAAGTAACACTTCTAAAACTAGAGCACTGCAAAGGAATTGAATATAGAAATATACACAAGATTGCAATAATTGAAACTCAGTTACTGTAATACAATGTTGTTTGGTCAACTGCTAGGATATATATGCGCACATTAAACAAACATCAAGACAAATACCAGCGCTGAGCCCAACCCAAGGGAACACAGCAATACAGCTCAAACTGCTCCTCACAGCTTTGCCTTTTCCTTCTTCTTCTCTGACTCCCACTGCAGCTGCACATTCCGCATCTTATACCAGCTCCATAATCCAGCCATGGCGCCAAACGGTGGAAACACCCAGAGAAGAAAGCTCCACCATCGCGGACTCCTTTTACGAATATCCTGCATCACTCTCTGCACCTCCTTCTCCAAATGCTCTCTGTCGTGATCATTCCAAACCACAACACCGTTACCCGGCCCCCTCCGCAAACAACGCTCTGCCTTCTCGCGCACATCGCCTTGGCTCATAACACGGTTCCGCGCATCTTCCTCGGTAAGATGTGAGTCCCGAGCGCGCAGACGCTGGATCTGGATTGCGGGGTCTGAGACGCCAACGACGAGAATGGTGCCGCAGTATCGCTCCCATCCGCTTTCGAAGAGGAGAGGGACATCCAGCACAACAGCCCAGTTGCCACGTAGGTAGGCCCATATCATCTGCTTGTACATCTCTCTGCGTATCGCGGGGTGAACAATGCTGTTGAGCATCTTCCTGTCACGCTCCTTCTCCTCGCCAGAACCGAACACTCTCCGTCCCAACGCTGGTCGGTTCAGCGGCGCGCCTTTTGGTGTCGCATCTGGGAGGAGCAGGTCCGGTGTCGAGGGCGAGAAATATTTGACAATCGCATTGTATCCTGCTGTGCCAGGCTCGACGACCTGTCGCGCGATAAGGTCGGCGTCTATGATGGGAAGCGAATATGGCGGTTTGGAGAGCAGAGATGAGACGGTCGATTTTCCCGTCGCAATCGATCCGGTAAGGCCGAGAAGGAGCATGTTTAGTTGTTTTTTGTTGTGTACGTTGGTGTCGTTTGCCTTACATGATGAAGATGGGAGATGCAATGACGAATGCGGGGAGCTGTTCCTAAGCTTGTGCCGGTACGTACCTCGGAGCTTGCGCTCAGACCACCGGCATCCACTTGACACAGTCTATCCACTCTCTTCTCTACTTGGCTCACTTTGCTTTATGAACCATTTAGCTCTGCCCATAATGCTCTTTCAGTCAGATCTACACGAAGAATGGTCAACAAACATCTTAGAGCGGTACATCCGCAGATTCCGGTGCAAATACCAGGATTATCACCAAACTCACACCACTTTCCTAGCAAGCTGTACAACCTGACCCGTGTTGATTCCCGCAAATTGGGTCACGACTTCCCTGACATATGCAAATCAGCCGTAATACTATGAGGTTACAGTGCACAGGGCCGCTGTTCCCAAGGTAGGATACATCTAATCATCCACGACAGCCTTCCCCGCCTTCGTGCCTACACCTATATATACCCTTCGTGATACCCGCCATGTGATATTATACACAGACGGCATAGCCATGCGCTTCCTAACTACCCTATCATGGGTTGCACAAGGCGTACTTGCCTCTACAGCTACCTTGCAACAATGGAATGTCATATCCTCTGCCAACGTCGTTGATGACCCCATCAGGCTCTCTCAACCCGGCATCGACACTTCATCATGGTATTCTATCGGACCCGCAGCCACTCTCATGGATACACTCATCAGTAATCATGTTTACAACGATGCCGACTTGTTTTACTCGACCAATATGGAAAAGGTTGACACTGCGCAATTCCGAATCCCTTGGTACTACCGAACTGACAAGGTCGTGATCGCCGAGAAAACTCCCTCAGACTACTACACTTTGATCACAAACGGTATCACCTCAAGAGCAGACATTTGGGTCAACGGGCAACTCATTGCAAACAAAGAGATTCAGGCGGGATCGTATGCTGGGATAGAGTATGACATATCCAACCTCATCCGACCCAATGGTGCGCAAAACGTGGTCCTAGTGAAGGTGTATCCGACAGACTACAATCGAGACTTCGCCATTTCCTTCTTAGACTGGAACCCTCCTCCCCAAGACAACGGAACCGGCATATGGCGACCATTTCAACTGAAAAGGTCAGGCCAAGTGAGACTAACTACCCCGAGAGTCACTACGCACGCCGTGCTAGATGGAGGTATCGATATCTTTGTGGACGTCAAGAACATGGCAAAAGACAGCGAAGTTGAGGGTGACGTTGCGTGTACAGTCTTCAGCCCTAGTAAAGTCGCAATATTGAGCGCTACATCACACTTCAAGCTCATTGGCAGTCAGCAATCGACCGTCTCGTTCAGGGGAAAAGTAGACAACCCTCAGATTTGGTGGCCTTACCAGTGGGGCAGTCAGCCATTATACAGCATTCAATGTACCGCTTCGACCTCTGCCAATCCTGTTTCCGACTCTACACCGCCAACCAGCTTCGGTATCCGCACAGTCACTTCTTCTTTGAACCCACGCTTCAATGATACCACGTTCTTCGTCAATGGCCATCGATTCCAAGCCCAGGGTGCGGGTTACACGTCTGATATCTTCCTCCGATTTGACCTAGAACAAACGAGGAGACAATTCCAATTGGTCAAAGACATGGGTCTGAACACTATCCGCTCGGAAGGAAAGCAGGAACATCCGGAATTCTATGATCTAGCCGACCAAATGGGCATCATGATTCTTGCCGGATGGGAATGCTGCAACAAATGGGAGGGGTGGACCTACAACGACATTGGCAGTGGAGAGAAATTCACGGATTCTGACTACCCAATTATAGCGCGATCGATGAAGCATGAGGCTGAGATGATGCGACATCATCCCAGCATGTTGGGCTTCCTGATTGGAAGTGACTTTTGGCCGAATGACAGAGCGACACAGATCTACCTCGATGCTCTCAGCGCCGTAAACTGGGATACTCCCATCCTAGCATCTGCAATTCAATGGGGAGCACCAGCACAACTCAATAATAGTGGTATGAAGATGCAAGGTCCATATGACTGGGAGCCTCCCAACTATTGGTACGATCCTCAACGTCGATACGGCAGTGCAGCAGGATTTGGCTCTGAATTGAGCGCAGGAGCAGGCACGCCTGAGCTTAATTCTCTAGTGAGATTCCTCTCCCCATCTGACCTGGAAGATCTCTGGAGAGAACCAAAGAAAGGCCTCTACCACATGGCGACAGAGGGCTCAGTCTTCCACAATCGCGAGATCTACAACACTGGTCTCTGGGCACGCTACGGTGCCCCATCAAGCCTATTCGACTACGTTCTCAAAGCGCAAATGATGGACTACGAAGCAACCCGCGCTCAATTCGAGTCTCTGATCAGTACCTGGAACGAAGCCCTCGAGAGACCCGCAACAGGCATGATATACTGGATGCTCAATAACGCCTGGCCCTCTCTCCACTGGAACCTCTTCGACTACTATCTCCGCCCAGCAGGCGCCTACTTTGGCACCAAAGACGCCCTCGGCACCCCCGAAACCCTCACTCTCAACTACGAAACCAGCGCCGTATCCCTCGTCAACCGCCTCCTAGTCTCCAACACCCCCGGATATACCTCTGACCAACGCATCATAAGCATGCAAATTGTATCCCTAAACGGCACGACTATAGCCAGTCAGACTACCACCGCAATCACGAGACCGAATGCCGCAAGCGAAGCAGCAAGACTTCCCGCTTGGCAAGATAAAACGACCGATCCCATTATTCTAGTCCGTCTGCAACTCAACAATGGAAATAGCACTCTGGTCAAGAAAACCTACTGGCTCTCACGTACCCCTGACACCCTAGACTGGGGCAGGTCGGATTGGTACTACACATCCATAGCTAAATACGAGGATTACTCCGCCTTGTCGCGTATACCCGCCGCCAACGTCGCGGTTTTCAGCGCTCCTTCTCCCACTGGGACAAATCTATTGGCGCGGTTGGTGTTGAAGAATAACAGTCCAGTTCCAGCGGTGTTCGTACGCTTGAATATCGTTGATGAGGTGGGCAGGGATGTCGGATCGCTGCTGTGGAGTAAGAATTACATTACGCTTTTGCCGGGTGAAGAGGAGATTGTGGAGGTTACAGGGGGAGAGGGAGTGGGGTCGAGGGTGTTGGTTGTTGATGGGAGGAATGTTGGGGAGATGAGGTCGTTGGTGAGGGCGTGAATGGATGGGGTTGTTTGATCGTATTTATTTAAACGTGGATGTGAAGTTGAAGGGGGGGGGGGAATATGGTAGACAAGGATATCATGGATTGTTTTGCGCCTAATTCCTTCGTATTTCCTGCTCGCTGTTTCGTTTTGAATAGACTGAGTTGGTGGGAAGCAAAATGTGCTGCTTCCCTAGATTTCGAACTGAGGTGGAATCTTTGTATGGCAGCCATTCTTCTCACTCTTGCCTTACTCCCCCTTCATTGACGACATGACATGCCACATCTTCCCGGTGAAGAAGAGGTCAGCAGACAGACACAGCTCAATCCGACACCTCCCCATGATTCACACTCTTCTTCAGCGGCTCCACAAGCTTCCTCGAGGGCCGGAAAATCTGCAACTGGTTATCCTCCGCCGCACCCATCATAAGCCAAGGGTCATTCTTATTCCAATCAAAGTCACAGATCCTGTTTGTGAAACCGCCGTGCATGAACAATCTACTCAAAAACTTAGTACTCATCTTCACTTTTGGGGGGGGGGGGTTTAAAAAAAAGGGGGGAATCATGTTTTGAAAACTTACAGCTCAGGCGGTCCATCCTCGGCCTCTTCCTCCGTCTGCTCAGATCCAATCTTGCTGAGATCCCAGAGACAAATACGGCGATCGTAGCTGGAACTCGCGAGGATAGCAGCGTCCTGCGGGTGCCACTGGAGGCCGATGACGTCGGAACGGTGGCTCTGAAGGCTATGCAGCTTCTTGTCAAAGTTTCGCAAGTCCCAGATACCGACTGTTTTGTCCGCAGAGCCCGTAGCAAACGTGCTTTCGAATTCTGGATGGAAGGAGATGCAGTTTACGGCGTCTTCGTGGGCTTCTTTTCTGTAGAGGGCTTTCTTGTGGGTCTCCATGCGGGTGTCAATGATTTGCCAGGTGAGGTCGTCCGAGGCGGTGCCAATGAGGAAGTTGTGGATGGGGTGGTATTGGACGTCGTTTACGGTTGCGCTATGGACGGTGTAGGTGGCCGTGGGGCTGAGGGTTTTGTTGCTCTTTGAGAAGCCGGATTTGAGATCCCAGGTCTTAACTGTGGTGTCTTCGTTTCCGGTTACCAAGTGGCCTTCTTTGAGGGGGCTCCAGCTTAGACCGAAACCTTCTTTGCTGTGGCCGACGAGCTCAGCTTCGAACTTAATTGAGTCGTCTTTGGGTTGGAGGGGGTGTTTAGTTCGGTCGAATACAAGGACTTTGCCGTCTACGCATAGAGATGCTATTATGTCTGGGTTTTGGGGCTGGTATCGCGCCTTGTTGACCTCGCCTGGGTGGTTGATCTTTTGTACAATCTTGAAGTCGAAAGGCCGCTTGGCATTGCCGTGTCCACCAATCTCTCCCCGCTCTTCATTCAGCTCTGACAGGTCGGGCTCGCGAAAGTCAGGTATCTCGCAGTGGGCGATCTGGAGGTAGTTTTGCGCTTGGTTCGAGGTGTGGGTGCCGAGGATAACGCGGTGCTGGCTCATGTTTGTGCCTTCGACTGGCTTCTTGTCGGGAAGCCATTGGGTGGTGAGGGTTGGCCACTCGAGCGCGCGGCCGTACAGCATGTCATAGAGAAATACAGAGTTCTTCTTCCATATCTTGTACTCTTCGTTGATGATCTTCTGTTCGACCTGCTCCTGGTCGTCCATCTCATGCGAGTCGTGGGCGTCTGTGGTGACGGTGTTAGTGTCAATTTGAAGAGTACTGCCATATAATTCATGTCCTGTCCATATCCTCCAGAATGTGCCCGTCGGAGAGCAAACAGTGCGCTAGTCATGTCAAGATGATAGCATGTAATGCGCAGCTTTTGGCCTGTCGCAAACGCAATCATATTTAGTTGGTGCCCTGACAAAGCTCTAGCTGACACTCAGTCCAAAGAGTAGTATCCATGCCTCGTTCAGGTGAGCGGAGAGCGCTTGTGAAGACATACAAAGCGACATCTTGCAATTGTCCAGCGCCTGGCGTCATTGGCGGACTACTGCTGCAGACAATATATGAAGGCTCATGTAACTTACCACTCATTGTCTCGTCCATTTTGATTGTGGTCGGGTTCTCAACAAGCTCAACTGTGGCAAATACACGTCCTGTTGCGGTATGTGCAGGTTGTCGGGCGTGAAAGTCCGGCGCAACGACGCGATGCCAAAGTTCGCGTCCAGACAACCCGGGCGTCGATCACGTCGTTAGCGCCCCACATGCTTGGCATTTGCCGTCAGTATATCCATTGACTCTGTCATCTAGACTTGCCCTCTTTGAAGACCCCAGCGTCGAGAACCGCCACCCCATACTCTCTGCTCTCTCTCTCTCCTCAGCGCCTTTGCGCGCCTCTCTTCGCTATTGCTTTTCTTCTTTTTGTCTGCTTTGCGATCCAATTCGCCCCGCCCGACCACGAAACAACGGTCGCATACCCGCCTTGCCATCTATTCTCAGCCATTACTAGACAGTAGTAACAGCAGCAGTCATGGGTGTTCCCAAGTTCTTTCGATGGATGTCCGAGAGGTATCCGGGTATCTCGCAGCTCATTGCCGAGAACCGCATTCCTGAGTTTGATTGTCTCTATGTAAGTGGCTCGATGCTGTCATTGACGCCCGAGGCTGACAGCCACAGCTTGATATGAACGGTATTATCCACAACTGTACCCACAGCGATTCCGACAGCGTCACCGCCCGCAAAACGGAAGAGCAGATGTTCATCAGCATCTTCAACTACATTGAGCACTTGTTTGGCAAAATCAAGCCCAAGCAGCTCTTTTTCATGGCCATCGATGGTGTCGCCCCGCGCGCCAAGATGAACCAGCAGCGTGCGCGACGCTTCCGAACGGCTCTCGATGCTGAAAAAGCTCGGGAGAAGGCTATCCGCGAAGGCGTTGAGATGCCGACCGAGGAAGCGTTCGACAGTAACTGCATCACGCCAGGCACGGCATTCATGGCGAAGCTCACACAGCAACTCAAATACTTCATCAACAAGAAGGTCTCCGAGGACATTGACTGGCAGGGCGTGGAAGTCGTCCTGTCAGGCCACGAGGTCCCCGGAGAGGGCGAGCACAAGATCATGGAATACATCCGTCAGGCAAAGGCGCAGCCGGGGTACGACCCGAACCGTCGCCATTGTTTGTATGGTCTTGATGCAGACTTGATCATGTTGGGTCTGCTTAGCCATGATCCCCACTTTAGTTTGCTGCGAGAAGAGGTGACTTTCGGTCGCCAGAGCCAGACCAAGTCCAAGGAGTTGGAGCACCAAAACTTCTACCTCATGCATCTTTGCATAGTTCGCGAGTATTTGGAACTCGAGTTTCAGGAGCTTGAAGAGCCCGGCGCTCTTAGCTTTCCCTTCGACATGGAGCGTGTTATTGACGACTTTATCCTAATGGCTTTCTTTGTTGGTAATGATTTCCTTCCAAATCTTCCGCATTTGCATATCAACGAGGGCGCTTTGGCTCTCATGTTCAACGTTTACAAGTCAGTTTTGCCCAAGGGTAAAGGGTATATCAATGAGGGAGGTGTCATTAACATGGAGCGCTTGGCTGTATTATTGGACGAACTCTCAAACATAGAATACCGTCATTTCGAATCTGAAAACTCCGACGCAGCCTGGTTCAAGGGTAAGAGCCTTGAAAAGGAAGACGTAATGAAGAAGACCGCGAAACGAGGCACGATTGTCATGACTTCTAAACAACAGGAGTTGTTCTCACAGGTCAAGGCCTGGTTGGACAACTACTTGGGAAAGAAGGAGCAGGCTCCTCTCGACCTTCCCGTTTCCTTGTCAGCTGATGACCGAAAATTCGTCCAGGAGCTTGCGGATAAGCTCCATCTTCCTTGGAAGACTGTTCAGAACGATGATGGCGATCGTCATCTCCAAATCACTGCCCCGCCAAAGCTGGTCGAGGGCGACTCGGACGAGGATGAGGAAATGGAAGACGAATCTGCCAAAGCTATTGCACGCGTTGTGCAGAAATATGAGCAGGCCAAGGTTGTTGATATTTCGCCTGAGGCCGCTCAATCAGAGATGCAGAAGAAGTACGACGAAAAGTTCGAAGCTTGGAAGAACAGCTACTATAAGAGCAAGTTTGATTGGGACCGTAGCAATGAGGAGGAGCTCCGCAAGCTGACGGAGAACTACGTCCAAGGCCTGCAGTGGGTTCTCTATTACTATTACCGTGGTGTAGCATCGTGGCCATGGTACTATGGTTACCACTACTCGCCCATGATCTCTGATGTCAAGCGGGGTCTGAAGGCAGATATCAACTTCAAGCTCGGTCAACCATTCAAGCCTTACCAGCAGTTGATGGGTGTTTTGCCTGATCGTAGTAAGAGCATTGTACCGAAAGCCTACCATCCCCTCATGACGAACGAGGATTCTCCCATCATCGATTTCTATCCTCGGGACTTCACTCTGGACATGAATGGAAAAAAGCAGGATTGGGAGGCTGTTGTCAAAATCCCATTTATCCAGGAAGACCGCTTACTCAAGGCCATGGCTACCAAGGAGGACCAATTGACTGCAGATGAGAAGGCCCGCAACTCATTCGGTGTATCACTCAAGTTCAGCTACGCGAAGGACTTGGACTTTGTCTACCCATCGTCTCTACCGGGCATCTTCCCAGATCTTCCGCACTGCAAATGTATTGAGAACATTTTCGATCTGCCTACCATGGAAGGATTGGAATACTATATTGGACTTATGGATGGTGTCAAAACTGGAGCCGAGGCCTTGGCAGGTTTCCCTAGCTTGAAGGTCCTTCCGTTCCATGGCAAGCTCGAGTTTGCTGGCGTCAACGTTTTCCAACAAGATAGCAGGAACGAGAGCATGGTGATTACACTGTTGGACACTGCGCCTCGACAGTCAGTGTCGCATGCACAAGAAAAGCTCGGAAAGGCCGTTCACGTTGGCTACCCATTCCTACACGAGGCAAAGGTAGTCAAGGTGTCGGATGAGCTCTTTGACTATGTACTTCCTGATAGTGGCCCATCTGCCCCTGTTGCCATTCCACATGGACCTCAAGAAATCTCCAACTGGAAGAAGACCGCGAACCGCATCGAAACCCAATATAGCAAGCGTCTTGGTATCAACATTGGAGAGATTGAGTCTCTTGTACATGTGGAAATGCTCAAGGGACTACGCAAGACTGACGAGGGCGCGACTATCAAGGAGTATGGTGAGGTCGCTGGACTGCAGGTCGAGTATGCGACCCAAACGATTGTTGATGAGGTCGCCAGCCCAGACGCTCGATTCTTGGAGAAGGAGGCTTTGCCCATTGAGGAAGAGTTCCCTGTAGGCGCTAGAGCTTTCTATCTCGGAGACTACGCCTACGGTCGTCCTTTGCAAGTCATTAGCCATGCCGACAATAAGGCTACCATTATGGTGGCCAAACTTAAGAAACCAGAGCCCCATTTCGGGCGTGAGGTCGTGAGCATGGCTGAAAAGGCAACTCCCTACCTGCCATCGTACATTGTGGCTAAACAGCTCAACATGCCGCCGCTTGCTCTATCCAAGCTGACATCCTCTTTCAACGTCAACTCGAGTGGTCTCAAGCTGAATCTTGGCCTGAACTTGAAATTTGAAGCGAAGAAACTCAAAGTCTTGGGCTATTCAAGGAAGTCGGCCAATGGGTGGGAATACAGCCAGAAAGCCATGGCTTTGCTCGCTAGTTATATGATCAAGTTTCCCGAGTTTGTTGCCGCCATCATCAACAACCCAACAGGCGACGGCTGGGAAGACACCGATTTTTACCCACCCGAGATTGCAAAGCAAAAAGTCAAAGAGATTGGAGCTTGGTTGAAGGAAGTTCAAACTAAGAGTTTTGAGAAGGTTCCTTTGGATGCTGAGCAGCTTGACTCCGACACTGTCAAGCTGATCGAGCAGGCCGCGGATGCCAACTTCCCACTCACCCAAGACGTCGAGCCTAAGAAGGTTACAAAGGTGCCTCGTGTTGCTTTGCTGAAGCCATCGGATGCAGAGCAACGCTTGGGACACCAGACTTTCAGCATTGGTGATCGCATTGTCTACGTCCAGGATTCTGGAAGAGTGCCGATTGGGTCGTCGGGTACCGTTGTCGGTAAGACACGCACGGCTCGCGTGCTATTGCTGGACGTTGTTTTTGATGCAACATTCATGAGTGGAACATCGCTTGGCGACCGCTGCTCTCCATTTAGGGGATCTACCGTCCCAGCAACTGCAGTCGTCAATATGACTGATCAGCAGGTTGTTCACTACTCAAGTGCTGCTGCTGCCAGACGCCCGCAACAAGCGCCACAATCGTACGCAATGCCCCGTATTGGTGCTCCTGGAGGCCCTCAACTGGTACCAGCGAATACACCGCCCCCTCTCCGTGGCTCATACCGGGGAGCTTTCGGTAACGTCAATGGGCGTGGTGGTGGCGTGGCTCCGCGACAAAGCCCGGCTCCTCAGCAAGCCCAGGGTCAGCAGCAGACTCTACCAATCCACGGCGGACCACCTCGTGGCGGCCGTGGTGGCTACGCGCCTCGCGGAGGACAGACGAACGGTCACCACGCTCAAGACCAGAACCATGCTCCAAACAGAGGCAATGCTCGCGGTAATCTCCGAGGTGGTTCTGCAGATTTCGTGCCCCGTGGACGAGGAGGTTCCAAGGCCAACCGCGGCGGCTTTACCGTTATCGACAACACTGACCCTGCCGAGGGTGTTGTCCCTAACAACCCTAACTTCCAACCGCGAAACTACTCCAACGTTCCTCCACCAGCTAATCTGGACGGTGGACGGGGTGGAAGGGGTCGAGGCCGTGGGCGTGGAGGATTCCGTGGACGAGGTGGTCCTAGGGGTGGTACACAGGCTGCTGCCCAATAGAGCACTGCACTTCGACCTAGGATATATCACTTTGGGAGGTTGTCATATGGTGATGGATGTAGAGACTCATAGTGCTTGTCAGCGTGGCGTCTCAAAGTTCAGCTTAGAATACAAGTAGATGGCAAAAGTGATTTGGACAAGTGGTCATACCATACACCAATGTAGACGAAAAGGAGAAGCACACTCCGCCATGTGCGGTCCATTCATTGTAGCCTCTACATCATTCCTGAATAATTTCCACTTATCCTTTGTGCCTTTTCTTCCCGTGAATGTTGACTCATGCGTGTCTAGTTAGACCCAAACCAACTCTAACCGACACTCCACTCCATATCGAAAAAGTCACTCGATACCAGGTGTGGTCTATGCAGATATCATTACCCGCTTGACACCGCCATCCCTTTCGGCCTAAGGCGTGGGTCCCAACAACACAAACGCACACGCAGCTTGGCACTTCCCAAAGGCAGCGTTGCACAACAGAATGCTGGCTGGAGCTGTCGCACCAAATGTAGCCCCCCACGTGAATCCAGCTGCAGAGTAGCATGCCATTACCACTCCAGCGCAGCCGGCCTGGCACACAGCGTATCCAACCGGGCCGGCAGATGCCTGGCCAGCAGTAAGGCTCAGGACAGCGATGGCTATCTTGGTCAAGGAGAGGGGTTTCATCGTATCTGGGTCTAGAATGGGGTTGTGGTTTGGATGTGGAAGTGTTTGAAGAACGGAAATGCTTGTTGTGGTAGTGGAGTTGCGGTTTATTTGGTGCTCCCAAAGGCGTAGGATTTACAAGTAGAAATAGAGATTGGGGATGGTTTGCTTGCTAGTCAGACATGACGCCAGCATGACCTACGGTGTTCATGGAAGAGCATGGTGTTTCTATATTTGTCTTCTGTCGTGAGATAACATCATACGTGAGGGTGAATCAGATGTGCTGTTTGCTACTTTTGTGACAGGAACGATGAAGAAGATTTGAGAGAGCAGGAATCTGTGGTTACAAAAGGTAGCTTGATTGAGGTATCCGATTTATGGTGAAGGAAAAAGCATTGAGGGCCCATAGCAAGAAGAGTGTCAATGTATGGAGTCTTGATATCCTAGATAGACGAAAACAACGAAGTCAAAACAAGCCTGGATCGGATCGACCCCCAAGCAATAAAGATCGTACGCCAGGCCAATCGACAAGCACCACAAAGCATCGCCCCCGGTCCCAAGTTGCATTGCATCGGTGGGGTACCGTCACTAAACCCAAGCCTCACCAATCGAATCCTTACCCCGCAAAACGCGCCAGATAAGGCAATCCAAAATGAATGGTACACCACTGTACGCCCATCCCTGAAACCTCGCGGCTCCCGCTTCAGCCGCTTAGCACTAAGCCCCAAAACAGCAACAAGCCAAATGCATCTTTATCAAGGAAACTGAGCGTGTTCTCATTGAAGCCGCCGCCGGCGGACCCTCCGATCGATCGCACACGTCATTACTATTGCTGTGCTGTCCGTCCGTCACCCGAAGCCAACGCTAACCCTAGAGTTTCTTTCAAATCAAGAGATATGGCGTGTTGTTACACATCTTCTTCTTCTTTTGGAATATACGGAGGATCCATCGACAGAGTCCAATGTGCGGCATCACTTGTGCGGTTGCGCTGCGCGGTCACGGGCCGTTGCTGGCTGGGGACAGAGCGGCGCTAAGTACCACGCTGGAAAAGAGTTTGGACACGATTAAGCATCGCGGGCCAGATGCGAATGGACATTGGATTAGCGAGGATTGTCGTGTGGGTATGTGTTTTGGGGGATTGAGCGATGTCTGGTCTGCGGTGTGTGTTTTGTAAATGGACCACGTGACTAACGTCTTCTTCTTCTTTGGCGGTGCACAGCACTTGCACATAATCGCCTTGCAATTGTCGATTTGAATCCTGAGGGGGAACAGCCGTTTCATGACGCGGAGGGGACGGTGCATGCGGTTGTGAATGGAGAGCTTTACGGGTATGAAGAGATAAGGGAGGAGCTGAGTCGTGAGGGATACAAGTTCAAGAGTCGGTCGGATTCGGAGATTGCGCTGGCGTTGTATAAGAAGCATGGGATGTCGTTTTTGGAGTATTTGAGGGGAGAGTTTTCGTTGTGCTTGTATGATTCGCTTGCGAAGGTGGTCATCGCTGCATGTGATCGATATGCTATCAAGCCGATGTACTATACGATTTTGGATGGGAAGCTTCTGGTAGGAACATCCTTCGTTTGATGAAAGAGGGTAATACTCACATTGTCTTTCTAGGTTGCTTCTGAGATGAAAGCTTTCCTTCCGTTTGGTTGGAAACCAGAGTGGGATGTACAAAGTATCAAAGACGTCGGTTGGCTCTGCGATGGACGAACAATATTCCAGGGTGTGTCGAAGATACTGCCAGGTCACTATCTGGTTTGTAGGTCATTCAACACCATCTCACAATACAAATACTGGGATGTCCAGTTCAAAGACAAGGTAAATCTGTATCACTTGAGGAGGAAGTATAACTGACAATCTTCAGCGACAAGTGGAAACACGAAGTGAACAGGAAATGATCGAAGGTGTTCGTGAACGACTTCTAGATGCTGTTCGCGATCGCCTCCGTGCTGATGTACCTATTGGCGTCTTTCTCAGTGGCGGCATCGACTCTAGTGCAATAGCAGGAATGATCAAGCACCTGATGGACACTGAGGGCGCACGACTAGGCACCGCACCTGCATCCGAGCGAATGAATTGCTTCAGTGTCAAATTCATAGGTGAAGAACACGATGAAGAACCCATTGCACGCCGAACAGCCGAGTGGCTAGGAGTCAAAATGCATCACTGTGAGATGACGGAAGAGAACTTCGCTGCCAATATCGAAACCGCGGTCTGGCACAACGAGGCTGCCGTGACAGATCTAGGCACAGTGGGAAAATTCTTACTATCCAAAACCACCAGCGACGCAGGCATCAAAGTCGTCTTAACCGGCGAAGGTTCAGACGAGCACTTCGCCGGCTACCGCGAGCTCCTCACCGACTTCGTCCGCGAACCCGATACCTCCTGGCCCAACACCACCCTCTCCGAAGCCGACCGCATCGCCACCTTCACCAACCTCGAAGGCTCCTCAACCTCGGGCCCCAAAGACCTCTCCACCTCGGCCGCCGTCCGCGCCCAGGTAAACAACACTTCTTTCCTCGGCTTCACCCAAACCGCCTCCCTCCGCGACACCCTCTTCGCCCCCTGGGTGCCCCAAGAATTCGGCACAAGCGACAAGCGCCTCACAGCCGTCTCCGCCCTCGACGGCTGCACCCGCGCCCTCATGGCGCAAAAATGGCATCCTCTACACACATCCCTCTACATCTGGACCAAAACCAGTCTCGCAAACGGCCTCCTCACCGTCCTCGGCGACCGCTGCGAAATGGCGCATAGCGTCGAGGGCCGCCAGCCGTTTCTCGATCACAGACTTACCGAGTACGCCATGGCGCTCCCGCCGTCCCTCAAGTTGCACTATGACCCTGCCACGCGGTCTTTTAGCGAAAAGTGGATTCTTAAGGAGGCCATGAGGCCGTTTATTACGGATGAGTTGTATACGCGCAAGAAACATCCGTTTTCGGCGCCGGTGAGGTACAAGCCGGATGGGCCGGTGCACAAGTTGTTTGAGAGGTTGATTACGAAGGAGAATGTTGAGGAGCTGGGGTTCTTGGAGTGGGAGAAGTGTAAGGATTTGTTGCATGATGCTATTTATGATGGGGATAGGCCGAAATGGAGTCAGATGATTCTTGTGGGGCAGTTTGTTATTTTGAGCAAGCAGTTTGGGGTGAAGAAGGCGATGCCAGAATACTGTACAAGCCTCAACGGCTTCTGATCATATCGTGTTGTTGGTACATGGCGGGTAGATACCAAGCATCATGCATTTGATACGCATACTCGCCTACAAATCAGAGGCTTCAATTGATTTTTCCTGGATGATTGACCGGACTTGATTCTTTACGAAGAGCCTCTTGACAAACAGTACACAGTTGGGATATAGTGCTAATTTCTTGAACTACCGACTTCAATCCCTATTCCTGCTTGGGCTCCATCGCTTGAACACGAATTCTCGAACCTTGTACTTCTTCAGCACACTACCAATATCAACCTTGAATCCTCCAAGCTCTGTGGCGTTTGTATCCCATGGTTCTGGGACTTCAACGTAGACCAGCATGAGCGTCTTCATAACTTGTGTCTGTACTCGATTGACTCTGTGAAACCACCACCAGTCTTTGCGCTGCTGATCCGCAACCCTTGACTCGCTACCCGAATTTTCATTCCAGTATGGAGCCGAGTATGATGGGATGATCATTATTGCGAATTCCGCATGGGTAAATGCGGGGCCGCGCATATAGAGCAGATAATCAACAGCGAACTTGATACCAGGACGAACAACCCAGCCAAGGGAGCGGAAGTGGTGGAAGACGACGTACTTCAGCAGGAAGGGATTATCTGGAGCGATAGATGGGACACATGATAGGGCCGAGTCGACTTGCGTAGCAGCCTTACTCATGCTGTATGCAGTATGAAGATGTGTTAGAGTTCTCTCACTGTCCGCGGTGTCGTCGGGAGTCGATGCATGCGCACAATACAGTCGGAGCAAGTACCAAGCTGGGTAAGGTTCCGACGGCCCATCGGACTCGGTGGCGCCAACGTTGACCACATCCAGAGCACCCAGTACATAGGAGAGAAAGAAAGCCTCCTCAGGCGTGAGTTGAAGGTGCTCCAAGTCGGGGATATCGATTTCCTCAAGTTTAGTATTGGCTTCTTCTTCTGCCAGGATGGTGTTTGTGGCCTCATCTATAGCAGGAACCTTGACATTGTCAGAGGTGGGGACGTCCTTGGAATCACCATCTATAGGTTCATCAACAGTAGCCTCCGGTACCAGTTTGCCCTCTTGCCGGAGTTGTTGCTCAATAGCTTCACGTTGAGCCTTGGCCCTTTCTAATTTGAATTGCCTCCGCTCCTCTCGCCTAGATTGAGTGACTTCTGTGCTAGTCTTCGATGCCTGTGCTCCCCGTCGGCGCTTTTCCGCAACCAGCCATTGCGGTTCACTTCTACTAAGCGAGCCCTTGCCCCAAAATCCCTGTTCCCAGAGGGCTCGAATTGAAGCTGGATCGGTGACGTGGATCGACTGCGTCTCTACAGAGTAGTAGGCCTTGTGGATAACGTTATGCGACTTGGGCGGCCAAAGAGATTGCGAAAGGAGACTAATGGCCAGTCGCACGAGAGAGATTGGATTGTGGGGGACAAATGCAGGTAGCGCATATACATCTATTGGAAGAGGTTTGGAATGTATCTCATTGTAGTTGGGTCTGCGTGGACGAGGTTTCCTCGAAGCACCATTGCTTGGCTTCTCTTGATTTTGTTCAGTCGCGCCAGCTGGATGGGCATTGCCTGCAGCATCAGCCTGCACAGGCTGAACAGCTCCGGCCATGTCTGGCGACAGAAGCTTGATGTTTGAGGAAACTACACAGTGATTAGCGAATATGCATAAACCGAGTTTGTTCAACGCGCAGCGAGCATATGTATATCAGATACCGTTGTAGTCTATTGTAACGGAAACAGCATCGATCGCCTAACGCAGTCAAGTGAATGCCAGCGCCGGCAATCGTATAAGTAAAAAGATGTCATCATAAAATGGGTGGCCCTCGGGTGCGAAAGAGATTGTGGGTGCAAGCGGACAGAACCAACGCTGCATAAGCATGTCGCACAATGTTTGGCACCCCGGGCAGAAGGGAAAGAACAGAGAATGACTTACCCAGTCTTTGCGACGTCACGTAATGGCGCCGTGGTTGAGCGTTGTCAGCGTCATGGCGAGTGTGTTGAGAGAAAGTGCAAAGCTCAAAAAGTTTGGACATGAGTCTTCTTCGCCAAGCCTCGCTCCGATTGGCTGTGGCCCGCGCTCACGACAATTTGATTGCTAGACAACACTTACGATATACTTTTGGGATCTGCACGGTCTACACAGTGATTGAAGACTTGCTTCGAGATCTCATTTGGAAAATTTCGCTGAAGTCCCTTATTAGACTGAGTTGGTGGACGACTTCGTCGTTATGACATAATAAGAGGAGAGCGACTTCTCACAACCTTTGCGACGCCACCCAGGAGCAACCAAGCATCGTCACTTGTTTATTGAATCTGCTTGATTAAACCAACACTTACTTGTAAAATATTGCGTGTTCAGACACGTAACACTGAGATCTCAAGATGCTACCAGCAGCAAGGTGGTCCACCCGGCCATCACGACAACTCCTTCAATCACTCAGTAAAACAAGCACACCGTTTGTCGTTAAATCTCATATTCTGCGACCGAACTGGGCGTATCAGCGAACCGCCTCAGCATACTCAACCAAGGTACCAGAAAATGAGCCTCCAAAGGATTCCTCAAAAGTCGATGCGGTATCGAATGCCCTCGCCACCACACCTGATTCGGAGAATAACCTCACCACGCCAGTCTACATGCCGGAAGATCCCCATGCAGTCCTCAAACAAAACCATCCTGCCATGCGCCTACTCGACAACTCCTCACTTATCGTGCAGCGCCAGCTCGAAATGATGAACGTACTCATGGGTTTCGAGCAGGCAAACCGTTACGTTATCATGGATCCGCACGGCAATCACATCGGATACCTGGCCGAGCAGGAGCATGGCATAGGCAACGCAGTCGCGAGGCAAATGTTCAAAACCCATCGGAGCTTCACCACGCATGTCTTCGATCGTGATGAGAAGGAGATCCTTCGATTTCACCGACCGTTCAGCTGGATCAATTCGAGAATACGGGTGTATGATGCCGTAGGACGCGACGGCGCGGCGTATACTAGCTCGAATAGCTTGCAAGGTACGAGTGCGGCAAGCATTGTGAATCAAACGAGCGCAAATGTTTCGAGCTTGCCGTTGCAAGATATGAGGATCATAGGTGCTGCGGAGCAAGAATGGGCGCCACTCAGGAGGAAATACAACCTGTATGTGGCACGAAATCTAGATGACGGCCCGGCTGCACCTGGGATACCACAGCTAACATCTGGCGACCTACCCATTTCGAATTCAAAAGAAATTGCAGTGGTGGAGAATGATACACAAGAGGTCGGCATGCTTCAGTTTGCTAGGGTTGATGAACCTTTTTTGTCTTGGGACTTTAGTTTGATGACCGAGGACGGTCGCTTGGCAGGCTCTGTCAATCGCAACTTTGGTGGCTTCGCTCGGGAAATTTTCACGGATACTGGAGTATATGCACTGAGAATGGATGCTGCTGGATTGGCAAACGAACCCGGACATCTTATCTCGAAGACTGGGGAACAAAGCAGACCAGCACTAGATCAACACCCAGGCATGACTCTCGATCAACGAGCGGTCATGCTTGCTACAGCGGTCAGCATCGATTTTGATTACTTCAGCAGACATAGTGGCTCAGGAGGCATGTGGCCGATGTGGATGCCTTGGGTTGGCGGAAGTGGTGAAGCTGCTGGCGGTGCTGCTGCCGGGGGTGCAGCGGCAGGAGAAGCAGGCGCTGCTGGAGCTGGAGCCATTGGGGCAGCTAGCGAAACTGGTATCGCCGGTGAAGTCGGTACTGCAGCCCGTGGTCTAGGTGTGGGAGAAGGCGCTGCCACTGGTGCTGCCACAATGGCAGGCTACGAAGCCATGCAAAGAGGCAGGGAAGCTGCACAGCAACGAGGAGATGATGCTTCACCACAGTCTACCGACCCATATCAGCCAGACCCAAATCAACAGTCTGGTACAGGTCAAGTCGGCAATGATGTCTGGGGCGAAACTCAAGATCCTGGGTTTGGATCCAGAGATCAGGATCAAGACTTCTGGGGTAGCCAGGGCGGTCAAAGTGGTGGTGATGCCGGCGGTGGGGACGGAGGGGGATTCAGCTGGACCGACATTTTCGGAGATGGAGAGTAGGAACTCGTCGGATGTATCATTTTTGACAAAAAGATAGAAAAACAGTTGCGCAACCAAACATAAATAATACACGACAGCGGGAATTCGCTAGTGAACACTTTGTTACAGACTAGAATAGTGTATTAGTAGAAAATATGCCATAGTAGGGAAGGCGCTAAAGTAGCACCTGAGAAGGGGAGGGGGGGAAAGGTAGAGTGACTTTATGTAGCCCGCTCTAGTCGAGTACACATCGCTCAAGTACCAAGGGAAAGGGCAGAGGCGACAAAGCAGCACCTAAGGAGGGGGTTAGAGTGGGGCAAGGCTCTCAAGCAGCACCTAAGAAAGTGAGGGTAGAGTAGGCGCTCAAGCCGCACCTGGGAGTGGGAATAAGAAGTGAAGACGCTCAAGCAGCACCTAGGAGTAAACATAGGCAATGAATAGACGCCAAAGCAGCACCTAGTAATCGAGCAAGTGAAGCCCTATGAACTGAAACAAGGTGTGAGGCGAAAGTAAAAGTAAAAAAAAAAAAAAGTTCAAGCACAGCGGAGGCACGATGTACATGTATTACAGGGCGGAGCAGCCAAGCCAAGCCAAAAAAAACTCATGTGATGTGAACTTATGTTTACTATCAATAGTTAACAAAGATGATTGAACTAAGTAAGTAATACGAGAGGTTACGTTTTTGATACTTGGACCTTGAAATAACTTTTATATATATATATATGGTTTGATGTTTGTTTGTTTTTTCAGAGCGGAGGAATATATATATATATATTGCTAATGTTTGTGTGTATGTGTAAGAGAGAGAGAGAGAGAGCATATAGTTTGGTATATTTCGCAATTACATAGATACAAAAGTTTTCAATAACTTGTAAAAACAAAAAAAATTCGTACGACGACAACAATTCGCTATCAAAACACACCAACTAACTCAACATGGCAACACAAACACAAACATAACACAACACACACTCTCTCACAAACACATACATATATGACTTGCTCTTCATACCTCCTCTTACGTTGGAAAAAAAGAGAATACATGCATCCTTTTTGCGCGTCTTTTTTTCAATCAAATAGAAAAAGAACCACAGACACGGAAAACAGCATAATGGACACGTTTTTAATGCAATTTCCCTTCATTTGGTACTTATTCGTCATTGTAGTTGGTAGATAAAAAAACAACATTAACAACAGACGTCTTAGTCAGTTCCATTTACCGCAGTTGGCAGGGTAGGTGTGGTTGCGCCAGAGTTGGGCTTGCTCTTGGTCTTGAGGGTAAGCGGAAAGGTAAAGTCGTCGGCCTCTTCCTCTTCACTGTATAATTGTTAGCAACTGTCCGTCGCTAGTCATTGTAATCATTCGTCACTTACGGAAGTTTCCACGCAATGTAGTCCTCGGTGCTCAGTCCCTCACGACCTTCTTGCAGCGAGGCAAAGTCACCAGGCGTCATCATACCCGAACGCTCACGGGGCGATCCAGGCTCGGACAGAGGCCGCGAAATCTTGACGTCCTGCGAGTTGAAAAAGTCGGGCTCCTCATCGTCCTCGTATGCCGCAGGATATGCTCGTCGGAGCGCCAGTTGTCGGGCCTTGACATACTCCAAACCCATACGCTTCCAGTCGAGCAAGTCACTGAGACGTTCTGTCCGATTCCTCTGGTTGATGCGCTGGCGCTTGCTCTTCTTTGTGAATTCAAACATGTAGTCGACAAGCTGGTTGACCGAGTCGTCTACGCCCTTCATTCTCCGGTCTACAATGTAGATACCGTAGTCTTGAGCATTCTCAATCAACTCCTCCATGTAGCAACCAAAACCAGACAGATTTGTTGTGATACTTGGAACACCCATGACAGTGCACTCGGCCGGAGTGTAGCCCCATGGCTCGTAGTAAGATGAGAATACACCAAGATGGGTTCCACGCACAAAGTCGTCGTAGTCCATGGGCAGTACGGGGTTGGCCGAGTTCAAAAATTCTGGGTGGAAAACAACCTTGACACGGTCCGAGGGGTGGTTGAAGAGCTGGCAGCGACGCAGTTGGTTTAACACAGGATCTTCGGCATCGTTGACCATGTTGTGGGTGACAATAGGTGGGAGGTTATGGCGCTTCATGGCGAACAATCTTCGGCGGAGCAAAATCTTATCAGCAGGCGTGATCAAGTCCTTGTCTTCAGGGAGTTCGGAACCCTCTGTCCAAGTCAGGGAACGCTCAAACAGTTTCTTGGCCACATTCTCGGCAATGTTGTTCACACTGTCGTGGAGCGCCTTGATGACTGCCTGTCCCTTGAGCGAATCGACCGAAAGAGATGTAGTCTGTGCGGGCAGAATGATAAAAGCAACAACCGTCATGTTGGAGTTCTCGCTCTTCATCCTGTGGTTGAGTCGTGCCAGTGATTCGATAAACATGTCTACACCCTTATTCCGGTACTCGTAGCGACCGGCTGTGAAGAAGTAGAGCGTGTTTTCGGGATCAAAGTCATTGTGACCGTAGAAATGTCCGCGCACAAAGTCGTTAATCTTGACCTTTGCCTGTTGGTGCAAGTTCTGGAACTCGTGCGTCGCAGAAAACTTCTTGACATTGAGACCGTTTGGCAGTACACCATCTGGCTTGCGCTTCAAGAGATGCTCGCTCTCATAGGCAGTGATGTGGGACACGGTTGTGAAGACGTCGGCAGCGTGCGTGGCAGCCCGCTCAATACAGTAACGATGGTAGATACCCCGCTTTCCTGCTTCGGCATCCACGTCAAAGTATTGCAGATTGTTGTAAAAGTCGACTGAACCAGCGCAAAGGTAGCGACCGAGAAGTGTGGCGTGGGTTGTGAAAATGGTAGTCACGTCGATGCGGCGCTTCTTGCAAAGGGGCACTGCAACACCTGCCAGCCACTCGTGGAACTGGACAATGACGGCTCGCTGCTTCTCATGATAGACATACTGAGCAAGCAGTTAGCAAATGCACCAAAGTCGATTTTTCAAGTTTGCCTCTTACCTCACCCAAAAACCAAGCAATGAGGTAGCCAAAGACAATGGCCTCGTTGGTCTCGGAATCGCCAGGAGGCGAAGGAATGCCTGTAGAAGACCAGAGGTCGCCCTTCCACTCGTCGAGCCACCTGTAGCCAGTGCCAGTGTCAAAGAGAAGCACGCGCGGGGCACCGTCAATCAGCCATCGTCCGTATAGCGTCTTAATGCCCCGCTCGTCCATGGACTTGATTGTAGCCAGCAGAGCAGGGTCTTTGGGAACAATTGGTTCTACTTCGACGGCAGCCTATGGACTTGTAAGCAGGGAGTGTCGCGGCGAGCAAGCATTGTGCTTACCGAAGCCCTATTCCAGGGACCGAGCAGAGTGTAAGCAGCGCCATACTCTGCTGTGGTGACCTGGGCCTTTGACTTGAGGACCGAGTAGATGCCGCCGACTGAAGCTGGTTAGGGTTTTGCGTCATGGGACCAGGATGGAGGGGAGCTACCTCTGTTTGCGACTTCGGTCGCAACCTCGAACAGGACGTGGTTCTGCACGTCTCGCGCTCCCGAGGCCATTGTGAATATGTGGTGGGGTCAGATGAGAGGAGGGAGAGACACAATGGCAAATTCAGAATGCTGTTCGAGAGGAGAGAGAATGGGAGGGAGAGGCGGAGAACAGGGCTGATGGAGCTGGAGCTCGGTACTTGGTTAGATTGCTGCAGGATGCGGCGCTAGACGGGCGGTTGGGTTACTGAGCCGGGGGGGGAGGAGGGTGGGGAGAGAATAGGCGATACGGGTCTGCAACAAGATGTGGTGGTGCAGCCGCAGAGAGCAATTGATGGAAGTGTATGAGCAGAATGGGACAGGAAAAAGTCGAGGTAATAGCGGTTTGCGTGGTCCCAGCAGACATGCCCTGCAGCGGCGCCAAGTGCTGGATATGGTGGGCGGCTTATTGTTTTGGGAGCTTGAGCGTTGGGAGACCCCGACGTGGGGAGGGAGGGGAGGGATTAGGGTGGTTGGGATGCTCGGGTCAGAGCTCCCCAGGCGACACGCTCGCTTGGTGCGGGTGACGTCGTTGCTGGCCCTGCAGTCACCATGACGCTGCCCATATCATTTGCTGGCGGCGAGCAAACTAGAGTAGCAATTCAGCCCACATGGCACTGGCAAAACATGCACAATACCCAATTCTCTGAGCATGTGAGTAGAGTACATGTGCACCCATGTACAAAGACAGACATGTACATGCTGTGTACACACCCACCCACTCCCTACTAGCATGTTCCCTCCCCGCGGCTGGCGCCCAGCAGGGCAAGGCTGGAGCGTGGCCGGCGAGCGTGCGCGAGTCAACAACTCAACAGTTTGTCGAGGAAATGAGACGAGGAGCGGACCATCGACCGATCCATCCCGTCTCGATGCGTGTCGCTCAAAAGTTTCTGACGGCTGCTCTGTCTCTTCGTCTCTTTCGTCGCAATGGATATATGGCGCATGTTGCTGTACACGTCTGTGAAGTTAATATGCCGAGGCGGTACTGCGTCCGCCTGCTGCACCGTCTCGTCATTAGACCGGCGATTGCGGGGTTCCCGCGCGACGGGGGGTGAAGTTTCCAGCACGCCACCCTCTCCGCAGCCAGTCGAGTGGGCCCGCACTTGGGCGGAGGCGGAGACATCGGAGACTTGGTCGGGGACACACACACACACATACTGTATAGTAAGCACACAACACCACACTACCATGACAACTCAATCTCTCGTATACCCTCCTCACCTTGCAGTCTCACCCGCCCGCATCTCCAGCTAGTCGCATCTAGAACCCATGTCATTCCAAACATATGTCAATTCAATACTCCTCGCTCTATCTAGCCTCACCTGCTCGGCCATACCAAGCATCCCTCTAACACCCCCACCATGCCTCAACATCGGCGCCACCTGAAAAACAAGCCTTTGGGCTGACGACGTTGGGAAACAAACCGCAAGGAAGAGAAAGAAAAAAATTTATGCAGGGATATCAGGCTAAAATGGCGCTCACAAAGGAAAGAGGAAAGAGAAGAAAAAAAAAAAGGACGCCACGTGCCGTTTGGGAAGTGGTTCCGCCTGCAAACCACCCATTCTTTGCTGTTTGCCCCCCCTCCCCCCCAAAAAACACCTCACTTGCCACTTCGATCAATCACCGGTGCAGCAACAGGCATCCCACCCAGCAAGCTGCCCTGCGCAAACTCGTTGTTCAGGTTAAGATTGACCATTGGGCCTCGGGCTCTGCTGCCATCCATGACTCCTCGACCGATAACGTCCGGGCCTTGGGAATAACCCGCTCGAGACAACAGGCCTCCACCCGTGAATGCTTTGCTGGCATCCTCAGGCGCAGCTCCATGGTTGTTGTGCGTGTATGCAGCCAAAGGCTCGCCACGACCCTTGAGCGACCGGGTGCGTTCGTGGCCACCGGCACCGTATGTTCCATGTGCGCGTGATGTTCCCGGCCGGCCCGCTCGCCAATCTGTCGATGAAGGGACCTTGATTGCTTCTTCTATCGACGTTGCGCTCTCCACAAGTGGCCCTGCCCCCGCTCCCGGATTGTACCCTTTGCCCTTGTTGAGATGCTGTGGTGGTGGACGATACTGCGGCGTAAGATCAATCAATGGCTCTGGCATACCAGGTACCCGCTTCGAAGCACTTCTCTGCAGGTCGCTGGATGCCCGTCGATGGTGATTGCTGCGCGTTGAAGTGCTACGTTTGACACTACTGTCGGCCTGGACCAACCGGCCCACGTTCAGCAGTGACGGACCCTCTGTAAACGCCGCCGCCTGCTGCTGCTCACGAGCCTGAGCTGCAGCCTGCCGTTCGGTGTAGCCCCGGCCTAGAAGCCCACTTGAAGTAAATGCTTCTTCCTCCTTGCCGTCAAAGCTGCGTCGTCCAGACGTCTGTCGAGACGTGGGCTGCGAGGGGTTGGGCTTGCTGATTGCACTCTTGATCAATGTGGCCGGAGGTGGTTGCTTTACTCGCAACGACTTCTTCCTCGTATGCATTGCTCGGCTATCAAGCTTCGACAAGGGCTTGTCATCTGGAAACTCGCCCGGCTTATGCACTTCAATTTCATCTAGCTTCTTGTTGAAACTGTCCATGTCCAACAATGACGAGAATGCACCCAGCTGGTAATGTGATCCTACAGACTCACCCCGTGCATGCGCTGATGACGGCGCTGCCTCTTGGTTGCCAGACACGTTGCGCAGGGCCGGCGACTTCTTCTTCAACCCCTCACCCTTTTGGTACTTGAGATACCAGCTCCGCCACGACTGCAAAGCACGATAGAACATGTTTGCCGTGTTGCGGTCATTAGTGCAGAAGAAATGCACATACTGCGACTCGTCGGCAAAAATGTTCGACTTTTGCATACTCTTGACCGCATAGCATATCTTCTTGGGTGGCTTGACCCTGGCCAGCTTCTGTTGTGTCACAGTGTAAATGTCGTAGTCGGTAAGCGTGCAGATGTTCTCCAAATCCTTTTCCTTGGTCTTTTCGTTCTTCGCCATGACTAGCTGGCCGTCGGGACGCAGGGTAAGGAGGCGCTTGCTCCACTTGCCGGGTCTCGAAGAGTATTGGATAAAGCACGACATGCCTTCGGGTCTTGCCTCGGGCACTTTGTATGCGAGCAAATCATCCTGGTTGATTCCATCCACGTCCGAGTCGATAATGGTTAGCTCATTTTGGTTGTCGTGATCCCACGAATTCATAACATCTCGTACATATTCGTAATTGCGAAGCGGGCGCGTGATGCTGACTTTTGTGAAGTATTCAGAAATAACTGCTGTGCGAACGTCAATTGGGTCTGTGAGGACAGTCGATGCAGACTTGATCAGGTCCAGAGGTGTGGTGGTCGGTGTGATTGGTAGTTGAATGCGCTTCTTGTTGCACACAACCGTAACGCGCTGCCCCGGTCGTTAGTCACTTTATCCCGCCCAAGAGGCAACCAACATACCCTGTCACCAGCATTCACGGCTGAAGTTGGCGCATCTATACCCAGGACCGCACCTCCTCCTCCGGGCTTGATGGTCTCTTCCTCGTGGCTGAGGCTGAGGCTGAGTTGTGGTGCAGCCGACAATTGCGCCGGAGCATCCAAGCCTAGAGCCTCGTCCTTTCTCCTTTTGAACATGCCAAACCCAACTTCTTGCTGTCGCGGAGGTGAGATGGCATGAGGCGAGGCCGGCGGTTTTTGGGAACGCTCTTCGAGCCTTGCTAATGCCGCTTGGCGTTGCTGTTCGTCCTTATTTTGCGACGTCTTTCGTGGCTCGGCTTTCTGTAGTCGTCGCCCACGCTCCTGCTCTGCCTTTTGCTCGATTCTTTGCCTACGCAGCGCTTCCGCTTCTTCAAATTCCCGCTGCTGCTGCTGTTGCTGCTTCTGTAACCGCGCCGCTTCCTCTGCTTCCTGACGTAGCTTGTCGGCCCTGTCCACCTCGGCCTGTTGTGCCTGCCTCCTTGCCCGTGCCTCTGCATCATGTCTTTCCTTCATCTGCCGCTGGCGCTGCTTCTCCTTTTCGAGGATTTCCCTCGCACTATCATCGCCGCTGAGGGACTGATCTCTTGGAGCACCGTAGACAAGGGGCGACACTTGGGTACGAGGTTGAGCCGTACGAGGGCGGCGCTGGGCGGTGTTGGCCGCATACGACGTCTGCTGCGGGGAACTGTCGGCATCATTCGACGAAGCATACGGCGGCGACTGCGGGTAAGAAGGCGGTGGAGGGTCAAATGTGGTGTTGGAGCGGTGAGGGGGTTGCGGACTGGTCGCGTGCGAGGTTGGTGGTCGGCGGTGGTAGCGGCTCTTGCTCCTACTGAGTGGCGCATCGTTCTGAGGCTGAGAGCCTGGTACTGCAGGCATAGTAGGCATTGCGGACATGCCCTGCGAAGGCTCGTCATGCTGCGAAAACTGGCCCTGTGGTGCGGGATGCTGTTCCTGGGCGCGCCTTACGCTCCTATAGCGAGACATCTTTTGCGTCGACGCTGCTGCCGCGGCTGCAGCAGCAGACGAGGACATTGCTCCAGTGGCCATGGCGGTGTAGTGGAGAAAGCTGTGCGACTGGAATCCTCGTGCCTGCGCGAAGAGAGGTAGAGAACATAGAAAGCACAATCACGGCCATAGGGTACGCGCAGCGAGTGAGGGGAAAGAGAAGGCGTGAACAGGGTGAAGAAGCAAGTACAAGTGGCAGCAGGCGGAATACGGCTAAGGCGGCGTTTAATTCTTTGACATTAAAGTACCTGAATCCAATCACCCGGTCAAGGCAGGTAGCCGAAACATTCTCTCCACCGCCCGTTCTATCTTGGTCGTCCTCCTGAGAGAGCGAGAACGGCCAGTGGCTGGACTGAAACCTGGCAGGCCGGCCGTACGCAGGCGCGTGCGCTAGACGACTCGTCCACCTGACCAGCGCGGGGCGGTCAGTGCAGTCGGTGCCAGCCACACGCCCGCCTGAAACGCGACGTCTGCCCGCCATGCCTTAGCCACAGCACGCTATTCCAGAGTATGTACGTAGTCCTGGCGTGTGCATGAATGTCCCCCCCCCCCAAGCAGATCGCGGCATGCAACAAGATCCTGCAGATCGCAATGTTGTGCATGCATCCACACAGGGCACATGACACGACGACGACGACTACTACTACCACTATGCCTGTCTCTTGGCTACCTGGCCTGGCAGTGGCAGTGACATGAACCCTATGCCTACACATGTGTACTGTGTGTGATATATGAACCCGCCTATCCAAGTACTAGTAGTATGTCACCATAACAGCCTATATTGCCTAAATGAGAAAACACCAGTGTACTGTGTAATATCCCAGCGGAGATTTACAAACTGCAATATTACCACGCACACAAATCTTGGCCCTGTGCGCCCAGCACCACCACCCCCTTCCCCAAAACAAACCGGCACTCGATATGAAAAGCACAAGTCTTCGGTGGTATTTTAAGTAGCAACGAGAGACCAGTCTCGCGCGACCAAGCGCTCTATTTTTCTTTCTTGCTTTGCTTTGTTTCTTTATGTACACACACATGGCCAACAAAGGAAACTCCATCCTTCACCAGGGGTATTTTCGTCCGACCCTCATTGGGTCTGCCCGGTGTCGCCATAATTCGTACTGGTGTTGCACCCATATTCCACCAACCCTAAAAACGACCAAAATAGAACAAAAATAAAAACACACAACAAGAAAAAATTTCCTTGGTATCTTACAAAGGTAATGTTTGAGAAGGAGAAAAAAAAGAACATGGACAGGTAGGTATCCAGAAGAAAAGAATTCAAGTGAGCGAGAGAGAGAAAGGTAAATAAGAAGACGGGCAGGCGAGATGCAGTACGTAGATGCAGAGTGCAATGCTGGCGTGTCCAAACAAGCAGAAATTAGCGCCACAAGTCAGCCCTCGAGGCTCGCTTCTCGCGACCAACGTGGGTCATCCAGCTTGCGCGCGGGCTGGGTTCTCGGCCGCCGAGCGAGTTGGAGTAGCCGTGTCCAAAGCCTCCACTAGGTGCCATATGGCCTGCGCTCCTTGGCCGACCGTCGTTGTCAGCAGGTATGGCCAAGAACCCACCGAACCCATTTGGTACTACAATGCTCTTACGGGCATCTCCGCCCCACTGGGGTCCAAGACCCTTGTGTGCCGAGTAGCTGCTTAGCGGCCGGCCCACGGACATGGATGCGCGTCGTTGCTGGCCTTCGGGGGGCATGATGGAGGTAAAGATCCAATCGAGCTCATCAAGACCCTTGGAGTAGACCTCAAGGGGCTGGTTGAATATGGGCGGCGGTGCCTCACTGAACGGACGTATTGGTGGCGCAAGAGTAAGGATTTCTGGGAAATCGGGGTCACGAACCCACAGCTGTCGCAAAGCCGGGAGCGAATTGGACATGAGCGACTTGGCTAGATACTGGTAATACGACGCAGCGGGCGGGTAGACCTGGTTGGCGGCGCTGGATACGACCTCAAAGTTGAGCTTGTGCAGTGTGTACGAGTTCATGGGCGGGATAGGGTCCAGGGGAAGGGATGCCGAGACCGTGGCCGTGTACTCTAATGTCCGAAGGTTGACCGCCGCCTGCAAAACAATGTGAAGAGATGCCACCGGGAAGCCAGCGCAGTCCTTGAGTACGAGGGTTCGGAGTCTGGCACTGCACATGGGGTTATGGAGGAACTGGGCCAAGCCGTATGCAGTCACCGTGTGGCACTTTTCTAGCCTCAGGATCTCCAAGGCAGGGAAGTTTGGAATTCCAGGGGCATCGTGGAAAGTGGAATCATTCAGCCATGGAGCACCGATAATGGTAAGCTCCTTGAGCCGGGGAAGCATACCAAAGACCTGTCGTAAGATGCTGGGCTCAATGTGTATCTTGTTGAGCTCAACGGTGATGAGTTCTTGCCAGTAGCCCTGGAGAAGCGACTCGAGCGCCTGTTCGCCACCCTCGGTGTACTTCATTCTCTTGATGTGTGGGCATCGTCCCTGCAGCTCCTGTCGTAGCAACTGGCAAGACTGGTCGCCGCCGTAGAAGCCGTCTGGAAGGTCAATGTACTCGAGGTTGGGGCAGCCGGACACGGTTCGCGCAAGGTCGGCTTTGCAGGCCTCGCGCGTCATATAGGGGAGCTTGATGAAGCGCACACGCTGGCCGAGGTATTGGTTGCCGCGGACACTCTGGCCGAGCTGCTGGAGTCGCTCAGTGGGGGCATCGATTTCATCTCCGTTACGCGACTTGCGCCTGCGCTGGTCGGCGTAGATTTCCTCGAGCTCGCAGTAGTGGACGGCATCAATGCGGATGCTGTTGTATCTGGGGGCCAGGTCAGCCGCAAATTGCACGCAGACAGAGGAGAATTTCACACTTACAGCAGGCCAGCAGCAATACCATACCATTGTCGCTTTGTCAAGGCGCAGTGGGCCAGGTCTCGCATGTCGCAGCTCATGCAGCCATCGTTGCCACTGTCCTCACTGCCGTCGAGGGTCTCGTCAGTGGAATGGGGGCAGACATGCTCAAAGATGCGACGCAAGACGTGATCGGGCAGGCGGACAAACTGATCGGGCCCATGGTATTCGGGGATGGCGGGGGCGTAGAAGTCGTTGCGAGGACGGGACTCGTTCTTCTTTGGGGTTTTGTGACGCCTGAATCGCTTGAAGAAGCCCATGATGCCGCGAGAGGAACTGGAGAAGATGTCAGGAGGACAGCGGCATGGAGGAAAGTAACAGCTGAAGGCAGATTGGGGGGGATGGACGTGTTTCTTTGTCCGTTGTTTCAAAAAGTGGGTAGGTGAATACTAACTCGCGTCCGTTTGGTGCAGCTTGCGGGGAAGACAGGAAGCCGCGTTGCCGAGAGGCCATGGTTAGTAACGCTGGCGGTCCCGATTTACTACACGGGCCTTTGTCGTGTGGGTGGTGGTAGATGCTCAGGCGCCAATGCAAAGTCCCCGAGGCCACAAGCGGAGTGCATAAATTACAGAGGATCTCTTGATGGGCAGAAGGGGGCGCGCGCGGCGTTTAAGGGGTTCACAGCAGATGCACGACGGGCACTGGGAGACGTCGCGCACACCACGTCGAGCGGGCGCTGCTGACAGGGCTAGTGCTTGTCGGCCGTGTCAGCAAAGCTTGAGGGACGCTGATCGTGGTGAGCGGACGCCTCCAAACTCAACTGCCAGCCTGCCAGCCTGGCGGCGTGCGAAATTGGCTACCACCAGCGCCGAAACAGCAGCGAGGGCGGGCGAGCACGAGGGTTGAGGCTGATCACGTGCTGACGTGGCCGTCGCCGCGGGAGTGGGAGAGACGACACACACACACATACTTACGGCCAGGGGGGAGGCGGGATGATGTGCTGGCCCCTTGTCCCCTTGTCCCCTTGGCCCCTAGCCGCCTCTCGCCCACACTACAGCTCTGCTGGTCCACTGGTCCACTGGTCCAACATGGCTTCTCGCGATAACACGCCAACGGGCTGCCCCGTCCAAGCCATGGCCGGACCCTGTTGTTCGGGTAGACGTGGGTGTGGGTGTGGGCGTGTGTCTGCATGTACACAGTACCCTACCAAACCCTCTAGCTCTGACCATGGCGCCGTGTCCATTGCACTCAAACGCGACGACATACATACACGCTACTGTGTACACTGTACATACTCGTCCAATGTATACATACGCACAGCACGCGCACGCGCCGGTTCCCCGTGGCCGCACGCGTGGGACTGTCAATGAGCGTCGACGTCGCTGCAGTTATCCCGCCATGTACTATGTATGTATGGATGCATGCAGCCATGCAGCCGTGAACGATGTATATACCATACACCCTTTTCGTGTACATGCTATCCCAGGGCCCGAGAAGACACTCTCGAGCCCATTGCTGCCAATTGCGACGTCGGAACACCGCCAGCTCCCGTTCAGGGACCATACAGACACACAGCAACACGCGAGATAGCCGTGCAACCCGCAAAAAACAAAACAGCATCAGGGAAAAAAAAGCCCATATCCCCCAATGCACTCCCAGTGACACGTCCGACACTAAACTCGAGCTCCCGCCAAGATCTCGACGTTGTGCCCTTAGCTCTGCTATCCACGTCAAGAAATCTTCCGGCATCATTGCACGGAGCCTCAGGTCGTCCGTCCCCATCACAGAGCACCTGGTTTCATCTCACCGGGTCACCTCTACCCTCGCTCCATCATTCACCTCGAGGCTCTGTTCTGTTCTCCCCTTCACTTGCAGTGAGCAGCAAGTCACCTGTCCCCGCCTCACCTCATCCGCATTCACCTCCCCGCTGACGTACCCGCTGCGAGCGACTTCCACCCACGCCGCCGCCTTTTAACTCCGACCTCCCTCGCTGCAACACCTCAATTGCCCAATCAACCCTCGCCGCAGTCTCGACCGACCTCTGGACCATCCCAGAGGCATCCCGTACTGACAGTGAGAACCCGAGCAGACAAACACAGAAAGCTATGGCATCCCAGCCAACTCCGAGCCCCCAAGCGGCCAATCTCGACCGCTACGTCGTCATCCATGTAGCTACGACCTGTGACGAGCACGGCGTCTACGTGACAAAGGATTCAGCAGAGGTCATTGAGCTTGGCTGGATCCTCCTCGATGCAAAGTCGTGCGAAGAGGTGGGCTTGCCCATCCCAATCCCGTACTTCAATTGCTGATCCAAATCCCAGCTACACCGCGAGTCCGTCCTCGTCAAGCCCGTCAACACTCCAATCACGGCTCTATGTAGTACGTTGTCTTGCTCTTTCTCCCCTGTCTATTTGCCTGCTTACCTCCCTCTCACTCCCCACCCCCTTCTTCACTCCGACGAGCTTCGGCTAACCCTGCATCCTTGCTTTGCACAGCTAGCTTGACAACCCTCACCTGGGACCAGGTCCGCAACGCTGGCTCCTTCCGTGATGCCATCGAGCGCTTCAACAACTTCCACGCCGAACACATTGCCCCCAAGAATCTCGAGTTTGCCTTCGTCACCCTTGACTCGTGGGACCTCCGCGTACAGCTCCCGCGCGAGGCTAGGGACAAGGCCGTTGTTCTTCCCCCATACCTCCAACACTCCCGTACATTCGACCTACGCACTGAATACCAGCGCTGGCAGGCACACCACCCAGAGTCGTTGCCGTTTGGCTCTAGCGCCTTGACCAACATTTGTGCGGCTCTCGAAGTGGAGCCTGTCCAATCGTCGGCGCCCATCAAACACAACCTGCCCTTTCACTTGCAAGCTCTTGCCCCCGCCTCGCCGCGGCGGGCAATGGAGGAGGCCGTGACACTTGCACGAGTTCTCCGTGGCCTGATCCGCAAGTCACAGCCACCCCAAGATCACCCCGACGTACTTACCAAACCCATGGATGCCAGGGCTGACGTGCGCGCCTTTTTGTCCGAGCGCAGCAAGGTTCTTCACATGAGCGGCCTTCCCCATGACACTACTCAGTCAGAGCTTGAGAGCTGGTTCACCCAATTTGGCGGTCGTCCTATTGCTTTCTGGACCCTCCGTACCCCAGACCAGCACAAGCCCACTGGCACCGGCTTCGCCATCTTTTCTTCTCACGAGGAGGTATGCATTGTATTCATCATGCTCGACATGTAATATGCTAACTTTGACTCTTCTTTCCTAGGCTGCTGAGAGCCTCTGCATGAACGGCCGCGCTCTCAACGAAAAGGCAATTGAAGTCTCGCCTTCGTCCACTCGCGTTCTCGACCGTGCCTCTGATATCATCACACCATTTCCTCCTAGCAAGAACCGCCCTCGCCCTGGTGACTGGAACTGCCCCTCTTGTGGCTTCTCCAACTTCCAGCGCCGTACCGCTTGTTTCCGATGCTCGTTCCCTGCCATGCAACAGGGCCCGCCAGGCGGTGATCCCATGGCCTACGGCGGTTACGGATACGGAGGTCACCCAGGTATGATGGGCCCTCCTCAGCACCACATGGGCCACGGCCACGGTCACGGAATGGGTGGTGGACACATGCGTGGAGGTACTGGCGTCGTTCCCTTCCGTGCTGGAGACTGGAAGTGCGGTGAGAATGGCTGCGGATACCACAACTTTGCAAAGAACACTGCCTGTCTCCGCTGTGGAGCTAGCCGTGCTGGCGCTGCTGTTGTTGCTGATTCCGCATTCCCGTCGCCGATGGACACGCCCTCTGGTTTCGGCATGGGTCCTCCTTCCATGGGCGCTGGTCCTGGTGCCGGTCCTTACGGCCCTGCTGGTTACGGTGGTGGCGGCTTCCCAGCTCAACAGTATGGCGGTCCTCCTAGCTCGTATGCTCTGCCCTCTGGTATGGGTGCGGCTAGCCCTTACCCTCCCATGGGCGGTCAGTACGTGCCCAACGGTGGCATGCACTCGACTCCCTTCGACAGCCGCGCCGCTGAAGCTGCTTTTTCCTCAGCAGACCCTTACCCCGCTCAGGGTGCCCCTAACGGTGGCGATGGTCGCAACGACCCCTTTGCCTTTCTCTCAACTGGCTTTGGCTCTCTTTCCATGAACGACGATCGGCGCAACGTCACTAACCCCGCCAACAAGTCGCCGGCGTAAGTTCACTCGTACATAGGTATCGATCGTCTGGAGCGCGTATCTTGCGGTGCAATTTGATATGGGACGGTTTTTTCGGGTAGGCTGGCGTGGGCAAGATTGGCTATGGGCGGAGTTTTACAGCATCGGTCGATTTAAGAGATTCGTGGCATTTGCAGGCTACCTACGGCACGGATGCGTATAGATGGAAAAAATCCTCATTTGATGGAGTTCGATACCTGGGATGGCGGGGGTGTTTGGGGATCGACTTGAATTCCTTTTGCAAAAGCTGGGTGGGTGGATAAAAAAAGTACAAATTGGACGGTAGCGAATGCGGGCTTGCAGGAGGTTCTTGGATCTGGGAAGACGATTTCTTCGTTCAGCATCTGGGCCTTGAGCTGGTGTTCATCTTCTTCTCTTTTCTTGATCTTTTTTTTCTCTTCTCTCCTCCTTGTTTTCTTATGCATACTACAAATTGAATCACAACACATTGCCTTGGCAAATCAAGGTGCTTGTGAAGTAAAGGGCGGCTCTCCAGGTATATCGTGCGTGTTTTTTTCTTTTGCGCGGGGGTGGTTTTCTTTATCTTTTTTTTTCCTCACCGGAATATCTTCCACCAGTAGCTGTACTAATAATTTGCATTTGTCCCTTTTTTTGTTTCGTCCTCCCCGTACGTAGTAGTAAGCGAATCAATATCTCCAGAGTACTGTCTTATTGTCGTAACCGCGTCATGGTGAATTGTGAAGACGACAGGACTCCGTCGGGGTTTGGTGTACGTACGTACGTAGAGATCATGAGAGGAAAAAAAATTTACCAAAGAACAGGTAACGAGATGTTGTGGGCCAAAAAACCCCCCTCCCCGTAGTAGTAGTAGTAGTAGTAGTAACTATTGCGCTCAACGCAAGTAGAGTATCATCTGAGCTGTTTCTTTCTTTCTTTCTTTTTTTGAACCTTTCCAACAAAGGGTATCATCTGTATTATCAATCCTCTTCCCCCCCCCTTACCCTTACCCTTACCCTCGGTCCCCCAACCCCCATCCTAGTTCGGATACCGTATTTAGGACCCTTGGGATTATTTCCCAACCAACTAGGGAGAGGGGGTTATCCGATGTTTCCTATTGGATGTCTCACTTCCTTCCCTGGTTTTCCCTCTCTCTCTCTCTCTCTCTCTCTGTCTCTCTTTCCCTACGTACCTCTTTCACAACATGCAATGTGGATATGTGTACTTATAATGGATTATGGGGCATGTGGTTTTTTTTGGGGGGGGGGGGGGGGTTTCTTGCTAACACCAAGCAAGTACTATCTAAGATTGAGTAGGAAAGAGGGGGGGAGAGGCTTGGCGGACTTGATTTTGCTTGTTTGCTTGGACCCCCCCCCCCACGCAGGGCTGGGCAATAAGAAGTCCTAATGTGGTGGACTATGGGGGAGAGGGCTTATGTGCATAGGTACGATATAAGGCCGGTTTTGTTTCGGGCCGCGGTGATTGTGATTTAAGATGAGTAGGTAGTGTTGTGGATTTATCGGGTCGTTTCCGAGTTCGTTTTCGGTTGTTTGGCTGTTTGGTATGGACATACTGTATGTGTGTAAGCGTGAAAGAGTGAGCACATGGCATCTATGGTTGGTTGGATTTGTTGGTCATGCAAGGTACGGGTGTTGTGGAGCTTAGCAGGATTTCTAGCCCGCTGTAGCGCGGGCTAGCTGTGTCTTGTCTATGATTAGAGTAGTAAAGCGTAGGAATCTGCGCGGCATCACGACGATGTTCGGGTCATCTTTTTTTTTCTTGGTGTTGCTATTTCTTGTTTTCTTTCTTCGACTGAACCCAATTTCTTTTGCAACGTGCTAGATGGGAGTTTGTTGAGCACACACCGTTGCGATGACGTGCCTGCCCCCCCCCTAATTCTAGACTTGACATATATGTCATCTAACATGTAAGTAAGTAAAATATGGATGCAAAAGACTTGGCCTGATTGACGTTGGCATTAATGAGAGGTCTGTGGCGTCTGCGTGGCTCAATTTCCGAAGCAGGTGGATGGCATCTAGGGTGTCCCACGCCCCGTATATACGGTTGCGCGATTTTCCAATAGTGCGTATATGCGCGATACGGACGGCTGGAGGCTGGGAAACAAAAAAAGAGGTCTTTACGACGCGTTGCTCTGGGTCGCATATCTTAGACGTGAATTGTGCTGCTGTTGAAGTTGTCGGTTCCACCGGCGTACGTACGTGTATGTACTGACTGCAATGTGACCAGAGCTAGGAAACATACGCCGGAAGTAATGTAGTTTGTCAAGATCGCCCAGAGCCTCATGCGCAGATAGGTTACGTGCGCAGCCGTTGTCGCTGAGAGCAGGGGGGACCCAACCATCGACCCACGCGCTGTCAGACGCCGGCCAGTCTCGTCTTGCCATGCCGTTATCAGTCAGCTTGCCTATGGCATTAG